ATCTAAACGGAGGTTTTCACTTTTCAGTTGATAGTTAAAGCACGGTATATCATTTATAACTGAAAATTTATATTTTAACATTAGTTAGTCCTAATCTCAAGAATATGATTCAACGTTAACGAACGCTAGCGTTCATGCTTCCAACACGCTGATCTTAACATTAACCTTAGTCCTAACAAGTCTTAAGAAATATTGGATATTTTATGTTCTTAAAGCTAGCGCTAATATTAAATTAATTACCACGTAATTTGCGCGTGCTCAAAACTAGGGTTTTTAAAAATTGTCGAAATAACATTTGACATGTTGAACATGACGGTTTATTACTGTTAATTATCAATTATTTGGGGTCTCTAGAAATGATTGAATGCTTATTCACAAACAAGTAAATGTTATCATTGTGGAAATTAGTCTCTCTAGATTTTTAAATTCTAAAAAGATTTATACATAGTTAGGTTAACTCAAAACATGAGTTTCATATGACTACAAGTGTGTACTAGAATATTCTTAAGACAATTATTAGAAATATGAATGGCATTTAAAAAAACGTTCAGTCTGCTAATATAATAACCCAACAATTTTATTGCTTATCTGTCTTAATATATAATTCTTAAAGTCTAACTCATAATTAATTTGAATAATAATTAAGACAGCTCTATGCCAGCTGCCATATTATATCTAACTCTAGATCAGCGCAATATACCGGGTGTGTCTCACTTTGATAGAAAATGACACTCTGAATAGAATGATATATCATATGTCAACTTTTGACATTTTCGCTTAAAAGAAAATCGTATTTTAAATTTCAGTCTAGAGTGCCAAGGCTGTGTTAAAAACACTAATTTTTAATCAAGGAGCCTTGGAAAAATAGATTTGGTCGTCTAATGTTTTTTGTGTCTTGTCCTGGCCTGTTAGAAGATGCCCAAATCGTATTTTTAATCATATCTCAATTTTTTTAAATGGAACAAGGGTGGCTCATTAGCATATTTGGAAAAGCATTTTTTTACAAATAATTTGGTACCACACACTTGGATTTCTAGTCAAATTGTTTATGAACCGCATGTTACAATTTCAAATAAACCGAAAGTGTGAAAAGTTGCCATATGATATTTCATTCTATTCAGAATGTCATGTTTTATCAAATAAAGTAAAAAATACCGAGGGTGTCATTTAAAAATCAAAAATTGTAGTCATTTCCGGTGAAACGGGAAGTGACTTCAACCTAACCTAAACAATTAAATAGGTCAATCAATCCTAATTTATGTCATATACTAACATATCAAATCTCGTTTTTTATCTGAAAAAATAAAAAAGTTATAGGGGGTGAGCCACTTTTGAGACGCACCCGGTATGAGAAAGAGGTTTGAACAAAGTCTCTTTTTTGCCAGAGACATAATTAAAAAAATTGAAAATTAACATGTATGTCAGTACGTAAAATCTTTGACCTCCTTCTCAAAAAATTAAATCATCCCATACTCTTTCAGAAATTTTAATCCAGACTACAGAAAAATAATCACACATTGTGTATCGCTCCCTATGTTTATCTAATTCGAATTTATCTCACATTTCCCGCCAGCGTATAATCCTTTACTTTTTTCCCCTATATTAATGGTTTTCACTATTCATTTTGGTGTGTTGAAAAATAACGTTGATTTCTTGATCACAAGAAATCTAAATTGCGACCACCTTATGCATGGCTTTGAACTAACAACATATGTCGTAGAATAGCAATGGCAAAGTTTATAGAATTCAGTAAACTTTGACAATGGCATATTGACGAAAAGAAATTCACAGTTGTGCAACAACATACTTCGCTCATATGTCTTTAATTTATTTAATTACACACTTTGAAAATATATTTGTATGTCTAAAGAATTCTAATTGAATCTCATTAAGTTCGGGGTTTAATGTTAAGAATGATAATTTATATATTTTTTGACTTATATTAACTTAATATAATATACAGTGTGATTCACTGTCGATGGTAAGTTAGGCGTTTATGGAGAATATATATAATTTGTATAAATGCACCTGCTCTAATATAAATTTAAATTTAAAAATAATATTAATTTTAAATAGCGTTTTAGTGTTGCTGCTTGGTTCTTCCCTATTATTTTAGACATAGATAAATGAAACAAGTTTAGATTGAAAAGTGCCCATAAGGACAATGTAAATACTATTTGGCGCTATTCTTGCAACGGTCGCAACCGAAAGCTTTTGATAATTTCGGAGCGGTTCGGCTTTTTCCCGAATTATGTCGCCAAATATTGTTTATTCAAATTTATTATTATTTTCTTTAATTTTATAAATAAAATACAGTGTGTTGCATACAAGAAACTTTATTTTATATAAGGACATGTATGAAATACCTATGAAACATTGGAAACCGACGTTATGCCAAGATCCACGATGGATTTTTGCAGTTCACAGTTCACACAGTTGAGTAAATAAAATTTAAATTAACTCACAAGATAGCAATAATTACTTTGAAAATGGACGCTTTAAACACTTTTCGGTATTTTTTCAATGAGAGCGGTTTAAATTTTGAACGATTTTATAATTTTTGAAGATTCTGACTTTGACAAGAGAAAATTATTTCTGCTTTGTTTGTGGTTGTTCTTAGCAACCGCTATAGCAGCGCCAGATCGCGTACAACGGTCGCGACCCAAAACAATTATATATTTTGACGGGCATTCCAATCTCAATTTATTTTCTTTATCTATGATTTTAGATAGAACAATACTGAACAATGAATAACTGACATAAAATGTGTTCTGCCATTTCTTCTTCCGATTGACAACATCGGCACATGGCTTCATCTGCCAATTTCACAGCTTTAGATATCTGATCTTGCACTGCTTTGTTACTAGACCAGTTACAGTTTTGACGGTACTTATCAAGTCTGCCGTAATTTTCGCGAATCTTCTTCTAGGGATTTTTTTCTATACTCTAGTATTTTTTCCATCATTCTATAGATTTGTTGGCCACCCACTATTTGAACCATTCTAGAGATCTGTTGGCTAGCCATTTGTTGTTGTTGTTGGCCCCCCCAATTCTTGAAGTAATGATACTACTATTTTTCAAATGTAGCAGCAATACCGTAAGGCTGAAAATAATAATTATTTTCTATTAATTCTTTCTAATTCTTTTCTTTCTTTGCTCCATGAATCTAAATTATTTAGGTTCATGGAGCAAGAGCATTTATGTAAGAATCCATATTTTCAAAAAATCCATTTTTTCGATGTCTAACTTACCATCAACGTGAATTACCCTGTATATCAGAAGATTCAAGTATTCATTAGAATAAAAATATCTGATCATTACTACTAGAGAGAGAGAGTTTTTCAACAATATCATTCGGCAACTAAAGTGATAGCCATAATTAATACTGAATGTTTTTTTGCAAAAGAGATTCATTTTTAACGAAATGTTTAACATTTTTTTTTGAAACTTTATAGATTTATAATAGTCATTGTTTTTCTTTCTCTTTCAGTAGGCGCTATTGATAATTCAAAAGCGCAGTTTACTAAATTGACTAATGAAGCCATAAGCGCCCTCCAGTCCAAGTATTACGTTTTAGAATATAAAGTAGGAACGTTGTGTACCCAGCTGAACGAGGAGAGAGAAGCCAGGATCAGTCTGCAGAACATCGTCATGAACTACATGACGGCCAACGGAAAGGATTTGAAAGAATTCGACAGCATCCAGTTACCCGCATTAGAGAACAACGTTTAGTTTGTTTCCTTCCTTTTATGATACAGGATGTATAACGGTTTTTTTTGTGAAACGGTCACAAAAAAGTTTTAATGAAAAAAATCGTATTTGTTAACAAGCAATCGTCTCCTAAATTTTTTAGCACATAATTCATGTACACCCTGTAGAATTAAAAAAACGCAACGTTTGACTGAAATTGAATATACCTGATAGTATTTCTAAATCGTCTAGTTTTAAGCTATTAAATTATATATTGTCGCTATAATAGATTGTTAAAAATATTTTAGTTGTTTGTTATAGTTGAATTTATATCTACTAATTTAATCGTGGACCATTAATTATTTTTTATAATTCTTGATTGTATATCAATTAAAAATACATATATGTATACCATAAATATTTGTTTTTTTTTCGCTAAATATCGAGTAGCAGAAAAAATAATTTATTAATTTTCTTGTTTTTATCGTACTTCGGTACTAATAGTTCCTAGTTCGGTACTTCGATAGTTAGCGTATACCTTAGCCACAGCAAAACAACCCTGCTATCATATACTGTGATCATATACCGTATGATCCTTGATCGAAAAAACGGTGTCAGCGATGGTTATGACACAAAATATAAATCAACTGTTTGAACAAGTTGATTTCTATTTTGTGGTTATGAAATGAGGATCGCTGTCAGGGTTCGGAAAACTACATGTTATTTTTTAAAACTACATAAACTACATGTAATGTAGTTTATGTAGGGGGTGTAATTTATGTAACTTTCAAATATCAAAGGGGTAAAGGTGTGGATCCGGTGGCTGACCTTGAAGCCCATATTTGCTGCATTTGATCATCGATACTACGCAAGCGCACATCGTCGATGTTGCCAAATTGCAGTTTATTTTCGAATTATTTGCAGCTAAAATTTTTTTTTGAGTGTTAATAAATAATAATACAAATTCTATAATTAATTTTATAATTTCAGATTTATCTTGATATCCAAAAATAAGGAATGATATATAAAATTGAATATATAAAATTGTAATAATAATAACATTTATTTATATATTTACATTAGAATTAAAAATTATCATTCACGGATTTTTTCTTAATGGTTTTAAACTTATCAGAATTATTTTATTTCTGTCATAACTATTCTCAGATGTATAGAGCTGGCTAAATTCTATAAAGGCAAGTGGCCATATTACACTAGAGAAGAAGATTAGGTCATATATAAAAACTTAAGGCCATATATAAATAAATTACTTATTTTTCGTGGTTTATGTTGTGGTTTATGGTGGTTTAAGAAGAAGAAGAATTTAGAAAAAAACCTTAATTAGAACCAAAACTCTTGTATTTTAATAGTATTTATTATTTTATGACCAAAACATTATAGATTTACCATAACATTACTAAATTTTTAATATCAAAAGTGATTTTAAATCCATTTTGATGGATATCGGGGAGTTACTGGACTATAAAGTAATGACAGGCAAAACCTATTGAACATCTTTTTTATTTAACAATTATTACCTTATATTTCAGCCTCCTCAAGCCTTAAAACGGCCAGCAGATTCCGACGATAAACAAGATGATGTCGAAAAAGCTAAAAAAATGCGAAAAATTGCCAGAGCTAAAGCCGATCAAATGGCCAGACCTCCATCACCAACACCATCACTTCAAACACTAGACCAAATCACTGAAGAAGAAAGAGCGGAAATATTAAAATACGTTGAAACAGAGCAGACACAAGTAGGTAGTACTTGTATGTAAAGTAACATTTTTAATAATATTGCAATTTAAGGGAGAAGTAGTAGATGCCACTACTATCAAAAAAATTATTCTTAATTTTGAAAAAAGATCGTTAAAGAATCGAGAGATGAGAATTAAATTCCCTGATTCGCCAGAGAAGTTTATGGAGAGTGAAATTGAACTTCATGAGATCCTTCAGGAGATGCGTGTATTATCCACAGCTCCAGATTACTATCCGTTACTGGTGAAATTGCAAGTTATTCCCAGTCTGTTAGAATTACTCTCACATGATAATACTGATGTTGCAGTAAGTGAAATGTTTGTGTATGTTATGCCTAAAATGGATACTTGGCTAGTTTTAAAACTAACTAGCTATTTTACAAACTAACTAAAAGTGCTGTTATTTTGAATGAATCCGTCTATTTTTACAAAGTACCTGGTGACCAGTAGCTAGTTTACAAACTAGCTGGTTAGTTTGCAAACTATATATCTATTTTAGTTAATGTGAAGATTTCATATTGTTTGAATATAACTATAACTTTTATCAAATTAGGTAGCAACTGTAGAATTGCTTCAAGAGCTTACCGATGTTGATATTCTTAATGAATCTGAAGAAGGCGCTGATGCATTAATTCAGTCTCTTTTAGATCAACAAGTTATCGCATTATTAGTTCAGAATCTTGATAGGTAAAGTTAGAACACATTTAATATTCTTGTTTGTAGTGATATCGGTTGCTATAAAAATTTTAATTTTAGATTGGATGAAACTGTAAAGGAGGAAGCAGATGGTGTTCACAATACACTCTCTATTATAGAAAATCTTACTGAACTTCGTTCAGAAATAACCACCGAAGCTGGGAAGCAAGGTAAACATTAGTTTTTGCTCAGTTGATTTCTTTATTTAGAAAATATATTTATATTACAATTATGATTAGGTTTGTTAACTTGGATATTGAAAAGGCTTAGATTGAAAGCTCCCTTTGACCAAAATAAGTTATATGCAAGTGAGATGCTGTCAATTATACTACAAGATAATGAAAAAAATAGATTAATGCTTGGAGAAGTTGATGGAATTGACACACTGTTACAACAACTTGCATTTTATAAAAGACATGATCCAGCCACTGCAGAAGAACATGAATATATGGAAAATTTATTTAATTGGTAATAATAGTACAGGGGGTCTTTAATTTTGGACAAAAAGAAACATTTTGTATTTACCATAAATTGTCAATAGCCCAGTTATTTGACATTCAAAAATTTAAAAGATTATTGCATTTCATTTAAGAGAGACCCATATCTGTATTTTTATATTAAACAGCTTATTAAATGTATACAATTTTAGTTTGTGTAGTTCATTAATGGTTGTACCAAACAGAGACAGATTTTTGAAAGGTGAAGGCCTTCAACTGATGAATCTGATGTTAAGAGAAAAGAAAATATCAAGGAATGGATCGCTGAAAGTGTTAGATTATGCCATGGCTGGCCTTCATGGAAAAGATAATTGTATAACAGTTTTATAGGAGGTGTTAGAGAAAATTATTATGATTATATTTTTTTAGGTAATAAGTTTGTAGACATTCTTGGATTAAGAACTATATTTCCGTTGTTCATGAAAACTCCTAAGAAAAATCGTAGAAAAGTTTTATCAACTGAGGAGCATGAAGAACATGTTTGTTCTATTATTGCCTCTATGTTAAGAAATTGTCGGTAAGTTTAATTTTAATATAAATATAATAAAATCATTGACTAAAGAATACAAGGACCAATAACACCAGAAACCAAATTGTTACCAGTTGACACCAAAACTATTTGGCCAGTGCTGTGTCAGATAAATTAGGTTAATATAAAAAAATACAGGAATAAATAAAAAATATTAATTTAATTTTTTATGTCTGCCTTTTATAATAAAATTGATAATCAATTTTTTAACTAACAAAATTAATTTTTAAATGGGGCCATATGTGTCAACTAAACTGGGGAGTTTGCAAAATTTAATGTAGTAAATACTTACTGTTATGAATTATTAGAATTATTTAGTTATGAATAATCCATTTATATATATTTTTGGTAAAAGTTTTGACTACGCCTATGGTGGATGCTGCTTTTTTAGATGGTTATGCCAATTATTTAAACAAAAAGGTATTAAAATTTTCACAAAGGTACAAAACTGGTATGAGCTATTATACCCAATATGTAGCACATATCATTATATTTATAATATCATTGACAGCTGAACAAATCACCATTCTAATAAAATTTATACAAAGTACAGTACACACAATAAACTAGCAACAAACTATTAGAAATCGCTAAAATTGTCCGTGGTGTCACCTCCTTTGTTTTGGCATCAAAAAATGGCGTCCTATAATTTAACATCACATATTTTACTCCAGCCTGTATATGCGCGTTACGCGGCCTGGTACTCTTTAGCCAATGAATGAAATATATTTTTTGAAACCCCTTTATTCTTAGTGGTTCCCAGAGACAGCGCTTGATAAGCAAATTCACCGAAAACGATCATGAAAAAGTCGACCGACTTCTCGAGTTACATTTCAAGTATTTGGAAAAAGTTGAAAGCATAGATGAAACTTTGGACGACCGGGAAGAAAATGAGGACACAAACTATTTAAAAAGGCTGGAGGGAGGTCTTTTCACATTGCAATTAATTGATTATATTATCGTTGAAGTTTGTGCTGCAGGACCTGCAACCATAAAACAAAGAGTCATGCAGGTAAATATCAGATTTTGGTATTTATTTCATCTCTTCATACACGAAATTTTTTGTAGATACTGAATATGAGAGGTGCATCTCTAAAAACAATCAGGCATGTAATGAGGGAATACGCCGGTAATTTAGGTGAAGAAGGAGACAAGGAGTGGCGGGATCAAGAACAGCAACACATTTTACATCTTGTCGATAAATTTTAATTTAGAATTATTATTTTTAAGAGATATGTATGTTTATGAATATTCAAATATATTTTTCCCATGGAAGATACTGGTTTTATATGACTACAACTGTTATATACTGTTTTCATACGACTATAACTGTCGCATAATATTTTTATATGACTACAACTGTTACATACTATTTTTATATGACTACAACTAACTGTTACATATGACCACAACTGTAACATACTGTTTTTGTATGACTTCAACTGTTATATAGGTACTGTTTTTATATGACTGCCACTGCTGCATAGTGTTTTTGTATGTCTACAACTGCTACATACAGTTTTTATACGACTATAATTACTGTCGTATAGTTTTTTATATGACTACAACTGGTACATACTGTATTTATATGACTAAAACTTTTACATACTATTTTTATATGGCCACAACTTACATACCGTTTTTGTAGGACTACAACTGTTTTTATATGACTACGAATGTTACATACTGTTTTTTTATGGCTACTACTGTTAAATTCTGTTTTTATATGGCTTGTTTTGTATTAATCATTTAATTTCTATTTCTGCTATGTTTTGTTTAACGAGATAATTTCGACAAATGAAATATAAATCCCAAGAATAGCAGAATAAAAATCAATCCACTTTTTAAAGCTTCGTTTTTATGTAGAGTTTGGCTAACGAGAGAATTTATGGTAGAGTTGTCTGCCCTTTTAAATGAAAAGTACGCTGTTTTGCTGTCAATTTAAATATCGTCTGTTGAAATGGGATATTCTCTGGTTGTCCTTAATAAGAACAAGGATACGAAATTTCTACGAAAAAAATGCCTTTGATCAATTTTAACAAGTATCAATATTACTAATAAAAAATAATTAAGATTTTAGTTAAATTTTATGTTTAATTATTGAATGAAAGCCATTTAACAAAAACATTAGTCTGCTGATCCAATTTATGATATTATGGTATATTTATTTAAGATCACACGGTATATATATATATTACAATTTTTTTGTATCACCGTGTATATTTTTTTCCTCGCTTTCCACATGTCAGAAATCAGCTGTCACATCACTGTCATTGTCATATCGTCATTCGTTTTCTTGATTAGCCGTGTTGATGGTTGTATTATTACTATTTATTACAAATTGAAAGTAAATATTATTTTCTAGCGGTATACGAAGTTTAACTTAGCGGTTTAAAATGAACCTGTTTTTAAAAATCCTCTCAAATACTTAGACGCTTTAAATTTTCTGGGAAAATCAATATTAAAGTGTTTAATAAACAAATAGGACATGTCTGGAGTTTTTGGATATAGTCGGGAAGCTGTTAGGGTAAAAGTAAAGGTAAATATATTAATTATCAGTTAATTAATTGTAGAATTAGAGTATAAAGTGAAATTTTAGTATACTTTCTAGTATTTTTGCTGGAAATTTACATTATTTAAATTTAAGTAGGTAGATAAAAAATAAAATGTATACATAGGAAGTGATAATATTATCTTAATTTTATGCTGTTTACAGAAATACGAGGGCTGCTTGCCTGTTGAACTACGCAAATTTAGCGTAGATCCACAAATCACTTCCTTCGAGGTATTACAAAGCATTCTCGCCAAAGCTTTTGATTTAAAGGGTGATTTTGCTATATCCTATCGGGCTTATGATGTTACAGGAAAGGAGGTGTATATGAGATTACTCTCTGATTGGGATTTAGACGCGGCATTTTTGAAGTACGTAACTCTATTTTTATAAAACATAATATAAATATTGTTCATTATTTTAGGGCACATAATACATCAGTTGCCACCAATGCAGAACCTTGTTTATGTTTAAGAGTAGATCTAAAATCATTTGAAGAACAGGTTGATGATTGGGAGCAAAGACAAACTGTTTCCATTGTTACTCAGATTAGAACAGTATCCAGTCAAGAAGCAAAACCTGCTTCAAGATTACATGGCGTATTTAATCAGGTAGATAGATTAAATAAAAATATTGTTGTACATTAAAAGTGCCTACAAAAGGATAATGTATATATAAAGAATTCAATAAAAGTTGATGTGCATGTCTTCAAAAACGGTTAAACTATAACCAAATTAAATTTCTAATAAATAAAAATTCTTTTCAAATTTAGAAAGCAATTTTTCCTTTTTCTAATGATCTTATATCTTAGTTAAAAAAACAGTACACCGTCACATCAAGTAAATGAATTTGCCAATAAAAAAGACTACGTTGGCAGTCATGGCAAATGTTGCCAGTTGTCATGAGATTCTCATTTGCAAATCTGATATTTGTCATTTTCGATTTTATTATCTTTTTCTAATCTGACATTTTCAATTTTATTCTAATTTTTCTTTGACAAAATAGAAATTAAATGTGTATTTTGTTCTGTTAAAACTGTGAAAAAAAAGTTTCCTTGGCAACATTGCGACGTGCATTCGTCAAATACCGTATGATTAAAAAACGGCTTCCATTTGGCTTGAAAATGACGATCGATGACATTTCTTATAGAATTTTACATACCTAACATACCGCGCTGGCAAGTATTGCTACTGGGTCGGTATTTCCATGTCTAGAAGTGAATCGCATGGGATCTCATAAGGTCGGAGTGAGAAAAATGCGACGGCGTCAAAGACGGCGTGCTCTTGCGGCGTTGCCATATTTATCGGAGATATAGGTGCGCGTTTCCCTGGTCGAAAGACGCGTATTTCTAAAAGTTTGTCTTTTCGAAAAGATAACTAGATAAAATCATTAGATATATTTCTGGGCATCTGAAATCGAGTTATAAGAATATCGTTATGGTGTCCATTTTTTTATAAAGACAAAACGTCAATAATCGCGGTAATTTGAAAACTCAACTTTGTTAACACGTCCATAACACGCGATAACTCAAGAGCCACTTTAGATATTGAAACTTTCTATTTTTTATTTTGAAGTTCGGATCTTAGACATGATATTTAAATAAACTAGAGAAATAATTAGAGAAAACTTTGATTGGCTTCTTTTTTTTCGATTCAAAAATTTTTAAAAAAGCGTCCATCAACTTTTAGTTGTCAATTTGAATTTAGTGTATGGCAATTTTCAACCATCGTGTAACTTTTTTGTTTGTAAAGATTTTCACATACTATCTGTAAAGAAAATATAGCAGAAACATTAAAAGTTAAAAAAACACAATCCATCATTTCTAATGGATTTAGAGGTATCGATTTTTGAATCCAGACTTCGAATAGCGTCGACCACTGTCTAGCACCCACTCAATTCCACTTATTTTTACCAAAAGTACCGTAATTTCTGGACATTTTAGAGTTAGAGTCGTTTAATTTCTAACCTGCATTTAATAATATACAAGCTATAACGAAAATTACAACAATTCGTTATAAAATTAATAAACTATAATGAGACGTAATTAAATCGTGAAGCTGAACGCATGATGTACACCCTTCCTTAGAATTCTAAGTACTGGATTTAAATCTGATTTAAATTTTATGTTTACAGCGCTTTCAGATGGAGCGGACCGTCCGCGCAGATATTTTTTCAAGATGGCTCATCCGGACGGAGTATACGCGACCCATGTGAAATTGTTCATATAAACTCATGGTACTTGCTCGAAGTCGCGGAGAGTCTATCGCGGACGCTCCGCTCCATCTGAAAGCGCTGTCAGATGGAGCGGACCGTCCGCCAGTTCCATGAGTTTAAATGAACAATTTCACATGGGTCGCATATATTGTCGACGGCTATCTTGAAAAAAACACGACGGTCGCTCCGCGCGGACCGTCCGCGCGATCTCTCCGCTCCCCGCTCCATCTGGAAGCGCTGTTATGCGCCGTGACCGTGTCAACCGCGACGAAATTGCCATATCCCCTTCCACGTCTCTTCGCAATGTGCACAGTTTTTCGGTTTATTTCATACGTTTGGCAACGTTTTTACTCTTCTCTCTTTGTTCAGTACATAATAAACGCATTGTACTCTTCTCACATACGGGAATTTCGACCCAAACCCAAACCTTGCCAACCCAAAGTGCCGACCGTATAAAATGACAGCGAGTTCATTTCATAGTAATCGCTGACGCCGTTTTTTTTTTCGAGCATATTGTAATTTAACGACGTGCACGCCAACTTTTATTAATGTTGCTACAGATGGGAAAAACTCTTAATATGGTACAAAGAGCTTTCAATTTTGGAGAAGACGGCAATAATCCAATACCGCCACCTAGGCATGCATTAAACGATGGAGAGTTTCGTAGGTTTTGTGATGCAGTTGGTCAAATTGTTTATCCTAAAGAATTAAGATCGGTAATTTATTATGGCGGTATAGAACCGAGCTTGAGGTATTAATTCATTAAATTGGTTTTACTTGTACCACTTCAAATTTTATTTTACCTCTAGGAAAGTAGTTTGGAAACATTTACTTAATGTTTACCCCGATGGTATGACCGGTAGGGAAAGAATGGATTATATAAAAAGAAAAGCAAACGAGTATGAAAAGTTAAGAGACACATGGAAACAAGCCATAGCACAGGCATGCTAATTATTTAAATCAATTTATATCAGTATTTTGACGTTTGTTTATGTTTCAGGGCCCTGTAGTTGGGGAATTAGCCTATACCACAGGAATGGTTAGAAAAGATGTATTAAGAACAGACCGACACCATCCGTTTTATGCTGGAAGCGACGACAATCAAAATATAGCATCATTATTCAATATATTAACAACGTAAGGTTTTAGATTGTTTTTAGTTCTCTTTTTATTTCGAATGAGGCACGATTGTAACAGCGATTTTTTTGATAACAGGTACAACACTGTTCCAGTTCTAAAAGATATGCCTGTTCCAAGAAACCTGTTTTAGTTTCAAACTGTTCCAAAATGTAGACTAATGCCATGCTTGCGTCGTGCTGTTCTCTCTATAACCCCTGTTCAATTACTACGCTACACTAGGTGGGAATTCTAGTTCCTTGGGTGGAACTAGTTCCTTAGTTCTGATTCCTCCAGAGGAATAGTTCTTCGAACTGGGTCTTTAGTTCACAATAGTTCCCGACTAACATTGATATCCCCGTTGCTAATGGGTTTCGTATGATCTGTCTACTTTTTATAGTATACGAAATATAACGAGTGTGTAATTGCGTATGTTAAAAATCTCCTTAAAAACATTGCATATGTTAAAAATATACAGATAAGCTTTATTGCAGATAAAAAAAAAATAAAAAAGAAACTCAAATCAGAGTTTAAAAAACTATATCACAAACCAAAAGTTGGAGCAAATAATACAAAAATTTTACGAAAAATTGCATTTTTTCTCACTTCAAGCTTTTTGTCTAAAAATTCAGAATATCTACTTCGTTTTTATAAGATATTTCTTAATTTTAGGGACCTAAAGTGAAACATTCCCATAATTCAAAGAACTAAAAATCCAAAACAGTATCCATGACAATTTTCTGTGGTAATTACGCTGGCTGTGGCAATAGACAAGGCCGAATCCGTCGTCGTCGCCTTGTATAAATATCTCGGATCTGCCGACTGAATCGATGTATCGGGCTACGATTGCGCTGGCCGATCCATACGTAAACTAGTCTTTTATTTAGTTCCTCTAGGTCCGGATCTGATAACATACGGCTGGCACTCCCCACTAAATACTGAAACTGAATCGCCAAACCGGAATCCGGCTAAGCCAACCTAAACCTAACAAAAAATGAAACTGAAAGGAGAGCCCGAATTTATTCGAATGATTATCCAAATAATCATTCGGTTACTAGTATTATTCAAATGCTAATAATCCGGTTATCAAAATTGTTCGGTTATGCCCATCACTGCTTTTATTTAGTTCCTCTAGGTCCGGATCTGATAACATACGGCTGGCATTCCCCACTCCTGCCTAGCATTGGGCTACGATCGCGCTGGCCGATCCTTCGCTGTCGCATATTATTATATATCGGTCACAGTCTGATCCCAAAACAGGTCCTGAGACTCCTGAGGTACCAGTTCTTTGAGAAACCGAAAATTAGTTCCTTTCATTCCGGGTTCGGAATAGTTCATTGGAACTAGTTCGTTCACGAACTACACACCTCTACGCTACACTAACGTTTGTTCGCTGCTCGCGACAATGGAACTGGAGCAGAATAGGATATGAACTGTACCTGTTCCAAAGTATCATCACTAATTTGAATTATATTTTTCTTTTATTAGATATGCTTTAAATCATCCAAAAGTTTCTTACTGTCAAGGTATGAGTGATTTAGCATCACCACTTTTGGTAACAATGAACGATGAAGCTCATGCCTATATTTGTTTTTGTGCTCTGATGCAAAGACTGGCCACAAACTTTATGATAGATGGTATTGCAATGACTCAGAAATTTACTCACTTGGCTGAAGGTTTGATGTATTATGACCCAGAATTCTATAACTATTTGAAAGTTCATCAGGTATAATTTCATAATTTTATATGAGATATTCATAATGCTACTTGTTAATTATTTTATTTCTTACTGAATTAATGTAAGCTTATATCGTCTTGATTGCGCTAAACATAAATAGAGTCGTAGCTCTCTTGAGACATTATTAACGGGAATTAAGATGTTATAATTCCCTCTACCTTTTATAGGTAATAACCCTGAAATACAATAGAGATTTTGAGTAATAATATAAAGTGAACACTCGTGTAAATACTCTAATACTTTACTTACATCGTTAATGTCATGTTAATTAAATTTGCAAGAGAAAATCATTGATATCCCCTGCTAAAATATTTTACTTTCCCAGCCACTGAAGGTATGTTTATGTTCCATTTGGTAAATTGATTCACTTTTAGATAGAAGTAACGCTTGTCGTGCTTCTTCAGCTTTTTTTTTCTTCCATTTTAGTGGAAATGTACTCGAACATGTTCCGAATTGTACGAAAGACGTTTTTTTTTTACAAAAAACTCGGATGAACAACTGTCAATTATAGATAAAGGAAACAAGTTCCCAGTGAGCATTTTATTCCTTTAAGGGAAATGTGTTCTAGGTCACGTCGTTGTTACGTTACCAGGCCCATTTTCCTGATATGAAGCAATAAAACGCAGATACGTAACGGTTCCATAATGTTCCCTAAATGTACAAAACTTTGCTCACTGGGTTTAGATTGGAATGGTCGGCTTGCCGCCAAAACTTATAATTGTTTTGGAGTGCATACGTCGTACGGGATCTGGCGCTGCTATAGCGGTTGCTAAGAACAACCGTAAACAAGGAAAGAAATAATTTTCTTTTGTCAAAGTCAGAATCTTCAAAAATTATAAAATCTATCAAAATTTAAACTGCCCTCTTTGAAAAAATACCGAAAAGTGTTTAAACCGTCCATTTTCAAAGTAATTATTGCTATCTTGGGAGTTTAATTTAAATTTTATTTACTCAAACCCGTGATAATTGTGAAAAAGTGTCATTAAAAATTTAAAAAGCTGTGTGAACTGTGAACTGCAAAAACCATCGTGGATCATAGCATAACATCGGTTTCCAATGTTTTATAGATATTTCATACATGTCCTTATATAAAATAAAGTTTCTTATATGCAACACACTGTATTTTAATTAAAAAATTAAAAGAAAATAATAAATTTGAATATATAATATTTGGCAACATAATTCCGGCAAAAGCCGAACCGCTCCGAAATTATCAAAAGCTTTGGAGAGCGACCATTGTAAGAATGGCGCCAAATAGTATTTACATTGTCCTTATGGGCACTTTCCAATCTACATTTGTTTCCTTTATCTATGCCGGTCAATTTATAGAGAGGTAATTTATTAATAATGTTTTAATGCTATAGTAACTGGCAACAGTTCCTACCAGCAGCGTTTATCAAATATACCGGAAGATTAATAAATGCAACATTTGTGTCGTTTTAAAATGGGATAAAATATACTAAATTCAGTAAGAAATAAAATTATCTATGTACCACGTGAATTATAAAGTGTTAATAACCTCAGACAATTATTGTCCTTCGGGACACAAACTTTGCCCTTGGTAATTAACACTCTTATACATAGATAACTATTTTAGGCTGACGACCTTTTATTTTGTTATCGCTGGCTGTTATTAGAAATGAAGAGAGAATTTGCTTTTGACGATTCTCTGAGAATGTTGGAAGTTCTTTGGGCTTCGTTGCCCGCTGATCCCCCTCAACTAGAGCTCAAATTGTTTGACACACCTTTCCATCCTATTCCGGCCACTGCCACGCCTCCAATCAGCCCATTGGTAAGTATTTAAATGATAAAAATACTTAAGAATTTGTCTGTCTATTAAGATCAAGACCCTTTATCTCAGAAACGCATGGAGGTATTGAGTTGAAATTAAAACCATACACTCTGGTCTACAGTCCCTTGAACCTGTGAAAAAATCAAACTTCTATTATCTACTATCTACTAATTTTGGTTATTTTTTAGCCTTTTAGAAAAATCTTTGATTTTTCTTGATTTAAGTAAGATAATGGAATAGGTTGAGGGGACCTAAAAACTCCTTAATGTAGGGGGCTTAAAAACTCTCTATATCAGCGCATAAACGTTATTATGATAGTACTCTAAAAATTCAACTTTTACATAACTCTCAAAATTCTCAAAATAACGCCTCCCTTAATACCGCATATCGTTGCAATATCTAACCTAACTAAACGTTTCTGCACATTAATTCCTTTAATGCACAGTTACTGCACATTATTTCCTTTAATTAGGTGAAAACTCCACGGGAAAACGCCTACACCAAAGTCTGCGCCTTGCGACGTCAAAGTTCGTCGATATCATTAAGTAATTACGCTTGTAGAAAGTCTTGTCCCGTTAAACGACAGAACCATAGCTTAGACGAGACGATAAGTAGATACAAAGGTAGCGCGCTGGACATTAAGCTTAATAAAAACCAAAGCTTGGACGACGCCGCACTCACCCGCAACTTGAAAAGTGGCCGAAGTAGCGATTCCAGTCCTAGATCACCTAAGCATGGTTAGTAGAAATTATAAAATAGACAATAGGCTTGGTGCATTCTCCGCCGGTGCTGCCACTCTCGGAGAATACCATAAACAACCGACTAAACAAGTACATGGATTTAAATAGTGAGCACACGAAAAATTTGTTATATTATTATTCTAAAAGCGTTAGGAAGTATAATTTGTGAAAATTCTAAAAAAAAATAAAAAGGTAAGTATTTTGATATCTTCAGATGGTCTAACTTATAATTTAATATTCAAGCTAATAAAACTTTTTAGATGAGTTCCACTACGGTAGCGAGCATACTTTTACGCACTGGTTTTGCTAATAGGGCTATTATAATTTTAGATGTCCATTTAAAAAAAAATTGATTAAAAAAAGTATGCCATTAATGATCAAAGTATATTTATCTTCTCATAGTATAGGTATGCCTATTTAATTGAGTATGTAATGGGCACTTTGTTTACTCACTTATTTCGTCGAACTGTCTTATTCCATTTTTCCTTTTCATCAAAATCGGTGCCGGTGTGGGAATGCTGGGGAGCTATAAAATGTCCCGGGAGAGTGGCATTGAATGTTATTGCACCCATCAACCACGTAATTACGTCCTCCTTTACGTGTTAACATTTCTTCGGCAATTTTATTAATACATATTTGAATTGTCACAACACAACGCGACGGTTAGTTCGAGTTCTTTTTCACTTAATTTTTACTACCCGAAACAGCGTTACATCACACAAACTTCGTACCTGAGAATTTGATAGTTTCATGTTTATATATACCTATATACGGTATGTTTCATACCATACATAGTTTCATAACTGCGCTAGTAAAAACTAAAATATTTCAATATTGTGACCTAGCCACGATTTCAATATTGTTTCAATGCGATGAAAATGAGCGGTAACTTAAACAAGAACCTAGAAATAAAGAAGGTGGACAGTTCTGATTTCTGCCGTACCGAGCGGTGCTGTCGGAATTTTAAACATTTAAAATGGTTGTTTGAAATGCACTAAGCCTATACTCTACATGTATTTTTTAACGCACAACTAACACATTAGTTAGTGAAATGCTAAAAATGTATGTATATTTCCAACATTCGCTAATTCTAAAGTCTATCCAACGAGTCACAGGTGATTTTGACATCCCAACGTGACAAAAAATACAATTTGTCTGTGAATTAAAATGTCAGACACAACTGTCACTGTCAGGGATCCTCCCGTTGGGACAGACTATATATCATCAAGTGCTTTTCTTACACAAAGCGATCTAAAATGCTTAAAATAGTTGGCTGTTCTGATTTTGCTCATACGAATGCCAATAAATTTATCGACATATCGAGATAACTAAACTATATCGACAGATGAATTGCGAAAATTTATCAATAGGTAAAACCCCCATTATCGCCTATCTCTAGCATCCATAACTAACCTGCTCTAACAGTGTATAGCCAATTATTTTAATCATTGAAGATCGCTCCGTACATACTTAGCATGGTTTCCCCCCTCTTATAGGTGGCTCCAAAGACGACACATCCCCCTCCCCTTGCTCCGAACAACTTCGAGCACGATCAGTCTCACCCCTCGAATCGAAATCCGACTCGGTAGTGCTTAATAACCGCTTAAATAACCAACCCATCGTCGCGAAAACGAAAAGCGCAAGCCTCTCCTCCAGCATGTCGAATCTAATCAAAAACACGAAAAAAGGCGGCCATTTCAAAGAGCTAAAAGACAAAATTGCGGTCCATAAGATATTCTCTTCTTTAGATAGACTAGACGCCACTCAGAGTATCAAGGAAGAGGACGAAAAGCCGAAGAAAGTCGTTAAGAATTTGAACGAATTCTTAAACTTCGCTGGTATGAACAAGAATAAGATTTCGGATAGAGCTCAAGGTCAGAATCAGTTGCAGGCGAACGAGAAACCGAAAATTATGCTGACTAAGTCCAGCTTTGATGATTCGGAAAGTTCCAGCGACAAACCGAGATGTTCTTCGACATCCAACACGATGACGACAGACGATACGGATACGTTTGATGAATACAGTCCGGATGACAGTCAAGAATACTTTCCCATGACTACTTCCGTGACGAGGGAACTGCGTCTGGAATTGGAGAATTTAGATAGGAAAGTTTTCGGGGATCATTACAACAGTAAAGTTTCCGAGTCACCTTCGAGCGATTGCGACATCAAAACTGCCAACAAGAACGAGGAAATACGGCGGGAAAAGCCTAACGGCGGTGACGTTTTCATTTGGGAAAATCCACTACACCAGGCGAGTCCGAAGAACATGCCTTCTTTCACCGATACGCCCGATGAACAAGCCGATATAGATTACGACCCTCCCACCATGGTAAACGAAACTTCAGCTACCAAAACCGTCACTCCGATTAAGATTATCAATTCTACATGTAAAACGGAGACAAGACAGAAAGTCGTAGCGAATATTTCCGCACCCTCGCCCCAACCTAAGCCTTTTACTTGTCAAAATATACCTCAAGAGTGTCATAACGGTGCCGGATTGATGACGAACTCTTGCGAGGAAGTGACGGAAACCAAGTCATCTACATTCTTACCGCCACCTGGTGAATTTGGCGGAGGCAATCCGTTCCTGATGTTTCTCTGTCTGACCGTTCTCCTTCAGCATAGAGATCACATAATGGGCAAAGGTATGGATTATAACGAGATGGCGATGCACTTCGACAAGATGGTAAGAAAGCACGAGGTGACTCGCGTCTTGAATCAAGCGAGACAGATGTATCTTAGGTATACCAAACAACAAACTATTGCTCATCAAAAACTCGAATTGAAAAATGAGAATTGTTGATAAAACGATTAGGTAGAAAGAAGTTTTTTGACTTAGAATTAACTGGTAATAAATTGTATTTTTAAAATAAAACCTTGGTCGAACCTTACTACTACTTAAATAGTATGGCCTAAAATACATTGAAAACTATACTTATGACAATTATGAGCTTTAATATCATAGTTAATAATTATTAGTATAACGTGCTCAGTGAAATTTTACACTATTACAGCATGAATTCAAACTATATTCCTTCTCCTATTATTGTTACCTCTACTATTATTCCCGGTATTCTAAATTGTCACTGCCAAAAAAATAGAGATTCAAACTGAACTTATAGCTTATTTATATAGAAATGTACAGGGTTGTACGAATTGTATTCGGAAAACTTTAATATATTCTGCAGATAAAAATATGTTAAAAAGTTTGTATAAATGTATGTCCTAAAATGCTTCGTTTCTGAGATACAGGGCATACAGGGTGTACAAGTTTCATTTTTATTACAATTTTTCGAAATAATATAACGTCGATATTTGGATGAAAACTGGTGTCTGGGTGTTTTTTGACGTAAGAAATTTGATTTCGATGTCAATATGACTCCTATTTGTAGGGACCCAAGGACTGTATATATTCTAAAGGACTGTTCGATCGCGTCAAATCGCCGCTATCGTAGTCACCCTGGAAGCTTAGTCACGCAGGGACCAGCGCTCCACAGTGCGGCGGATGGTTATTCTAGCGGGATAAAATCTCAGGAGCGATATTATATGGTTGGTTGATAAAAATGTATCGAAATACAAAGAATATATACGACCAATAAATAATTCATGCATTTTTATATCAATTGGAATGTCTACTATTGATTCTTATCAGTACACATTTTTGGTTTATTTCTAACCAAACGGTTTTGTCTCGCTAGATTTATCTTCCGCCGCACTGTGCACTTGTCCGTCAAACGCAAAAATAACTGTCACTGTCTAAAATCTTTAGCGCGAACTTCAACTCGGTCCCTAGAAAACGTAAAAAAACTGACAATACAGGAAGATAGGAATCGAACTATCCTTATCTCTATAGTATCCTTGGGAACCACCTACGTTTTTTTTTATTATTTTGAAGAGTAATAACTTTTCGTCAGTCCCTGTATAAAAAAACTACTGAGTAAAAAATATACATTTCCGTCATTCTTTACGTAAAAAAAGGTCACTTGGTAAAAATCGCTGTGGGCAACCGTTTGTTCTAAAGATATTTGGAATGGAAATAGTCATTACATATTACAATCATTGACAAAAAATAAACATGTTGACTAGATAGTTATTTGACTGACATGATAAAGTTGGGAACTTTTTATTTTTTTAAATTAATCATAATTTTTCTAGAAGAAAAAATTATTAATTAAAAACAATTTCCGTTGAACCTTTGGTACAAAAATATTTAAAATTTATTTTTTCAGTCCAATAACTATCTAGTCAACGTGTATAATTTTTATCAATGATGACATGTATTGACTAACTATTTCGATTCCAAATGTCTTGAGAATTCTTGTCATTACTCTACATATTAGAGACAGTGGTTTTATGACAAACGTCAGATTGATATTTTTTGTGACTGGGCATGTTGAACAAATAAAACATAATAAACTGTTTTAAATAAAGTAGATACAATTTATAAACACTGTTAATTTTAAGTCAAGAAAACTTTGTCAAAATCACATGTCTTATGGTTAGTCAAGTAATAGATACTGTGATATTTTTAATTTAGTTCTCTGTCATAAGTTTTCAAATTTCTAGATATTTCTAAAATTTTCCTTTCTTGCCAAGATTCATATTTTTTAATCTTAATAGTGTTCAAGTTCAATAATGTGGGGTGAATGTACAGTAACAGATTTCAATATTTGACGAGATGATTGGCGCGTACTATAGTATCAAAAAAAAAGCCTATGAAATCATCATATCTATGTACTACACAATCAATAACACCATACATATAAAAAGTCACAAGAAAATTAGAGATATGATATCAGTTTTTGGAAAATAATATAATTAGGATAAAAAGATATTTTAGTTAGAGGATGGTACCAGAATATTGTTGACATTTCAATACGGAATCCTTAAGTGTCACTCACATTTTGTAATTTTTTAATGAATAATCAGGTTTCAAATGAATGTAGGTACATATTCAAAGAATAAATTAGAAATGCCCATTTTTTACCATAATATCTGACAAGATTATCAAAGTTAGTGCAAAGAAAAATTTCTTAAATAAATTGTCAATTAATTTTGTGTACTCATACCTCCATACTAAGAGGAAAAAATTATTATTGACATTTTGAGAGAATAATGCATTCTTCATAAACAATTTTGCTTGTTCTATAAAGGTTAATCCCTTTTATACTTTTTCAAATTTCCATACCGTTGTAGAGAAAATTAAAAAAAAATGAAGTTCTAAAAATCAAAACTAATAGTAATATAATTTCGATTTCATCCTTTGATAGATGGTTATTATTAGTGATGGAAAAAAACCCGAGTAATTTCAATATTCGAGTACTCGAGTTTTAAGCGATTTCAATAATCGAGCGATCGCTAGAACGAAATTTCTTTCGGTGATGAATGCCAAGTAGCAAGCGACGAGTAATTCGCTTGATTTAGTTTAGTTTAAAACATTGTCGGATATAGATCGTAAAATTTTGTCACTCAGATACGCAACGGATAAATTTGCTACCTGCAATGTATGTAGAAAATTCGCTCGGCTTTATATCGAGTATGTCACATTAAAATCGGATTTCAAATTATTTCATTCTACATAGGGATCGCTTGCGTTCGTCGCTCGTAACTCGTCTACCTTTAATTTTATATATTCATAATGAAATGAAATATATTTCGATATAACGTTTGGCAACCACGCAACTGAAGTGCAAGCGACATCTGTGCAAGAGAAGCAAAACCTCCCAAAAAAGTTAGAAAAGAAATCTAAAAATTTCAGATTATTCAAACGTCACTCCAATATTTTTCCAAATTGGAGTGAAATTAGGGTGACAATTTTTAACACGTAAGGAGCCATCTGGATTATGTGTTATCTGTGATATTACCATAGAAAAGCGTTTTGATTTTTAGGACATATTTTCATGTTTTTTTTAATTTTCCTAAAACGGTATGGAAATTTGGAAAAGTATAAACGGGATTACCCATTTTAGAACAAGCAAAAACGAATTAGAATCGTTAGATACATTACTTGATCTACCATAATATAACATGAAATTAATTTGTATATCGCAACTATTAATACAATAGGCGATTAAATGAATAATTAAAATAACAGTACAAATAATATATGTATGTATTATTAGTTGCTATTTACAAATTAATTTCATGTTATATTATGGTAGGCACTGGCGTAACTACAGGGGTGCATGGGCTCCTTGACTTAAGCCGAGTGCTGTAATGTAATGTAACACGAGCATTCGCTAGTCAATGCCGAGAAATAATCGGCGAACCGAGCGGTTCGCGACCAGCAAGTGTCTTTAAGGCAAAGAAGATAAAAGTTCACCCTTGACACTCGAAATTGTACAAAATAAAAATGGCATAAAATGCGATATGAAATAGCTTAGGCTAAGAGATTTGAATGCTCCAAATACATCTCAAAAATAGTCAAATAATATTGAAAATATCTGCAAGTCGCACGTCAGATATCAGAAGTGGAACTGCATATTTTCTAGAGATATGTCGTCACTATACGATAACTTCCATAGTATTTAATCTTCTTCTAGGCTTGGTGCATTCTCCGACTGTGCTATCACCATTGGAAAATCCCATAAACAACCGTGTGATACAAATACATGAATTTAAATAGTACACGAAAAATTTGTTATAATTATTAGTTGAAAAGTATTAGCAAGTGCAATTTGTGAAAATTCTAAAATAAAAATAAAAAGGTAAATCTTTTTTAAACCTTTTGCTATCTTCAGAAAGTCTCACGTGTATTATAACTTATTATTCAGGCTAATTCAAACTTTTTAGATGAGTAATAACATACCAGCTGCTTCTACTACGATATCAAGCATAGTTTTACGCACCGGTTTTGCTAGATAGAACATAACTGGGGCTGTCTGGACTGTACATTTTTTAAAGGTACATAATATACAATAATTATAATTTTAGAAGACGTTCATACAAAAATATAAATAAAAAATGTAAGCACTAGTTGATTAAAAAGAAGTATACCATTAATAATGACCAAGTTATATTTTCTCCTCATAGTATATGGCTATTTAATTTTTTGATTATGTCATGGGCACTGATGTTTGATTATGTGCATGAATGGTAACCGGGACAATGTGAAATAGCCGGACAGTTCTGATTTTTGCCATATCGAGCAGTGCTGTCGGGATTTTAAAAATCAGTTGAAATGCACCAAACCTATATTCCCAGTAGTTATGTATTACATCATTTCACTGGATGTAATTTAAATCCCGATGTGAAAATTGACTATTAAAATGACCATTAAAATGATTTCAACAATTGTTTTCACGGGAGTTTCAATACTAGAACTGAAATCAAAACGATATCAAAATTCCACGAAAACAGTAAAAAATAAGTATTAAGCATAGTTCCGCGAGACTTGACTTCGTTGTAATCACCCCGGAGATACCAGTGGAGTGCAGATCTTGTGTGCGACTTGGAAATTATTTTTTAATAGTTAAAAAATATGTAAGAGACGGTACATTTTTTTGTACAAAGTTTACTTAAATACATTTTGTTTCTTCCATTAATTTAAAGTACTTAGCTCTCTTTTAGAGTGTACTATTTAAAAATTAATGCATGATTATCTAAGTATAAAAAATAATCTTTTTACTCTGTAGGTTTTATAAACTTATTTAAGTCGTTATGCAAAATTTTACATATGCCCTAGATTTATTAAATGTAATTTAGCACGATACCATTGTACACTCATAATAGATTAGCAATATTTTAATATGATGTGGACGCATATAAGACTGTTTTTTGAAACAAACTATGAGATTGTTTGCACTGTAAAATTTGCTTTTTATTAAATCGTATATATGTATACTATCGTGGAGTGATATTCGATATATTTTAATTTATATATTGGACCAAGTGTTTTATAATTTTGTTTCAATTTAAAAGCGATTATGTGATTTGTGGAAACACGACTTGTGATTATAATTTATTTCGAAATGTATAATTTTCCTATTTTTGTTTTATGTGGTAGAGATAGCTTTACTATAATTTTAGGCTGTAAAATAAAGATGATAGATAATTCTACTTGTTTACTTTTAATACACTTTCTTAAGACCCGGCTGAAAAATGAAGAGTTTAACTCTCTGTAGCTACGATATAAAGCTGAATCGGATCTATGTTGATATAAAAAATAAATTTTATTTTTACATGAGGAATCTCCCCACAAGAGATGGCACATGTCCTTTGAAACACTCTGTATATCTAAAATTATAGTATCAATAACATATCAATGGGATTTTAAACTTTCTACATGATTTATTACCCTAGAATTTCTCTCGCCAATTTTTTATAAATATATTCCTTTATTAAGTGTTCTGTGTAGTCTTTTCTTAGTCCTATTGTTCAACATCAATTCTCCCATATTCTATGATTCAAGTTGAAATAAAATACATTTCATATTTAAAAAAGACTTTATATAACATATTTTTTTAAATAAAATAAATAATATAATAACCTAGTAAAAATGCTTAATTAATACCTACTAACTAATAATTTTTAATACATATTTAATTTATAGTTTACCTATTTTTACATTATGACGCCATTTAATTATGAATGGTAAAGAAACATTAGTTTTTCGCATTTTTCCAACGACAGTCCGTTTTTTAACAGCATTTTTTCAAGCTGAGCGAAAGAAGCGGGTATTTTTAGAAGTTTTAATGCCAACGCGGATAATGAAGGATATTTTATTTCCACCAATCCCCAGTATGTTAGCGGTTTTGTAACATCTTTCTTTTTAAGGTTATTAAAGATGCCAGTCTCTTTCAGAAATTCATTATATCCATTCAAACTTTCCGAATCTAACGAGTCAATAATAAAATCTTGTACGTCTTTTAATTGATTCTTACTAATTAATTTTCCTCTATAACTTGGATGGAACAAATTAGCTGCCAGCCCATATATAGTAAGAGTCATATTAACTTTGTTTTTAATATCCAGTTCTTTTGGGCTTTTTAATTTTAAAAACCGCGAAATTTGCAGTTCTAATTTAAACCATTCTTCCGTAGCATCGGCAATTAAAAATTCCTCGTTCTGGCATTTATCTATTAGTTCACAAAGAGGATCTAATAGATCCATAATAATTTGAACATCCCCTAAAAATCTTTCATTGTTTAGATTTTGACTAGTGCTATGTTCAATCTTGTCGTAGCCATCATCAACCACTTTAATCATGAAATTTAAATTACTAAGAAACGATTTACAAGCATCGCGTTGGCTAAATACCTGAGTTTCAGTTGGTAAAATTAACTTAGATCCTCCCTTACTCAGAACTGAATTTTCCAAATCTGGGCTTTGGAATTCTTTTAATATCTGAATAACTTCATTAAATACATTAGTATCTGCTATATCTTTAGCCCATAAGTTAGATGTTTTATTTATACAAGGAACATTCCAGAGATTACTAAGACATTTCATTTTAATCATATCAGCATTATCACAAATTATGGCATAAATCTCACAATTGTACTGTAATTTAACATCAGAAATGGACTTTTCACATATATTTTCTAGAGTTTCACCAGTTTCTCTAAGTGTAGAAAATTCATGGCATTTTAAAAAGACACCTGATGTTCCAATACAATGTAACATAGTAACAACGTCTTTTGTGTTTGATGACTCATATGTACTGCTGTTCTTTAATTTTGTATTTAATTCATTTAGTGACGTATTAGACAGAAATGATCGTGTCGGTGGTGTGTAAGTGGGACAGAGAAGCTTCAAAAACTTTATAAAGTGGACACTTTCAACAACGGCAAAAGGTATTTTACAACCATAAAAGAATTTTGCTAAGCTAATGTCTTGTTTGGATTTAACTTGTGATTTCGCCGAATCAAACAAGTATTTTTTATGTCTCTTAAGTGGTCTTTTGTCAACTAAAGAGTGGAGTGACGAAGTTTTAGAAGTTGAAGGATCGTATATAGGATCTTCTTCATCAGAACTAGCGTTATCACGTTCTAGGTTGTCATCTAATGATTCCCAGAAATCATTCTGTAAGTAAAGTATTTGATATTTTTATCTTCTATCATAAAAGAAAATATATAACTTACATTCTCGTTCATTTTAGTATCCATTAAAGTTTTTGTGTCTTCAGAGTTAGAATTATCTGATTCTTCTTTGTTAAATAGGTCTCCCTCCATATCTTTGTTCATTTCAAAACTATCTCCATCCTTTCCTATACAATGTTTTCTAAAATTATTAAATATTTTTTTATGTCTCTTAAGTGGTCTTTTGTCAACTAAAGAGTGGACTGACGAAGTTTTAGAAGTCGAAGGATCGTATGTAGGATCTTCTTCATCAGAACTAGCGTTATCACGTTCTAGGTTGTCATCTAATGATTCCCAGACATCATTCTGCAAGTAAAGTATTTGATATTTTTATCTTCTATCATAAAAGAAAATATATAACTTACATTCTCGTTCATTTTAGTATCCATTAAAGTTTTTGTGTCTTCAGAGTTAGAATTATCTGATTCTTCTTTTTTAAATAGGTCTCCCTCCATATCTTTGTTCATTTCAAAACTATCTCCATCCTTTCCTATACAATTTTTTTTTTGTTTTCTAAACTTAAATATTTTTTTATGTCTCTTAAGTGGTCTTTTGTCAACTAAAGAGTGGACTGACGAAGTTTTAGAAGTCGAAGGATCGTATGTAGGATCTTCTTCATCAGAACTAGCGTTATCACGTTCTAATTTATGATCTAATGATTCCCACAAATCATTCTGTAAGTAAAGTATTTGATATTTTAATCTTCTATCATAAAAGAAAATATATAACTTACATTTTTAATATCCATTAAAGATTTTGTATCTTCAGAGTCAGAATTATCTGATTCCTCTTTTTTAAATATGTCTCCCTCCATATCTTTGTTCGTTTCAAAACTATCTCCATCCTTTCCTATACAATGTTTTCTAAAATTATTAAATATTTTTTGAGGCATATTTTATACAGGGTGCTTCTTAAATAAGTACATAAGTATTTTAATCGGTAGGCAGATGAAATGGCCAAACAAGGTTCATCAGGGCCCATCCATAGGCCCAGAACCCTTCGGCGGTGTTGCAAAATCAGTCACTATAATAGCTACAAAACGGTGGGTGGCCAACAAATCTCTAGAATGGTGGAGAAACTCACTGGGGCAGAGACAGGCGAAAAAGTTCACAGTATTCAGGAAAGTTCACAGAACATTCGCCAAATTCACGGCAGACCTGTTAAGCAAAGACAGAAAAGCAGTCAAAGCTGTAGTGGGCCATTGTATACTTAGAACTAGAGGTAAATACTCCCATAATTTTTTTTTTTTGAAAAAAATAAATGTCAAAATTTCTCTGTTTTACCTTTTTATTGCGCCTGGTTCATTCTTCGGAGACAGTTTATTTGGGCCTTCCAATGATGACTTACAATGTTACGACGTTGACTAATTAAACATTTTTTTTATAATTCAACTAGTTTAAATCATCTGCTGATGATGCCAACATGGTTAGCGAAACGCGCATCCAATGTTAAGAATAATGAATTTTAGGGTATAGGGGCCAATTATTGTTTTATTCTGCTATATACTTTCTCCTTGATGTGGCAACACAGGAAACCGAACAAGCTGAGAGTCAATTAATGCCGGCGGTTCTCAAAATGTAACTATTTTTTTATAATTTATAATTTTTAAAATGAATAATAACTCTTTATTTTTAATTCATATTAACGACGGCAAATAGAAAAGCTGTTCATTTGGTGTAGATCCACCACCCTTTAAATGCTTGTACATATTTAAGAGACGCTGTATAAGTTAAACCGTCGCCATCGAGAAAAGAAAGCTTAAGAGTGACGTCCTCAAAGCAAACATTCGCCTTCTTTCTTCTATGACACGTCAGATTTTTTTACGGCAGAACCAGCGTTGCCAACGTTGCGATTTTCCCGCTATATGCTACAGCTACAGTTTTTTTTTTTCAGTTTGGCAGGTAAAAACTTGATTTAGCGGCAAGAGGTTTTTTTAACGGTTTACATTTGAAGACTTGAAGTCGTAGATCAGATGATTACGACATTACTTACTTCAATCCTTCATTTTTGAATAATAAACACATAAGTAAAATTGACACAATTTCAAACGGATTTTTTTTTTCAAAATCCGAACCAATAATCGCGTAATTATCATACATTCTGAAAATACCTAGGCCTAGAATCTTCAGTCACGTTAAAGTCCCTCTATCACCTGATGAGAGGCTCACCAAAAGGTTCAAAATTAGATGACATCAATATTTCAGTTTCAATATCACTCCTAGCGAATTTTAGCGGTCTTTAAATACAAATCTATCTAACTTCCTTATAAATAAGGCTAGTGGGTATTCAACTTCGCGAGCTGGCAACCCTGGTCAGAACATTCTAGTCCTCTCTCGACGATAACGGTAAACTCTCATTACCTGTGAGTACGGAGTCTTTCTATTGAAGTGTTTTTTAAACATCTCCTACATATATGGCAAACAGCAGACATTTTTCCAGATTCTAACTTTTTAGGGGTGAACTTGTATTCCAGATAAAGTGTATGGCATTTTCTGCCTCGATTCATACTTGAAATCTTTAAAAAACATGGAATTATAAGTCAAACAAAAACTATTCTCTAAAGAAATTATATAACTTACATTATTTTTTGTAGATAGATCTAGTTCGGTTTTTTCAACAGTATCATCTGAATCCTGTTGCATACAAAGATTCCTGAAATTACAGAATAAGTATAAAATATACATAAAGCTCGACATTTTTATGGTACCTGTGAACCCGCAGCCTCTCTATTGATGTGTTTTTTAAAGATCTATTGCACACATTGCAAACAGCAGACATCCTTCCAGAGTCTAACTTTTTGGGGGTAAAATTGAGTTGTGAGTAAAGGGAATGACGCTTTCGACCCCGATTATTAATTACAATCTTTAAAATAGTCTTTAGTTAATTATACTACAAAGAAATGAAATAGCTTACATTTTTCTCTAACTTAATGCATTTAAAGCTGTTTGATTCTTCAAATTCAGAACTGTCTGAATCAGAATTATCCCAGATATCTTGTTTGTTGGTATCTGAGACATTTTCATCATGCATTTCAGTTGCTTTTGGAAATGTATATTCCTGACCCTCTTGCATACAAATTTTTCTAAAAGTGAAAAACTAGAGAATATCCATATGGATTAGGAGTTTTATATGCATACCGGTGGCCATAAAGCCTCTCAATTGAAGTGTTTTTTAAACTTCTTTGGCATACATTACAAACGGCACTCATCTTTCCAGAATCTAACTTTTTAGGGGTGAAATTAAGTTGGGAATAACTAGCATGTCGCTTCCTACCCCGACTCATATTTACTTTCTAATTGTAATGTACCAGATATAACTTTATCTAAATATCTATATACTAGTAAAGGTAACGTGCATATTAAATTATTAAGAGCTATTAAATTATTATACTGCTATTATAGAATTAAAAAGCAGGAAGTATAGTAGTATAGTTTATTACTAGGTATTAACGTTTTTGAACATCTTCAGAACAGGATGTTAGAATTTATAAATTTAAATCAAAAATTATTTCTCAAAAATAGATTATAAGATAATAAATACCAGATAATACGTTTAAAAAAATTACAACAAAACAAATAACATTCTCAAAACTCAAAAGTGTCAAAATAACAAGACATTAGACAAACCACTAAGACAAAACAAATCATATAAAACATATATACTTTATATATGATTAGTAGTAGTCGGTGGTTCGGTCAAAGGTTCGGTGGTAGTGTAGTAGTACCGTGGTCTTTGGTATATGATTAAAAATAAATATTTGCCCATTCCTAACGCAATTTCTACATTTGAACTACTAGTCTCCTTTTATAAGCAGTGGTATAATTTGGACAAACCAAGGTTTTGGCGCCAAAAAGTTTGTTTAGTGTTCAGTTTGGTGGTTAAAGATATTTGAGTTGTTTTATTTTTTATTGGGTTTCTAATTTATACAGAAGTAATAGAAAAATGGATGTAGCTGATGTAAATGTTGGCCAAAGACAACACAGAGATGAAATAGGTATTCGTTGCCAGAAGCTTTTCCAAGATTTTTTAGAGGAGTATGTATTTTTAAGTTTTTTAACTGTTCGATATACAAACACCTTTTCTCTAGATATAAAGAAGACGGAGAATTAAAATATCTAGAACCCGCTAAAGAGCTACAAAATGAAGAGCGTAGTATTATTGAAGTCAGCTTTGAAGATGTGGAAAAATATAACCAAAATTTAGCAACTACAATTATCGAAGAATACTATAGAATATATCCTTATCTTTGTCAAGCTGTATCAAATTTTGTGAAAGACAGAACCGAATTGAAGAAAGAAAAAGACTGTTATATTGCCTTTATGGATGTGCCAACAAGACATGTTGTTAGAGAATTGAAATCGGATAAAATTGGAACATTAATCAGAATATCTGGACAAGTTATCAGAACACATCCAGTTCATCCTGAACTTATATCTGGTACATTTGTTTGTTTGGATTGTCAGACTGTAGTGAAAAATGTTGAGCAACAATTTAAGGTAGGATTAAAAAAAATAAAACTTACATTTCAAAACTACATACTTTATAGTATACTAACCCAACAATCTGTCGAAATCCTGTCTGTAACAACAGGAGAAGATTTATGTTGAATGTGGATAAGTCCCAATTTGTTGACTTTCAAAAAGTTAGAATTCAAGAAACACAAGCTGAATTGCCAAGAGGTTGTGTACCAAGAAGTGTTGAAGTGATACTGAGAGCAGAAAATGTTGAAAGTGTCCAAGTAAGTACTCTAAAATGTAAATCAAAAATTTTGTTCATCAATAGTGATACTTTTTAGGCTGGTGATCGTTATGATTTTACTGGAACACTTATAGTAGTTCCGGATGTTGGAGCAATGACCTTACCTGGGGCAAAAACTCAAATAGCCTCAAAACATAAACATGGTGATGAGGCAGAGGGTATTAGAGGCTTGAAGGCATTGGGTGTGAGGGATTTACATTACAGAATGGCTTTCTTAGCTTGTAGTGTCCAACCAAGCAATCCAAAATTTGGTGGCATTGAAATGCCTCTAGGTGACATAACACCAGAAATTATGAGACAGCAAATGACTGAAGGAGAATGGAGGCATATGTATGAGATGTCGCATGACAAAAATCTATACCAAAACATGATTACTAGTTTGTTTCCTAGTATACATGGAAATGATGAGGTAGATATTTTTATTAATCAAATTTAAGATCTCATTAAACTTTTCAAATTCTTAAAGGTAAAAAAGGGCATCTTACTTATGCTCTTTGGTGGTGTTTCCAAAACTACAATAGAAGGAACTACACTTAGAGGAGATATCAATTGTTGTATAGTGGGAGATCCGAGCACTGCCAAGAGTCAGTTTTTAAAACAGGTGTCTGAATTTTCACCTAGAGCTGTCTATACCTCAGGTAATCATATTGTTACATATTTTTTAAATTTTTTTATATTGGTCTTTAATTTTTGCAGGTTTGTTGTGTTTTTCTTACTTTAGTTTATTTTATTTCTTGGTTTTATAACTGGTTTATGCAGTGTGTACAAATGTGGAAAGTCATTGTGTCAGAACTTGAATTACAATAAGATTATTGTCAGTCTTAGAAAAAGGCTTCAGGAATAGTTGAAATGGAACAAATTTTAACTGAAATTGTGCGGCGTCACCTAGTTTTCAAGATTTTTGTGATACCTACTTTTCAGTGATACTTCAAAGATTGGTACTTTAAGAATATATAATAATTACGCTATTATTGCTGCAAATAAATTCTTCAAAATTGCAAATTTTGAAAAAAGTCATTTAGAATTTTTATAAAACGAGTCATCTTTGTTTATCTAAATTTGTGCGCGACTATTTGTTTTTCTAAGTTTGTGCATACTCATTGAAGCATAAGTATTGAACCAGCTGTATATATGTATTTTTTTAAATACATGACCAGCATTATTAAACATTAATCTTAACAACAAAAATAAACCATAGCGGTTTTACCATTGGCTTTGTTTTGCCATACCATTAGCTTTGTTTTGCCAAAACATCTAAATAAGCGGTAATTTATACATACATTTTTGATATAACAGGTAAGGCTTCATCAGCAGCAGGTTTGACGGCAGCTGTAGTGAAGGACGAAGAATCTTCCGACTTTGTTATCGAAGCTGGTGCCCTTATGTTGGCCGACAATGGCGTATGTTGTATAGACGAGTTTGATAAAATGGACCCAAGAGACCAAGTTGCTATTCACGAAGCGATGGAACAGCAGACAATATCAATTGCAAAAGCTGGTATGAATTAAATAAAAAATATTATTATTATTATATTATTATATAAATAATAAGTTGATACTTTTTCATCACGTTTTTACTAAATTTAACGAATTTATATTGAATTTTGTTATATTGGACTAGATTTCTCTGAGGTGGCTATCGACCTGTTCCACTGCAACCTTTTCAGATCTATTGTGGTCCCCTACTGATTCTTAGGTAACATTTCCAGTCCTATCCTTTTCAAAAGTTTGGCAATGGCCTATCAATTGCCTAGTACAAAGAAACGCACAGTTGCCAGGCTGTCGCACCGACATAAATTGTGTTCTGTCGTTTCATCTTCAAAAAAAAAATCTACACATGGCTTCGTCCGTCAATCCCATCAGATTTAGATGTCTATTAAGATTACAATACCCTTACAGATCGTTGCATTTTCTTTACCCTTGTGACCTTCGTACCCTACTACCCAGGCTAATGTAACATTGTTACTCTCACCCAATGTAGTTGCTTAGCGGTCTGTGAAGATTGCCACTGAACGGTGTTTTCTTTGCTGCCTTTGGAGTTCGTTGTCATATAAAGTTATGTGACTGCAACATTCTCCAAAAATATACTAAAACGCCTGATTCAAAATGTTTCTTAATATTGCATTTTTAATTTTCTTAGGAGTGAGAGCAACTTTAAATGCAAGAACATCCATTCTTGCTGCCGCTAATCCTATTGGCGGTCGTTATGATCGATCCAGGTCGTTACAGCAAAATATCCAGCTTTCTGCGCCGATTATGTCAAGATTTGACTTGTTTTTCATATTGGTAGACGAGTGTAACGAAGTTGTCGATTATGCCATTGCCAGAAAAATTGTAGATCTGCATAGTAATATCGAAGAAAGCGTTGAAAAGGTAAATATAGTTCAGTTTATGAGACTTCCAAATAGTTTCAAGAAAAATATTAGTAAAATCTCATTCATATATGGATTCTTCTCTTTCATTTTTGGACGTTGTCTGTCGAAATTATATATTTTCTAGCGGGAGAGACTATACAATTATCAAATATATATCAGAAAGTTTTATTATCGTTAGATGGCTAGTTTCATTGTTTGAATTGTTAAGCGGGACTCAGACGACTCGTGTACTTGACAAAATTGGCATATATTTGCCATGTGTGAGTAGGTTACTTGTGCAATTATCTGTCACTCGTCGCGCCGCGTGAGCGCCAAGCTTGTTGATTATAAATGAAAAAAATGTTTACAAAGATGGTATACTTGCCAAGTATGCAAATATTGGTGTACTTGCTAAGTACAGGAGTCGTCAGAGTCCGGCTTTAGATTTTGTTAGAATTTTGAATATATTTCTTTGCTTAGGTGTATTCCAAACAAGAAGTGCTTCAGTATATCAGTTTTGCAAGGAAATTTAAACCTTTTATAAACCAAGAGGCCGGAGAACTTTTAAAAGAGTGAGTTACTACCTAAGTTTGTTAATAAAATATATACCGGATGTTTCAAATAGGCCATATTTTTTAAGTTTGTTAATTTTAACTAAGTATATTCTGATTAAAAGAAAATACCCAAAGCTTAGTTTTTGGAAATAATTAGATAATTTTATTTGTAGCTACTATTGTAGACTAAGATTGAGGGATAATACTTCAGCAGGTAAGTCTACGTGGAGAATAACTGTAAGACAGTTGGAAAGTATGATTCGTCTGTCTGAAGCTATGGCTAGGATGGATATCAGTGATGAGGTTCACCCAAGACACGTTAAAGAAGCTTATAGGTATTTATTTTTATATGTTCTTGAGTAATATTTGTATTAATTATTAATTGTTTTACTTCAGGTTACTCAACAAATCCATTATCAGAGTAGAACAGCCGGATATCCATCTTGAAGGTGATCAAAACCAATCAATTCATGAGGATGAAATCATTGAAGTAAGTTTTTATTAGACTATTTTTCCCATTTAAAAACTAAATGGGGAAAAATATAGTTTTTTTCAAAAAGAAATCCAGATCAGTTTTCTGACACAGTATTCTTCTTGATTTACCACCTTTGAACAAAACCAATTATAGAATAAAGTATAAATAACATAAAATAAGCTCAGAAATGTCCAATAAATCTCCAAAATTTCAAATCAAATTCAAATGTATCAATTGAAACGTCAAAATAACTGTCAAAGATGGGTGATCGTGATGTTGCTTCCATCTGCATGCATAATGCATGAATATATAAATAATATTAGATTTCTTCCTTAATATTTTTATTCAAAATAAGATGATCTAGGGTAATTTATATGTAATCCTGGTATATGAAACATATATTAAAAAATTGTTTCTATCACAGGACGAAAGACCACAAACACCAGCCCAACAACAATCCAAAAAGAAAATGGTTTTGAGTTTTGAAGAGTACAAAAACTTAAGTAACATGATTGTTCTTTATATGAGAAGGCAGGAACAGAGGCTAGAGGAAGAAGGCAAAGAAGGAATTCATAGAAGCGACGTGATAGAGTGGTACTTGAACCATATCGCTGATGAAATCGAGTCTGAAGATGAGCTGGTTGAAAAGAAAGATATGCTAGAAAAGATCTTGGACAGACTGATCTACCATGTAAGTGAACAATTAAAAAAAAAACAGATAAAATTATTAATGACCTTTTTTTTGGGTACAAAAGGACCAAATTATAATTCCCCTAACGAAAGTAGGCTTGAAGGGTAGTTCTAGTTCACAAGAAGAAGAGGAAGAAGACCCTTTGTTAGTGGTGCATCCGAACTATCTCATAGATCAGTAGGCTCACCGCACACAGTTATATATTCTATTTTTAAGTTTTATATAATTTGTATTAATTTATGTATTTAATTTACAATGGTAATTGAAATCAATAAATTTAATACGTTTTTTTTAAATAAAGGTAATTCTCACATGAATAAGTTAAATTAATAAAAAATGATAATTATTATTAAATATATAAATCAATTTTAAACGTTCTATTTAACTTTTTTCTGCTCCCCATCTATTAATAAATATCCTTTAGCAAGGTTTAATAGAATTGAAATTACATTCCTCACACCTTAAAAATTTGCATTAAGAATACATTTTTTTGAACTTAATATTTTTCTTTTCGATTTTTGTGGGCCTTTTGTTCCGAGTATTTGAGTTTATTTTATGATATTTGGTTTGGTTATGTGTATAAATATGGAAAGACCTTGGTATCAGGTATCGGTTTATAGTGATATTATCGTGAATCATAGAAAGAGGCTTAAAAATAGTTTCCCAGACAAAAAAAAAGAAAAATAACTTTACTGCACTCAGATGCAAAAAAACGGAACAATTTTTCGTCAAACATATAAATTCTTATATTTCTTTTATTTTTAACTTTCACGAATTTTTTAGCAGTGTATATATCGTAGTCTCATAGTGTACTTCGTCTTTTTATGAAGATCCGAGTCACTTCATGAAGCGTCGGTTAGGTTAGTTAGTTTAGTTAGGTTAGTTTATTTCATAAACTGACTATAGGATCTTCATGAAAAGACGGAATACAGTACATCTGCTGGATCTGTGTCTACGAAAGGAATGCGGACAAAAAACATTTAAATAAACAGCAATATATTTTATACGTCGATTTGACGAGTGCGTCACCGCAAATCGCTCCGCCCACTCATTTTATTGGCTACTTGCAAATTTGTTGAATTTTTATTGATAGGACGCGTCGTCTATTTTTTTACGAAAAATCGAGAGAATATCGTTTCTCCTCTCACGGATATCCCGTAGCTACAGAACGGACAGACGTACTGTACACTATGAGACTACGACATATAAATATATCATAATCATATATTAAATTTATTTATTATTAAATCTATGAAATCTTTATTAATTCTAATGCGGTGTCAATATAATATTGCGACAGTGGCCACCAAAATCACCTCGTCATTGCAAAATTGCAAAAAAATGCCGTCTCGTTCTTAAAAATTAACCAAGGCATGTGTTGACATGAGCCAAAAACGGAATGCTCAGACGGCCTGAACAATCGTTGATATCAAAAGAAAAAGTCAGTGGCGCACGTTTTTTTCTTGAAAAATATTCCAGTGATAACCCATATGCACGTCCCTGATGAAATTATCGATTTAGCATTAAAATAATGTAGCACTTATAGTAACTTTTACCCTCAAAATTTCATTCAAATCACTAAAAGTACTTGGAAGAAAATTATAATAAATTGTAAAATTATTAAAATTTTAACACCCTGTAGCTACGAAACAAAGCAGAATCTGACCTATGTTGATATGACAAAACAAATCTTATTTTTACGTGAGGAATCTCCTCACGGGAGATGGCACATGTTTTTTGAAACACCCTGAATACGAGTGGCCCGACCAAAAGCGCTAAACGTCACACGCTGTTGGTCGCCCTCCAATATATTCGTGTTATTTTGTTTCAAGTCGTCAAAGGCGCTTTACACACTAAAACGCTTTACCCGTTTGTGTGTCCATAGACTCAGTGTTTTATTCAATGTTACTAACATTACATTAAGGTATTCTCACTAAAAAAACTTAAAACTAGCTTTTAAACACTTTCCGTTTTAACCAATGTATAATAGTGGGAATTTGATTACAGTATTTAGAAAAAATATATAGGTATGCTTACTTAACAATATAATAATTTATTGTAAAAATAACAGTATTACCGTTGGATGTAATCAAAGAAGTTTCCTAACAAAATAAATGGATGGCTGCTGGTCTCTATAAACATATCTTCAAAGTTATCCAAAAATCCAGCTTTCGCTATAAATAACAGTATTATATTTATAAATAATAGTTTATAGTCTCGATATGTACATGTAATATAGGGAGTGCCAAAAATGCAAACTTGTTGGCTCATTCTGTATAGAATGAACCAAAAAAATATGTTAAATAGAAGAACAGTTACTCCTTGTCATTTTCTAAAATTTAAAGGCAAAAAAACAAGATCTTGTAGTTTGTATCATATTATTTTGTATGTAGTATACTATTCTTGTGATCCCATTATTATGACACCCTGTACAATCTGAATATTTAATACTTACAATCTTCCGTTATTTGATATTCCGAGAAGAAATCTAGTTCTGTATAGAGAAAATGGCGTATTTCCAAGCACCCAATTTGTTTTAAAACCTACAAGTCAAAACAAGTAAATACATTAGTATATCTCAAATTTATTTTAAGCAAAATAAACTACTTACTTCTAGCAAGTAAAAAATATCTACTGGCGAGACGAAAGAAAATTTGGCAAATAATCGAGATAATGTAATTCTGGGATTTTCACTACAATAGGTGCAAATATTAGACAACCAGAGTTTGAGTATATCTTTAATTATTGTCCCATCTACTGTAATCCAGGGCCTCACTTTTATCAACACCCATGGGGTAGTCCTACAAAACAAACAAAGGTATTTAAGGTGCAGTAAGGGTGGCCTAATCTCTAGAATGGCGAAGAAATTCACCAAAATAGAGACAGGCGAAAACGTTCATAGTAGAACATTCGCCAACATTCACGACAGACCTGATAACCAAAGAGAAAGACAGTCAAACTTGAACTAGTGCTCCATTAGTTTTAGATGCGTATTAGCAAAGAATATCTTAATACCCTAGAAGTCTCGTCTCGCATCAAAATCTGACCTGTCGACGGGGCCTCGCTTTGGCGAGCGAGGCCCCAACTTCGTGGGGCCTCGCTATTTTGCTCGGAATTGAACGAAGAGACGCGCGGCGTTGCCTTGTTTTGTGTGTACTTTCTTGAATAGTTTTAAATTATAGTTTTAAATTTTATCTATTGCTATAATCAGTCTTTCCGTTCTCCGCACTCCGCAGTTTACATATAATATTATCTTATATAATTCCCGTGTTACAGTTTTGGTACTCCTCCGAAACGGCTTAACCGATTTTGATGAAATTTTTTATGTATATTCAATACGTCTAAGAATAGGTAGTTATATATTTTTTATACCCTTAAGTGCTAAGGGTAATCCACCCCCATTTTTTTATTTTGTGAAAAAAAAATATTTTAATTTTTTTTAATTGGCATTAAAAAATACAAACAACACTAAATTTTCACCGTTCTACCTTCATCCCCTATTTTTTAATAGGGGTTGTTTTTTTAATTTTTTGTTACCATCTCCGAAACGGCTTAACCAATTTTGATAAAATTTTATATGTATATTCAGTACGTCTAAGAATAGGTTGGTATCTATTTTTATACCTTTAACTGATAAGGGTAGCCGAGAGGGTAGCCCACCCTCATTTTTTTTAGTTTTTGAAAAGAAAAAAATGTTTTTATTTTTTTATTTGGCATTAAGAAATACAAACGGCTTAACCGATTTTGATAAAATTTTATATGTATATTCAGTACGTCTAAGAATAGGTTGTTATCTATTCTTATACCCTTAAGTGATAAGGGTAGCTAAGAGGGTAGCCCACCCTCATTTTTTTTATTTTTGAAAAAAAAATATTTTTTTTATTTGGCCTTAAAAAATACAAACAACTCTAAATTTTCACCGTTCTACCATCATCTCCTATTTTCTAATAGGGGTTGTTTCTTTGTTACCATCTCCGAAACGGCTTGGCCGATTTTATATGTATACTAGCGTGTACCAGCGACTTCGTTCGCGTCGAATTAATCATTTGTAATGGTGATGATAAAGCAAAGCAAGAATTGCCATTAACATACAAACTGGATAAAATTTTTTCACATTTATGTCAGCATGAGAAAAAACAATATGGCGATATTATTATATAACTTGGTAATATTTGAGGGGTAGTTTTATCTCGTTGGAATTTGACTTTCGAAAAATCCGTTTGCCAAAAATAAGCTTTTTACGTCAAGCAGTTTAAGCAGAATCGTGGTTAAGAAATTACCCAACTTTTTGGAACACCTTTTGGAAACATCATACAGTTTTTTAAAAAATTTCAAAATATTAAAAAAAACAAATAAATTATGCTTGTCCAAGCATTTTCCCGAAAGACTAACCGTTTTTTAAATAACAAAAATTGTAATATTTGAGGGGCGTTTTCACCCTCTTGGAATTTGAGATTCGAGAAACCCCTCCTTATCGAACCTCTACATTCCACAGTCAATCCATTTGCCAAAAATCAGCTTTAAACGTCAAGCAGTTTAAGGAGAATCGTGATTACTCAATGGTCATATTTTATGAAACACCCTGTATAAATTTATAAAAAATCTTAATATATGTAAAACAACAAAATAAAATATACGTGTTTAAGAGTTTTTCCGAAAAACTCACCGGTTTTTAAATAAAAAATATTTTAATATTTGAGGGATAGTTTTACCCCCTTAGAATTCGAGTTTAGAAAAATCCCTTCTTATCGAACCTCTACACCCTAAAGACAATCTGTTTTCCAAAAATCAGCTTTTTACGTTAAGCGCTTTAAGCAGGTTCGTGATTAATCAATGACCAGATTTTTCGAAACACCGTGTATACATTTTTAAAAAATCTTAAAATATGTAAAAAAACAAAATAAAATATACGTGTTTAAGCGTTTTTTCGGAAACTTGACCGTTTTTTAAATAAAAAATATTGTAATATTTGAGGGGTGGTTTCACCCTCTTGAAAAATCCCTTCTTATCGAACCTCTACACCCTAGAATCAACCTATATGCCAAAATTGAGCTTCTTACGTTGAGTGATTTGAGCAGGATTGTGATTAATCAGTATGTCAGTCACTTAAGGATTTTATATATTAGTATAGATTGAGTAGGTCTGAAAATAGTTTGTCATCTATTTTTTATACCCTTAAGTGATAAGGGTAGCCCATTCCCATTTTTTTATATTTTGAAAAAAAATAAATTTTTATTTTTTTATTTTGCATTAAAAAATACAAAGAACCCTAAATTTTCACCGTTCCACCATCATCCCCTATTTTTTAATAGGGGTTGTTTTTTTTAATTTTTTGTTACCATCTCCGAAACGGCTAGACCGATTTTGATAAAATTTTATATGTATATTCAGTAGGTCTGGTTTGGTTTGGTTTGGTCACAACCTATTCCCAGGTTGTTATCTATTTTTTAGACCCCTAAGTGATAAGAGTGGTCCACCCCAACTTTTGTTTTATTTTTTAGACAAATTTTTTTATTTTAATTGTTTTATAGGGAGTACTTATTTTTTAGGCTGTCCAAGTCCAAAATTTTCTTCTGGGTACTCACTTTCATCATTTAAGGGACCTATGTACAAAATTGCATACTCCTAGTCCTAGAACGGATTTTACATAAAAATTATACAAATGTTTACCCTTAGTTTTATCCCCTTAAGGAATGAATTCCAAAAATCGCTCTAATTATTCAATTACGCTACATAATAAACCTCTGTGCAAATTCTCATATTCCTTGAACAGAATTTATTGTTCCAGAACGTTCAACCCCTCATTTCACACCCTTAGAGGGCGAATTTCCAAAAATTGCTTCTTAGTGCTAAATTACGTTACATAAGGAACGTCTGCAAAATTCATACTTCTAAAACCGATTTTAACAAATTTTTGTACAAATTTTCATCCCTTATTTTTTAGGGGATGCATGACTAAAATTCGTTTCTAGGTACTAGGTTTCATCATTTAAGGGACCTCTGAACAGAATTTCATACTCCTAGTCCTAGAACGGATTTTACATAAAAAATTATACAAATTTTCACCCCTAGTTTTACCCCCTTAAGGAATGAATTCCAAAAATCACTCTAATTATTCAATTACGCTACATAAGGAACCTCTGTGCAAATTTTCATATTCCTTCAACAGAATTGTTTCAGAACGTTCACCCCTAATTTCACACCCTTAGAGGGCGAATTTCCAAAAAGTGCTATTTAGTGCTAAATTACCTTACATAAGGAATGTCTGTGCAGAATTTCATACTTCTAAAACCGATTGTAACAAACTTTTGTACAAATTTTTATCCCTTATTTCTAGGGGATGAATGTCAAAAATTAGGCTTCTAGGTACTCACTTTCGTCACTTAAGGAAACTGTACAAAATTTCACCCCCCAGTTTCACTACCCTTAGGCTATACCTTTCCAAAAATCGCTTATCAATGTTCAAATGCGCCACATCTGTGCAAAAGTTCATACTCCTAGTAGGTACAGATTTTTTTTGTATAATTACACCCCTTTATCTAATTACACCCCCTTATGGGTCGAATTTTAAAAAAGTACTTAGTAGTGCTCATCTTAGAGAACGAATTAATATTCTCCGTATTTACTCCAGTTTCCTAATACTAGCACAGATAACACATAATCATACTAGTTAATTTTTTATTAGAATAGAAGAAATTTTTATTAGAAGGTACAAAAAAATTAAAAATCTAAAATTTTATTTTTATAGCTACGTTTTTTTTCATAGCCTTAGGATGCCTCATGTACAAACGAATACGAAATATATAATCAATACATATTTCTTTAAATATCGAGAAATAAAATATGTTATGGCAACACCGTACGAAATATCGCCGCGCGTAGTCCTCAAATTTTAAAATATTAGCATTTTCAGGCATCGATTATGTTCAAAAGCGCCACCGTGTGACAAATCACTAAAGCTTCCACACGAGAGTTCTTAAAACTATAATATTCTTTGGTATTAGTGATGGGAAAAACCGATTAATTTCAATAATCGAGTATTCGAATTTCAAGCGATTGCAATAATCGAGCGATCGCTCATCGCTCGTATTTAAAAATACGGGTTTTCGACCGTCGCGTCAGCGTCGCTTTAAGTACTCGTTAACAGTGTTGCCGCACCCTACTTTTATCGCGTACCACATTCTAAACTAAAAATGTATCACTTTGGTATAATTTTTTAAAGCACAACAAAATGCATCTGCAAATGACTTTAAGCGGTTTGGCCGTTGTGAATTTCTTCATAAATTTCTACATAAAAAAACTTCATGGAGAAAGACACAAATCGAGACGAAAAGCATGAAATAGAAATTCAGAAAACCCAATTTTAAGTATAGGTTGAAGAAATCTAAGTAATTCTAATACTACACACGATACTTGGAAAACTTAAATTTTATTAAAAAAAAACGCAAATATAGAAGCATGTTAGAAACAGCAAATTTCCAAGTTTTTTTCGGGTTATTTAATATAGGCAACCCTATAGACATTAAAACGAAGCGCGTTTAATGCAATTTCAACGACAATAATTATTAAATATCTATTCATTTTCGGTGCGCGTGGGAAATAAGTATTATTGTACCAAAACATCCTGGATTTGAAAATGTAGTGCCACTGTACCAAATAGAATTAAAAGTATCAAATTTGGTACAAATGTACCACTGCGGCAACACTGCTCGTTAACGCCAAGCAGTAAGTTGCGTGCGCAGGGCACATATTCTTTCGATGATGAATTGCAAGCAGGGTTTTAAGCAGTTTATGAAGCAAAAAACTACGCCAAAAACTACGCGTAGTTTTTTGTATTAACTACGTTTTAAAATTTTAAAAACTACCTTCAAAAACTACATCAAAACTACATTAAAAACTACCTACAACAATATAGTAACACATAAACAATTTAGATTTTAAACAAAAATCAAGCCCAATTCTTATCATGGAAGTATGAAGTTATACCGTATGATCGAATAAAAACGGCGTCAACGATGGCTATGAAATGAAGATCGCTGTCATTTTATATGTAAAATTATATGGGAAATGTCATCGATCGTCACTTCCAAGCCAACTGGACGCCGTTTTTTTTTCGATCATACTTTATTATATTTGTATAAGTTAAACATCAAAAAAAAATACATAATACATTTATATATATAAATACATTTTTTTTCAATAAAAGTGTGTTTTCTATGAAATACAAAGTAACATTAAACACAAAATAAACTATAAATTCTAATTTTTAACTACTAAGTATCAAAAATATCACATAATAAGGAACAAATTCACAAAATATAGATTTTTTATTTCTTAAATTGATCAACAAACAAAGTTTTTAGGTGTTTTTAAAGTTTTAATGTTTTCACTGTTATTTTAAAAAACTACATTAGTTACATAAACTACACATTTACTACTCGACATTTAAAAACTACTTGTGACATGTAGTAAATGTAGTTATTTTATTACATGTAGTTTAACAACTCTGATTGCAAGTAGCAAGCGATTCGCTTGATCGCTTGATTTAGTTTATTTCAAAGCATTGTCGATGTAGGTCGTAAAAATTTTGTCCCTCAGATACGCAACGGATAACGTCGTATCAATTTGCTAGCTACAATGTATGTAGAAAATTCGCTCGGTTTTATATCGAGTATGTCACATTAAAATTGGATATCAATTTATTTCATTCTAGGATCGCTTGCGTTCGTCGCTTGTTACCCGTCACTTGCATCGCTCGTTCATAATCGAGCGATGTCAGTTATTTCAATAATCGAGTACTCGAGCCAATATTCGCTTGAGTTATCCCATCACTAATTTTACTATTTTTACGGAGCAACGGCCCAGCTACGTCGAAACACCGGTTCACATTAGAACACCGAAGTTAAGCGACGTAAGGCGATACTAGTGGATGGACGGGTGACCGGTTCGAAACTCTGTATCGTGCTGTTGTCCAATAAAGGCAAAAGTGTAAAATCCATTGACACACACTGCTCATTCGAGGTCGGATGAGATCGGATATCTCGTGAGTAAGAGCCGATTTAGTCACTTGCGAAGTCGGTATGGCCGAGGACCGCGGTTCGGATTCCGCGTAAACAAAGTAGGCCCCGTCCAGATTAGCCCTGGCAGCAAAAAGGAGACGTTAACTTCAAAACTTTACTTTATTTTTTACGGGAGAGCACTGGATGGCTGGTGGTCATCAGTTTCTGTCTATGTATTCTATATTTTTACTAGGCATATATCATAAGATTTAACAACTTATTGCCCTGCAGAGTTCATACATTTTGTAAGTACCAGTTAAGCTTGATTTTCATGCATCCGTTGTCCGATGATACGTTGATACGATATTAATTTCATTGGTTGTATTTAAAGGCTTCGATTGGTTAGAAACGGTTATGCATGAAAATCAAGCTTTAGACCTACTATAATATTGTAAAATCCTAAAATTAAGAAATTGGCGCTTATTAAGTTTTTCCCCTGGACCCTTCAAATGCAATGAGTAGAAGAGGTACATCTATAGTACCGTATGATCGAGAAAAAACGGCGTCAACGATGGCTATGAAATGAAGATCGCTGTCATTTTATATGTAAATTTATATGGGCAATGTCATCGATCGTCATTTCCTAGCCAACTGGACGCCATTTTTTTTCGATCATACGGTAGTATGCAGATGGATAAAGGCCGCCTTAAAAAACAGGATAGTAATATCCACTCTGAGGGAAGCTACCATCAAACCAATAATGGATGGAGAGGAGGAGTGTTATCTTCTCTACTTTGGCCAACCTTGGGAGATGACCTCCTCACTCTCCACAGAAGACTTTTAAAGTCTAATGCTGGGTCCAGACCAAGGCGACAGAAAGTGAACACGATTTTGAGACAAAAACAAGACAAACCCGCGTCAAAAATGAGCAATTCAGACAAGATAAATTTGAGACAAAGTCTCTATACCGCGAGGACAAAACTACAACAAAGTTCAGTATATGCGAATCCGTTTTATTAATCATGTGACCTTTCCACCAGGAAGAAGATAAATATATATTACTATTAGCCAGTAGTGTTGTCTTTAACTCCCCATCCCATGTTTTTCTTTTTATTTATCTTTTATTTATTTACCCCAATGTTTTTGTTTTTATTTCTCTCGTATACTATATAGTTATTAATATTTCTTATTTTCTTTTTAACACCATCAACCGAGTTTATATTTAATGCTAAACCAGTCTCCTCTAATGCACCAGCTTTTTTGTAAACATTTTTGTAGTCCTTGTTTTTACGCTCCTATATTAATAAATGCGCTGTTAGTTTAGCAATATTAGTTTGCAGGTATTTTCCGTGAGCCACTTTTTCTCTTCTGACATTTTTTTTATATAAAGATGGAAAACTCCACCATATACCGTATGATAAAAAAAACGGCGTCCAGTTGCCTGGAAAATGAGGATTGATGACATTTCCCATATAAGTTTACATAGAAAATGATAGCGTCCTTCATTTCATAACCATCGCTGACGCAGTTTTTTTTTCGTCATACAGTACTAATGTCATTATATTATACTTTGTGTGATTTCACTGGTTTCCTACTTTTGGCAACGCACGACATCGACACTGCGCCGACAACTTGTTAAAATACACGACAAAACAGAAACTTTGAACTTTACCGACTCGAGACGGGATATTCAAGTCTCCGAATTTGGAAACAAAACAAAATGTCGCAGAAATGTATTGGATTTGTCTTGAAATGTATGTTTCTGTCTTGTCGCTGTTTTGTCTGCTTGGTCTGGACCCGGCTTAAGATATGCGGACGACATTGTAACTGTGGTCAGGTGTAAGTTTGCTGGGCTGATATCAGAAAGAATATAGAGAGCCTTAAACAAAATAAAAAAGTGGTATAAACAAGAGACTGACTGTCAAAGCTCACACAAATTGTCAACTTTACAAAAAAGATAACACCAAAAATCCTAAAACCACCGGTGCTAGGAGAAACAGAGATTTAATTTGCCAAAGAAATAAAGTATCTTGGTGTATATTTTGACCGAAGGCTCACATAGCGAATGCATCTCAACAAGCTGCCAGCCAACTCCCTAAACAAAAGCACTAAAAATCTATGTTTTTTTACATTCTACTTACTCGGCATTTTTATCAATTTTCTTCTGAAGCAAATTTAGTTGTTGATAGTCCATTATTTTTATATTTGTAGTTTCCTGATCTTCGGCCAAATGAAAAATCTCAATTAACCAAACAGGGGCGTATTTGTAATGAACGAATCTTATCACAGTCACGCCAGTCTTCAACAGATATTTCTTTTTCACCAATAACGTGACGAGAAATTCCAACGAAAAGTTAGTTTCATCTTGGAGAAATTGATTTTTTAACTCTGGCCCTGTAGCACCGAGTTCTTGCTTCTCGTAGACGAAATTTAAAATACGAGTCGCCAAGTCAATATCTTCGATAGTGCTGTTCACGTCGAGGATATCTTGGTAAGCGTTTGACGTATCACTGGGTGCTACATAATGTTGTTCGCTAAAAATTAAACATTAAGGTGCTGTATAAAAGTTTAAACGTTCAAAATTAAAATCACATTTCTATCGACTTGGTGCATTCTCGACGGTGCTGCCACCATCGGATAATCTCGTAAATTACCGACTTTTACTTTCGCTTGGTAATAGAATTAAATATTTCTAGACAGTTTTGTAAAAATATATTATTTGTTGAAACTATGCAAAAAAAATAAATTTTTAAAAGTTGTTTATTAAAGATGCTGTAATATAGACAAATTTATTTTTTGTAAATTAACTTATATTTTTCTCACTGCATGCAAATCGAGTTTTATTGTAAAACTGAATGATTCCTTTAGCTCTCTAAACGTACTTCCGTCTTAATAGTTCTAGTAAAACTGACCGTTTTTTCGTCTCACACAAGGTATTACTTGATAAGTTTTGACTGAACTAGTAAGACGACAGGTAAAACGCTATGTGTAGACGGGGCTTTATGTCTATCAATTACTTTCTAAACAAAACTCTCAAAAAAATTCTCAGGTTTCTTTGACTTACCCCAATATATCTGACCAAATTTCCATAAGATTCACTTTGTACTGTAACAAGTCTAAAACTTTACTATCACTTAAACCCTCGACTTCAAACGTTTCCGTTTGTGGATACTGTTGCACGAAATGCTTTCTCAGACGATCGATATTCTGTTCATCTTCTATTTCATCAAAGTTTTCGGACAGTAACTTCATCAGGTCCGTTATGTACGGTACAACACGCTTTTCGTCTATTGTACTCTCCTTCAACATTTCTAGAAAAAAATATTGAAGTAGGTTATGTATAGAGAAATGAGTAAAAGTTGGTTGGCACAGTAAAAGTTGGCTTGCAAAAGTTGGGTTGAAACTTGAGCGCATTTTTTCCTTTTTTTTTCTTATAATCCTTTATATCCAGGTTAAAAACAGACAGCCCATATCGCATCAAGTAAACGAACTGGCTGATAAGACAGGCTTTATGTTGGTAGTCATGGCCAATATTGCCGGTTGTCACGAGACTTTTCTTTGCAAATCTGATATTAGTCATTTTCGAGATTTTATTTATTTTTTTCTAATCTGACATTTGTCATTTGTCTTTTGACAAATCTGAAATTAAATCTGCATTTTGCCAGAACCACTGAATAGTTGGAATATGGTTGGAATAGGAACTTGTCTCGTCTCTACTCAATTATCTGAACAGGAAAGAGATCATGATCCCGTTTTGCCGTTAAACTCTGTTAGAGAGACAAAAATTAATATTGTTGTTAAGGTTTTGCGGCTTTTATTCAAAATACATAATCTTTCAGCGTGTTTCAGCTGCGGTCTACCAGTTTACGGCCTGTAAGTAGAATCTCACAAAAAGTAAAGACTAATGGAGGAGGGTTAACCAATTAAAAACTTTTTCAGCTTTCATTCAGCAACCTTCATCGGAGTGACGGAACTTGTTCTTGAACTGTTCGTGTTATTACGTGTTTTTTGAAGTTAAGTGGAGGAAAAATCGAGGGAAAATTAACTGTAGACCCAGAGCACAGTTTATAGTTAATATTTGGTGCCCAGAGAGCCCCCAATAGCCCCAATAAAGTTGGTATACCATCTCGTATATGGTACTAAAAACTGGAGTAGCTGTAAAATAACGACATCACACTATAGGTAAATAATATATTTTAGTACTGCAGAGAGATAATATCAAAAAGTACTGTCTAAAAAAGATAATAAAAAGATTAAAGTTAATCAACTTTTAAGGTATAAAATTCAGTAAGTGTTAATATTAATAAAATATTTTGTTTTATTTATGTTGTGTTTTATTTATTCCTGTACAATATTAAAAAAAATCTTACACAAGTTATATTGATAAATACAATAATAATAATTGTAAAAAGTTTCTTGAAGTTTGAAAGTAAGAAATAATTATTTTTAATATATTTTTTTGGTATGTTTGGTTTGATTTGGTGTTTCTTTTTAAATACACCCTTGTTTGTTTTTTTTTATTAACACAGAGGCCGTAATTTTAAAAAAATGACTCGATTAAATTTTTTTTCAGTTTTATACAGTTTTTTACAATATTTTGAAATAATCACTTGTTATTCAAATTTTAAATATATTAGATAATTTCATCTTTCATGCGATGCGTTCCAATTGTACCAACTTATTTCTTTGTAAAATAAAATAAACTACTTTGAAATTAAAATGACAGGCACATCTATCACTGTCAAGGATTTTGTCGTTGAACTGACTATAATAACTTCATTTAATTAGAATTTGTTTCTCGAATCATAGACAAAGTAATAATGTGAATATAAAAAATTGTATATTATTGTGTCTAAAATTGAAGTGAACAATCGGTGACAAAATTATGAATTTTATTTGATACTTATCAAAGTCAAAGTACATAAGATAGCCGTGGCAACATTGGGACGGGCATCCGTCAAATATTTTGTGACGTGCACGCCAACTTTTATTGATGTCTCTATACTTACCGGCTTTAATTTCTTCAATTGATAATACACGAGCATCTTCATTGTTTTCAGGCATATTTTCATCAACGATTTCCTCTTTGATTTCATCAATTTTAATCTTATCGTCAAATATGAGCAGTTCCGGACTAGGACTTCTTACCCGTTCCGAATCAATACAATCGGAAATCCAGTGTTTTAAATTGTCAATCGTTTTCACACTAGCGCCGGTGGTTAAGTCTAAAGGTATATCGTCGTCGTCAATTTCTATAGTTTCTAACTGATTCAAAGTATCCTCAGGCTTGTCATCGTCAGTCTGATCGGTACTTGAGCTGCTAGGTTGCGTTTTTTTACTAAAAAATTGGTGAATTTTCATCTACATTTAATCCAGAATATTTTTATACCGCCTCGATATTTTTGCTATAATTAATTATACATTGTCAAACGGATGTGAAACAAGAGGGCATCGGTAAAGGGAACGCAATATTGGGTGGGCGTAGCAATGTTATTTTAGTTTGGGTACCGGGGCATGAGGGTCACAATGGTCAAAAGGCAGATGAAGTGAGCAAACGGGGCTCATCAATGCCATAACCGTTCTGCGGTGTTGCAAAAAGCGTCATAAGTATGGCAACAAAATTGTGGGCATCCAACAAATCTCTAGAATGGTCGAAAATTCACCAGGGTAGAGGCAGGGGAATCAAAGGCGAAGTTCAAAGTAGAATGTAGAATGAGTGGAAGAGGAGTTAATCACCGCGATCTTAAATTTTATTTAAAATTGTGTCCGCCTCATACATGGGGATCTTCTTGTTATAGGGGGGATAGGGTATTTCCCATGAATAGTGGACTTCTACCACCTATGAGGGTATACACCCTTCCATGGTCGGGGTTTAGTCCTCCGTGCCCTTCGCAATCGAGGAGCTTGTCTCCGGCTCAGGTACCCTTGAGTTGGAGGATGGATGATCTGTCTCCATTTTCTCCACTCTTTAACTTGGTCTCTCCCTAGACCTGATACCAGTATATCCCGGATCTATAATAGAGGATATATCTCTCTTTCTCTATTGCCTCCTTGGATTTGAGATCAATTCCTATATATGTGAGGACCTGACCATGGCCCTCGAGTTGGCGAGCTCGATGTCCTTATATTGGAGTTCTGGCAAAGCTGGTGGTACCCACAAGGGTTAGACGGTCTACCCTCTGCCCTTGATACGTGACCGCAGACAGTAGAGGGTGCCTGGTATGATAAACAGGGTAGTCCCATCGGGCATCGTTATACTTCTCTGGCCGCGATACTACAGCCAGGGACAAGACGATGAGATGTTCCTTAGATACAGCCAAAGAGCTAGAGGGGATTTCCCCTAGCACTTGACTAAGCGCTTAATCAATACAACAAGGTCTCGCATCTCCTAGAGGAAGTAGTCATAGTAGAACATTCGCTAAAATTCCCGGCCGACATGACAAGCAAAGACAGAAAGACAGCCAAAGCTGTAGTTGGTCTACTAACCGGGCATTGTAAGCGGCATCTAAGACTGATGGGAATGACGGACGAAGCCATGTGCTGATTCTGTCAATCTGAAGAAGAAATGAACTAAAAATAAATTTAATTTATAGGTAATATCAGAGTAAGTAGATCGCCGAGTAGCGACAGAAACCGTCGGCCCTTTTGATGTGGTGGGACCAAATTTTCTTTCTCTCTCTTTGTTTGACGTGTTAAACGTATTTAACTGCTCAACTTATGAAGTGGTCCTATAAACATGGTATACACTGGTCATAATTTGAAATGGAATTAATTATAAAGTTTTATACATATTTTTTTTGTTTTGTTTTATCCTTATTTCCAAATTTTGAATGTATAAAATATCTTACAGCTAATAAATAATTAAAAACACGATTCGTTGCCTGAGGTATACTTCAAATAAAGTATAGAGAGATATTTGATAAATGGCAACAGTGGCAACTTTGCTTCTTCATATGACAGATAACCTACTTATTTCGCGCAGCCGCCAAGAAAATTGAAAATGGGACTGTCGCTACTAGTCGGTTTACTTACTTTGGTAATATCGAGAAATTTTGCTTTTTTATTGGTAAACTTGACAACATTGATCGTTTTTGTCAGCAGTCCTTTTGCTGCCTGGTTCAGATCCGTTTGTCAGATAATAATTATATATCTTTCGCACTTTTTTAAGAAATATGTTATTAAAAATGTACCTCAATTGTAATTCTAACTCTTTTTGTTCTTGTTTAAGTTTCAATTGAAACCTTCGAGCCAGTTCTTCAATTACGTCGCTGTGATCCTTCATTTTGGGATTTAATATAAACGGGTTTTCTGGAACCATAAAAGTTATATTCACCTTTTCAGCCAAACATTCCATAATCTAAAATTTATGTTAAACATTTTTGAAAAAAGCTCTGAAAAAAAATGCTATTCCTTACCTCATTTAACGCTAACAATTGACCATATTTTTGTCTTTCAGTGCTGTCAGATGTAGTATCAAACAACGAGTTTTCTAGCTTATAAATCGTTTTAAACACAGCTTCCACTGTCTGATACGAAAACACAGTATTCTGGGAATGAACGAAATGAAGGTTCATTTTGTAGGAAGCACAAAATTTTCGTATCATTTTCTTTCTGTATGATATCATTCTGTGCTCTTTCATTTCCGCTATAGTACTTTTGAGGTAAGTATCGCTGAATTTCTGATACATTTTATACATCTGGTAACACGAAGCTTAAAAATAAAAATATTCTCCTTCCTTAGTGTTCTTATTCAATATGTTTCTCTGATTTTAAATAGATTTTAAGCCCCGTCTACATATAACATTTTTACTTGTCAATCTTACCTCTTGAGTCAAAAGCATCAAGTAAAAAAAAAATAAATACATCTTCCCGATCAAACAAAAAGCGACGATGACAAATTTCTGCGGATTTCGTTAGATCTACGGCTTGTGTTTGAAAACGAAGTACAGTTCATACCAAATAAACTTTTAATCACGTAATTAAGCTTGGCCGGCACATCGTTGTCCGCTTTTATATATTTTCTTTTATTCAAAATATTTTAAGAAACAAAAATAAATTAAATGTGGTAGACAATGATTCAGTATTAAAACTAAAAGAGTTTCGGACTTACAATATCTTTATTTATTTTGCTTACACAAGGTACAGCTTGCCATGCTAGAGCCGTTCGGTATACAAGGAAGGTAATGTAGCTATCACTACGCTTCAACCGCCTATTATTGCCTCAGGATTGTGAATCCCAAGTACTCATTTAAGGCTGAGTCGACCTAGGTGCCCAAACTATTTTTATTTTAATAAAAATAGTCGGCTGATGAAATGCCGGGTGTGGGATTCGTACCCACTACCTTGAGATTGGTAGACGAGAGCCTGTACCTCTACGCCACCGGGCACCTTTAAAAATAAATAAATTATAAATATATAAACAGTTATTATTTATATCAACAAAACTCACCTTCTTAACAGTACTTAAGGGGCATAAAGGACCATTATTACCACTTTCCCGTTCAAAATATTCTAATAAAGTTGCGATGAGTTTTTTACGGTTATTAAACTATCTTATAAACTTCGCACTAAAAGATGTTCTAAAAAGAACAATGTTCGACTGCAAGGTCTGCTGCAAACATTTTCAAACTTAAAGTATCAAAACACTATTTATTTAAACCAAAAACTCGTAATATACAAAACTAAAGTGTCAAAACGAATGACAATGTCAGGAAATAAATAAATAAATGCGGCAACTTGACAATTTTTACAGCAGAGGTACCACCTAAATCCTCGTGCGAAATTTAAATTCCAGTTAGTAAGCAGAAATATATCCATGGTTGGCAACAATGAATTTAAAAATCGCGCCCTCGATTACGTAACTAAAAGTTTAATTGATATGAAATATATATGTTACTATTGTTATTAATATTTTTTGTGTACGTATGTGTATGTATATCATTTTAGTTAAATACATAGATTATACCTTTGAAATTATTTATATCTTCTCATTAAATTAAATTAAAATTTATTAGGAATGTAACTGTGATAATGCTTCTTCAGGAAGACCATTTGATTTCAAGCTTTGCGTGTTTACAAACTAAACCAAACCATAAATACTAGCGATGGGAACTATCGAATGAATTAGATTATCGAATGGTTACTGAACGAATGATTTCAACTATCGAATAGTTTTATTCGAATAAAATCATTAATTCATTTGTATACTAAAGCATATGTGACAACCTCGCCGTGCGACTAAATGGTTATCGTTGAGCCACGACTATCGAATACTTTTGATAAATGAAATTTAGTATTCGTTTTATTTTTGTGTGCGTCAGTGCATTATTAGTTCTTCCAAATTCTTATAACTTCGCCTTGAAAATACTGTTAATATGCTGTAAATTTTTGCGTTTATTAAAATATTTAAAATACTAAAATAGTAGTTTTTTTTTAATTGACGATTGTGTGCGTGTTGGTGGTCAAAATTTTTCCGAAAATTTGTGTGATTTTTCGTAGCCCGATCTTTCAATTATTTAATTTTATATGGTATATGGCCTATTTTTTAATGGGAAATTTTGAGAAATAGCAATTTTTAAGAGAGATGAGATGAACGTGCCAATTTAAAAAAAAGTTAACAATGTTTGTATTTTGTTTATGCTAATTCTCTTACATGTAGTTTTTTGCGAAGAAATATTTCATTTATTTTTTAAAGTAAATGCCAGTTTTTACTTTTGTAAATATTATTTTTAAATAGTAATATAAATAATTTTGATTTCTAATTTTTTATTTATATTTTCCTCCCATTACACTGCGTTTTTAAAAAATTAATAATGTTTATATTAAATGATTTTAAATTTTGTTGTTAATAGGTACAACAAATTATTACTGTTATTATTGTTTATTAAACCAGTCTTTGCTTAAAAACATTAAAAATCATTTTCCTACATCCAAAATAACAAGTATTATTGTAGTGTAACAATACAATAATAATAAAAAAATGCAAAATATATAGACATACTATCCATAACTAACTAATGCCTAAGAATAATATTCTTTGCTAATATCAACTAATACCAATATATGGCAACAGCGCCCTTCATAATGTATTTTCTGTGTAAATCCTAGCACCTCAATAAAATAAATAATGTGTCGTTATCTTTATCTGACTCCGCAAAAAATCAAAGATGCCGGCTTTTTTCATAGCATTGCCACCGACCGCCTGTCGGGTTCCTCGGAAAGAAACCTACGACAACGACAACTAAAGCCGGGCGACAACTAAAATCCAGTTTATATTTTATTATAATCGATCCTGACGAATAAATGAATTTTATAAATGAATGGTTTTTGCTGCCGAATTACTAGAATACAATATTTCAAGACAGATGACGCATCTATTCGATAATTTTTATTCGAATAGTTTCGACGAATGTTTTCTTACTAGCTATCGAATTATTCGAATGCATTGCGAATGTTTCGATAGTATTCATTCGATAGTTTCCACTACTAATAAATACAATTTTTTTGTAAACATGTTTTTTCTTTTCAACTAAACACAATGCTATAATAACTGACAAAAACGCAGATAAAACTTGCAGTGTATAAAGGACGGTCCACACTTGCTATATAACACTGCTATACAGGAAAGTTATATAACATGTTACATATTTTTAGTCATATTTAGCAAATTTCGCTGCTATATAACTTGCTACATGTTATCCATTTGTAGTCGGTAAAGATCAAAAGATGTTGCTCAACACTGCTATTGTAACATGAAACAATGCGTCCAGACTTGCTAAATTTCTACTTTAGCCGCTGATATTTTCAGGGCCGTGCGCGACAGAACCTTAGTATGGTGAGCTGATATTGGGTTTGTTTATTTACTGGTCAATAATACCGTATAATCGAAAAAAAACTGCGTCCAGTCGATGACATTCCTAATATAATTTTTCATATAAAATGACAGCGATATGACAGCGATCTTCATTTCATACCCATCGCTGACGCCATTTTTTGCGATTATATGGTTCTTATACATAGAGAAAGATAGTAAAAAGCTTGAACTTATAGTAAAGTAAAACTTTTTATTACTTTCTCTATGTTCTTATATTGTTAATGAAGTAGAGCCAAGAGCAGACTTGTCAACTAATTAAGTTGTATAGAGATCATACAGTGTTATGGGATATCCGTAGTCCTTCATTTAAAGTGAAATAAAAAAAAGCTTGATGCATGGTTAAAAATTGCAAAAAGTATGTATTTGGAAAGAGAAAAAGTTGAGAAAAAAATGCGTTATCTAATAGGCCAGTTCCAGAGGGAATAAAAGAAATGCAAATCAGGTACTGGTTTAGACGAAGTGGATAATTCAAAATGGTTTGCTTTTAAGTTATTAATGTTTTTAAAAGACAGAAACACACCACGAGAAACAGCCGAGGCAGGTATTGAAAAGGAAAGCTAATTGAGTTCAACTACATATAAATCTATCTTGTAGGCTATGCCGGACTCAAAACCGCTTTTTTCTCGCCTTTCTTTCTCTTTCTTCAAAAATAATTACGCACGCCGCTGCTGCTAGCAGAACGTTTTTCTCACCAAAACGATTCATGATTACGAAAACTATAATGTGGACGGATCCCGGTTTTTATGTAATATTGCTTGTTAAATAGCAATGTTATATAACATGTTACTAAATGTGGACGCTCCTTAAAGGACGGTCCACACTTGCTTTATAACACTGCCATATAGTAAAGTTATATAACATGTTACATATTTTTTAGTCATATTTAGCAAATTTCGATGCTATATAACTTGCTAGATGTTATCCATTTGTAGTCGGTAAAGATCAAAAAATGTCGTGCAACACTGCTATTGTAACATGAAACAACGCGTCCACACTTGCTAAATTTCTAGTTTAGCCGCTCATATTTTCAAGGACGTGCGCGAACAGAATGTTAGTGTGGTGAGCTGATATTGGTTTGTTTATTTACTGGTCAATAATACCGTATGATCGAAAAAAAACTGCGTCCAGTCGGCCTCCCGTCCAGTTAGCTTGGACATGACGATCGATGACATTCCCCATATAATTTTCGATATAAAATGACAGCTATCTTCGTTTCATAGTATGTATTTCGAAAGAGAAAAAGTTAAGAAACAAATGCGTTATCTAATAGGCCAGTTCCAGAGGGAACAAAAGAAATGCAAATGGTTTAGATGAAGTGGGTAATTCAAAATGGTTTGCTTTTAAGTTATTAATGCTTTTAAAAGACGAGAAACAGTCGAGGCAAGTATTGAAAAGATAAGCTAATTGAGTTCAACTATATCTAGATCTTGCTGGTAGGCTATGGCGGACTAAAAGCCGTTTTTTTCTCAACTTTCTTTCTCTTTGTTCAAAAATAATTACGCACGCCGCTGCTGCGAGCTGAATCTCTTTCTCACCAAAACGATTCATGATTACGAAAACTATAATGTGGACGGCTCCCGGTTTTTTAACATGTGATATGTAGCTTATTAAATAGCAATGTTATATAACATGTTACTAAATGTGGACCCTCCTTAAGATAGTTATATTATTTAGATGAAGAACTGACATCAGTTTTCTAGACGGTCTTCCATTTTAACAGACAAGTAAAACGTTATGTGTAAACGGGTCTTTACACAACAAATCTATATATTTCTATGCTACCTGGATTATTCTTTTTACACACGAGCGTACTGTGGAACAAATTCTTCAAAACGTATTTTCGTATCTTTTCTATATTATCTGTATCACGATATTTCTTTTCGGTTTCATCGATAGGTACCAAATTTCCTCGGTTGAAGTCGATATTGGTGGTGTTAAAGTAATCTATAGTGGTCATGTTTCCGTCTAATGTTGTTTCCACTTCTTCACGATGAGTAAATATGTAAGAGCAGAGAAATACAAAGGCATTTTGCAGTTCCGCATCTCTTAATTTAAATTGACGACCTGTAGAAGATTATTAAGATTTAACATATATGATCGGCGTCACAGTTGGCTTGGAAATCACGACCGATGACGTTCATCATATAATTTTACATATAAAATGTGTCCCAGAAATAAGTGCAAGTATTTTAAGGTATGGTAGATCAATAAATTGATAATAACCGAGTTATTTAACTTTGAATATTTAAAGAAATAATGGTAACATTTAGAGAGCCGCGCCGGAAAAAGTTTTTAATGTATTTATGTAGAATTATGTAATTTGATGGGTATAGTTGTTCATTATTTAGAGTTATATTTATTACCATTATATTATTTCAGTTTACTAAACTGTATTTAAAAAAGGTATTTATAATATACAGGGTGCTACAAATTCCAGGTACGTGCATTGGTATCTCGGTAATCGTAATAGATACGAACATGGCTAAATTGGGGCAAAGTTGCTCTGTGGGATGTTCACCAATATACCATCAAAAAAGTTTGGTTTGGTTTGCTGAGTTTTTTGAAAAAACTATATCTATTTTAATTTGATTTAAAAACTTAAAAACTATTTTATTTTTTCCTGTCGTTACTTTTGGCTATGAGAATGTGCAACTAGTTTTTTGATTTTCTAAAAAGTAACGACAGGAAAAAATAAAATTGATTTTCAAAAAAATCCGTTTTTTCCAAAAAAAATTATCAATCCTTGAAATTTTTAAAACCATCTTGGTGAATATCCCAAAGCGCAGCTTTGCCCCAATTTAACTATGTTCGTATCTATTACAGTTACCGAGATACCAATGCTCGTACGTCAAATTTGTAGCACCCTGTATATATAAATAGTAGACGCTGCACTATACTTAACAGTAATCTACAATGATTAAAAAATCTACAGCAAATACAGTATATTGTTTTATTAGGAGTAAAAATGACACTTTTCGTGGCGAGGCTGTACGTTTAGACTGACGCGACATACAGCCGAGGCATAAAAAATCATTTTTCCTCCGAATAGAACAAGCTATATTTTTTCAAACGCCACAAATAAGTTTTAAACAATTTCAAACGTTCCAAATAATATAAAAAGATTTAAAAGTCATACTATGTATTATTATGTAATATATCGAGAAACTATGGTTACGCTTGTTGAATTTGGCACTTCATGTCAGTTTAATAATATATTTTCGCACTTTTATGCTTAGGCGTAAAAGTTCTTTACTTTTATGCCTAGGAGATAAAATGACTTTTTTATATTGTCAATCACGTCGCAAAAATTAATACTTTTGTGACGTGTGAAAAAAATAATTTAAGTATTTTTTTGTAGAAATTTAAAAATGTGAACTTATAAAAATACAGAATGTGGATAACGTAGGAGGTGACAACATTAAATTCTCTCACATCACTATAAACAAATTTCCCGAAACCGAACAAGTGGCACTCAAAAGTTTTTCAATATTTTCCGGAAAATGTCAAGAAAAATATAAAAGTTTTAACATTTTCTTTCCGCAAAAAAAAATCATGGGCGTGTTTCTGGGGTCGAACTATACTACCAGATAAAATACTTGCACTTCTTTCTGGGACACCCTGTATAATGTCACTGAGTTTAATTTCTAAGCTAATTCTGATGTATTTTTTCAATCGTATCGTATTATTTATTCTTTTTATCCGTGAAAATATAAACTAATAGTCAGAATTAACAACTTATTTTAAGTCCAATTCACTAGTCCGAAAAAGTAGCAAAATAAGCTTTCAGCATTTAACGTTTTATGTAAAACTGGCTAGGTATTTTTACACAAATGAAGAAGGAAATTAAAGATAAAGGATTACACTATATCCGTATTGTTTACTTCTTTATTTTTAAGATTTTAACGGTCAAACATCAATAAAATATTCCTTGTGTTTGCACTAAATTTTCTCAAAAATAAAGACATAATTTAAAATTCCGTTACAATACGGAAATAGATTGAAGTTTTGTGATTACAGTGATATATAATTTATATGGTTTTGTAACAAATTGCTCGCAATTTTATGGCAAATGCTGAAGCTCTGCAAACCTTAATCAAGCCTTAATCAAAGCACGTGTGTTTGGAATTTTGGATGTGGCTTAACACGACAGGATCGTGCTAAGCCTTAGGCAAATTTCTGAAATATAATATTTATTTCCTTCGACCATACATACACCCGCTTTACCCGACCCCTGAGAGCGACCCGAACAGTACAGCGTAATAGACTCTCAAGTTTAAATCAATCTAACACTCATTTATATACCGTGTAATAAAAAAGGCGCCCAGTTGGCTTGGAAATGATCGATAAAATTTTTCATATGAATCTACATACAAAATGACATCGATCGTTTCCAAGCTATCTCTGACGCCGTTTTTTTTCGATTATAAGGTATAACATTCATTAAAAAAGTAAATTATAGGGTTATTAATATAAATTAATAAATCTTATTTTTACATGAGGAATCCCTCCACGAGAGATGGCACATGTTTTTCAAACACCCCGTATATAATTAATATAATAAAGATTATAATAAAGATTATTCTAGCCTTTTTACCTAACGCATCTTTTTCATTCTCCAAGTACATCCTGAGCGGGACGAAATATTCTTGTATTGCATCCAGCTTGAATAAATTAGATACCCACACGTCAATACTTTGAAGGGCTGGCATGTCCCTACAAAGTCTACGCCAACGCCTTTCAAACATCCTAAAAAACGTTAGTATTGAAAATATTTCCTTAACTTGTTTAATCCGTCATCTTACCTGCTCGTTTTGTTTTTTGTCAAGGGTAAAACTCTGTGTAATATGTCTCTCACAGCTATATAAGAAATCACCAGGTTATGATGTCTCGGATTTAAGAATGCTATAGCAATCTAAAAAATTACAAAAGTAAATGGTAATTATGATGGTTTACATCATAAAAAAGTTCTTAAAAATAATAGAGATCAGAATTATTACATTTTATGAAAAATAGATTGATTTAAAAATATATGGGACACAAGACAAAAAATAAGAAAACATTTTTTTTATATATACCTGGTGTTTTTCAAAAGTGGCTCACAACTACAATCTTTTTATTTTCTAACATAACTGAACGAATATATATATATATAATCATGTTCGTATATGACATAAATCAGGATTGATTGACGTATTCAATTAGTTTCGGTCACTTCCTGTTTCACGGGAAATGATTTTGAAACAACTTTTGATTTTTAAATGGTGTCCTAGATATTTTTTTTTACTTTAATTGACAGAAAATTACATTCTGAATAGAATGACATTTTCGCTTAAAAAATTGTATTTTAAATTTAAATCTAAAGTGTCATGGCTGTGTTAAAACCACAAATTTTTAATCAAGGAGGCTTGGAAAAGTACATTTTGTCGGTGAAATGTGTTAAACAGTTAAACTCCATTATTCCTAATTTTACAGGAGAGCAAAAAAAAAACCGTAAAAAAATATGTACACATGTAGCAAGTCAACTACTCAAAACAATTATCGCATATTTTCTAAAAAAATATATTAAGTTGAAAAACAAGACACTTTGAATTCCCTGACTTACGGTTTTAAATAGTTTGGATGCTGTGTAGGGAAATTCGAAACAACAAGCCTACGCGTTGACCTGTAATTTTTAGTCGGCCGACTATTTAGTTGCAAAAGTGAAAACAATACATACTTATGGAGCCGATCGGCCGAGTATTTGATTGCATGTGAGCGCGGCTCCATAAGGATATATTGGTTATAAATGTGCAACTAAATAGTCGGCCGATTTCTGTCGATGATTTGGCCTTTCACTGACGATTTGATAGTCTAATGTTCCTCATGACGTTTCCAGGCCAGTTAAAAGATATCCCAATCGTATTTTTAATCATAACTCAATTTTTTTAAAAGGAACGAGGGTGGCTCATTATTATATTTAGAAAAAGCATTTTTTAACAAATAATTTGATACCACATACTTGGTATTTTACAGTAAATTGTTATGAACACAACCATTGCACGGTAGTATTTGGGAAAGCTAGGCTAGAACCGAAGGAACTATGCTCCCATCCTATCAAGGACCTGCATAAGCATAGGGATAGGAGAATGGGTGCAGATATAGAAGAGGGACAAACACAATAGGCCTCACAGGTCGCAGTGTTTCCGGCAGACGACGGCCCCTTGTTATGGAAAAAAAATTGCACGGTAGATTGAAATTTAAAATACTATTTACTTAAAGCAAAAATGTCAAAAGTTGGCATATTATATGTCATTCTATTCAGAACGAAGAAAAAGAATCGTGGGTGTTTGGGAAGGCTCGAAAGGAAACAATCTTTTTGTGACTGTTGTCAGTACGACATAAACCGAGTATCGGTGTATATCGGGCCAAAAATACCCGTTAAGTTTCTGTTCGATTCGTCTGTATGTGTCGGTGTTGGCGGTTGGAATCGCCATGAATGTTTGTAGGCATAATATGGATTAATATATGTTTTGGGTAAGTGGCCAGTTAATTTTAAGCGACAATAAAGTCGCGAAACGTCGCAAAAACATTGTTTCCTTTCGGGCCTTCCCAAACACCCACGATTTTTTTTCCTGCGTACTAACTACTGGGAACTAACAATAATCATAATCTATTCAGCATGTCATTTTATATCAGATAATGTAAAAAAATAACGAAAGTACTATTTAGAAATCAAAAATTGTAGTTATTTTCAGTAAAACAGGAAGTGATCGAAAATAACTGAATACGTCAATCAATTCTGATTTATGTCATATACTAAATTACTAAATCTAGTTATTTTGTCTGAAAAAATAAAAAATTGGCGCCGGGAGGCACATATAGCCGCCCATGCTAAAATATGTTAATAAAAAGTTGGTAGGTAATTTTGGTCCGGGGTTATTCTCCCTATCCGCTACCTGGGGTCGCGTCCGATGAGAGTTTGGAGTTCTCCACACGGATTTTCTCAAAAACGGACTACGGAAACACGGAATATCTCAAAAACTGCGACTTTGAGTGATTTTGATGTTATTACAAATTTTGTTGCTTTATTCCTAATCTTAAATTGAAAACCGCGTTTCGCTAGCTACTGTAATTTTGGAGTTACGATTTTTTTAAATTTTTAACCCCCTCCCATACCCCCTTACCAACCACCCACCCGCACCAAAAACTAATGGCCAGATTCTTGGATGCCACAGTATTTTTGTGCCAAATTTGGTTAAAATCGGTTTAGCGGTTTTTCAGTTATCGTTTTAAAGACGGACATACAGACAGACACCATGAAAATATTTTGTATTTAGCTCATTTATGACCCAAATAACTCATTTTGAGTGAAATTAAAAAAACTTTTTTTTGACGATCTTAATAGCCTACCATACCTGTTGGTATGGTCGGCTAAAAAATTGTAGGCGTGAGCCACTTTTAAAAAACTCTCCGTATTATATACAGGGTGTCCCAGGAATAAGTGCAAATATTTTAACTGGTAGTATAGTTCAACCCCAGAAACATGCCTATGAGGTTTTTTTCGCGAAAAAAAAAATTGAAAATTCGAAATTTTTTGAAAATTTTTTTAGTTTTTAGTTAAAAAACATAATTTCTTGATAATATGGCAACATAGGTATTAGATTAAATTTACAAGAAAGAAAATCCAGAAAAGATCCAGTGGTTCTCAAAATTTTAGCAAAAAATATTTTTTTTTGAAAATTTTCAAAGCAAAATAACTCCGTTATTTTGGACTTATTTGAAAAACGATAAAGAGAAAATATGTTTGTTTTGTCGAGATCTACCACCCTTTAAAATATTTGCACTCATATTATATTCTACAGTAAACAGTTAAAAATAAGTCAAACTAAGAATGTCGTTTGGCGGCAAAGACGGCTGGGAAATTACAATCCATGATAATTTTGGCGAAGTAAATCTCTAGACGTCATTTACTAAAATTGACATCAAACTGGTTATAAATTAACACTAATTGTAGGAAGATAACTAACTACACCATTAATAATCATTTCTAGTCAATATAAAAATAAACTACAACCTTCTTAAGACCAACTAGCAGTAACCGCCCAAAATAATATAAAAAAAGTACGTGCCATTCGGGCTTGTTATTCCCCAGCTGTCTTTGACGCTATTATTTTTCGATCGTATGGTACTTGAATCGCAAGCGACACTTTCTATTTGGGAAAGCTAGGCTAGAACCGGAGGAACTATGGTCCCATCCTATCAAGGACCTGCAAGTTAGTGCATGGCACAGGGATAGGCGAATGGGTCAGATATAGAAAGGGCACAAACACAATAGGCCCCACAAGTCGCAGTGTTTCCGGCAGAGGACGGCCCCTTGTTATTGAAAAAAAAACTAGAAACCGACGTCTAATATTTTTAGACACCCTGTATAACTACCTACCTTAAGAATAATTAGTAGTTTGTTCTCTTCTTCCGTCCACAGCGATTTCAACCTTAAAGAGCCCTTGAACTGTTTATAAATGGCTTTATCCACGTCATCGTAATAGTCTCTAGTTCCAACCTTTTTCGGACGAGGGTGGTGATGTTGAATCTTTCTTTTGAATATCGGGTTCCTCTTTGTGACTCGTACAATATTCGCCTGTCGGTCCGTCTTGATGGTCTTAACGCTGTGTTGATGTTTAGGAATGTAGAATTTAGTGACAGCCGGTATTTTAAGCTTGTCATAGTTCACTTCGCCATCTCCAATCTTTTTGCAAAAAATATAATACTTGTTAATACAGTGTAAACTCTTACTTACTTAAAAGGATATATGCGTTAAGGTTGATTCTCACTATTCCTTTTTACCTTTCGTTTCCATTCCATATCCGTTCTGTATTTTTTATTGATTCGACGCTATACGTAAGCTTCCGTTCCGTATCAGTTCCATACTTTTTATTGTACAATTTATAACATTACGAAAGTTTTGTTTTAAAAATTTGTATGTTTTGAAAAAGGTAACAGATTTAATTAAGAGGCGAAAGAATGAATAAACATCAGCAAAATTTTAAAAGATCTGGTACAACTGTAAGAACTTGACAACGCTGTTTCCGATACGCTTCAGTCCGTCCGCCAAAAAAATGTATGGAAGGAAAGGATATGGAACGGAAGAGAAACGGAACGGATAGTGTGCTTTGTCCTATTCATTTACATGATATATTTTATGTAAACGGAAGGGAGCTGATATGGAAGGTATAGTGAGAATCAACCTTTTCAAAAAAATCCTGTATGGGTATTTCGCCACTGCAAGAAAATGGAAACTACTTGTCAGCAGTTAAGTTTACAGATAAACAAAAATTTGCCTAACGAACAAAAAAATGCTTAACGTTTCGGAAAGTTTATCTCTTTCCGTCGTCGGAAAGCAAACAAAAATACAAAGAATAAAGAAAAAAACTATTTAAAATTCAACAATTCGAGAACATATTTTTCTTTTTCTTTGTATTTTTGTTTGCTTCCGACGACGGAAAGAGATAAACTTTCCGAAACGTTAAGAATTTTTTTGCTCGTTAGGCAAATTTGTTTATCTGTAAACTTAACTGCTGATAAGTAGTTTTCATTTTCTTGCAGTGGCAAAATACCCATACAGGATTTTTTTGGAGAGATGAATCCACCACATAGGTATAGACATTTTTTAATCACCCTTTAATCGGAACATCCAATATTCGAAACGTCCCAATTGCGATGTTATAGGCGGAACCATAAAGTAACTAAAATAAAATAGTGTTTGGAAGGTTGTCTAACTTGGCCATAATGTTGCATAGTTCAGTTATGCCTCCAAAGCGTCGCCACATGCTACCTGTCACATGTCATGACAAGATTGACAAGTGACATGACAGCAAATTATTTGTATTTTGTGTAGTTCTTTATTTGTTTGTTTTGTGTTTGTGCGTACAGAAATTATGGAGGAACTTATATTTCTCTAAAAAAAGTACATATAGACCTTATATTTTTCTATGATCTGAACTTTTTGTTTTGTGCTCTGTGTTTTGCCGTTATCATGTAATATTTTGTTTAGCCGATGATGCGATTTAAACACGATCCAGGAAAGGGTATCATAGCAAGCAAGTTCGATATGTAAAGACATTGCCCATCTCTGAACTTCGTGAACCGTAAAACGAACTGACTAGAAATTCGCTCTTCATTTCATAGTGTTGTACATTCGCTGCCTCAACTGAACTTCAACTGCCGAGTTTTAAATCCAACTCAAAGGTGAATTAATTTTTGGGAATGTCTTATTTAAATCTTTATCTGTTATAATAGCATAGATTACAAACTCTGCGATCTTATATGCTTTGTTAATGGCGTCTGGTGGCGTTGTTAAATATGTTTTATCTTTGTAATACAGGTTAATTCAGCATGTTTTATATTATGAAATTTAATTTAGCATTTAACTAAAAAAGTGTACAATAGTTTATATTTTTCAAATATTTTAAACATAAATTTTCATTATATCTTTTGCCATTTTAATTTTCTAATATTTAAAAAAAAACATAATTTTTAGATTCACATTTAAATTGTCCACTTTTTTCGTGATAGGCAATGCAGATACCTATTTAATGATTACGTCTGACATATTTCCATTAGTTCTGTTAGGGCTCAAGGGTGCGCTACTATCGGTCCTGGCTTAACGTGTTGCCTACTTTTAGCAATGGAAATAACATCTCTTTTATTTTATATTTCTCTATGGGCGGAACGTTACTAATCGGAACGTTCCTCTAGCGGGTGGTGCATCATCGTTGGAACCATAGAAAACCCCATGCAAATTTTGAACTGTCCATATATGTGCTACCCTATCAATTTTACAGCTAAATCGTAAATAGGTTTTTTAAAGGTCTGCTTATGCTGAATACACAACCAAATTTGAACAATTTTAGACAAGCCCATTTTAAATAATTTCAAAAAAATTGCCTATTTTGTGTATATTCGCTCATCGGAATAGGTCGTTACAAATAGTTATTCCGATTAAAGAGGCTGCACTGTATTAAAAAGAAAAAAATTGTAAAGTTTACCTGATCAAATTTAAGGGAGTCCAAATCATCTTTAAAATCTTTATAGGTGTTTACAAAGAACCAGTTCCTTTTAATATGGGACCACAGTACCGAATCTAGACCACCAGCGCCTTTGTTATCACCCGGTATCTTACCATTATCAAGCCTGAAAATAAAATAGTGTCACGGATTGGTAGCGACATCTCTGGATTAAGTTAACTATGGATGGGGTTATATATAAATCCGTCATGCGTCGTTTCTTGTCTTTTACCAGTTTTATTGGTTTATTTCAAAAATCACAGATCATATTTCAATATTATTGGAGTGACGAAACGATGAACGAATCACGGACGTAGATGCGTATGAACTCGTCTTTAGATTTTTGAGGCTTGTCAAAGTCTTGCCAAATTATAGGTTATAATTTTGTGTTAAATTATGCCAAATACCCTCCGTTTTGGAAGATGATGGATTTTCATTAGTGTTATTACGTGTGTTTTGTGTCTTTTAAAGTTGAAAAATCGAGGTAAAATAAAATATTCAGTGCCCAGGCAGAGAGTTTTATACACCAATAAAGTTACCATCGATAAGTTTGTATGCTATCTCATCATAGATAAGTGCATATCGTATATGGTACAAGGGTGGTACTAAACATATACTAAAAACTGGAGTAGCTGTAAAATAACGACATCATACGATAGGTAAATAATGAATTTGACTAGTGCAGAAAGATGTCAAAAGGTACTGGTTTAAAAAAATTAAGATTAAAGTTAATTAATCAACTTTTAAGGTATAAAATTCGGTAAGAGTTATTATTAATAAAATATATTTTTTTTATTTATGCTGTTTTATTTATTCATGTGGAATATTAAAATTTTTATTTGTACGTGTTACATTGATAAATATAATAATAAATGCAGGAAGTTTCTAGAAGCTTGAAAGTACGAAATATTGTTTTTTTAATATATTTTTGGTATGTGGTGTTTTGTTCTTGTTTGTTTGGTATTTGTTCTTGTTTGTTTGGTATTGGTGTAAAATATATACTGTTAAAAATATCTTGAAGATCACTTGTCACTCAAATTTTAAATATATTAATTTCCTGCTATGCTTAACTAGCTATGCTAAAACTTATTTCTTTAAGATAAAATAAACTACTTTGAAATTAAAATGACAGACACATCTATCACCGTCAAGGATCTTGTCGTTGGAGAGACATAATATGAATTAATTATTATAAAATATCCTACTTACTCTTCAACTTCGTCCTGTAATCGCACTGTAAGCACTTCCATTAAACTCGGTTTAGTTTTTTCTCCTTCTACTGTAATAATTTTCCCAATCATAGTAAGCCTATTGTTCAAGGGAGTATTCATACCTAGAGCAAATTTCTTCTTTCAATTCTTATTTTTTTTTATTAAATCAATTAATAAAAAAATAAAATACTGTAAAATAAAAACACTAAATCACCACAATACACCAAAACACTTGTACTTTTACACTGGACGCGCGTTTCGCTAACCATGTTAGCATCATCAGCAGATGATTATAAACTCTAACTAACATGGTTAGCGAAACGCGCGTCCAGTGTAAAAGTAAAAGTGTTTTGGTGTATTGTGGTGATTTAGTGTTTTTATTTTGCTGTGTAACACCAAAGGTTCCAACCCTCAACTGTAAAATACTGTGGTGTAAAAAATAGTGCATAAAAGTGGATTTGAATGTATCCGTCGCCGTCGATACGATAGGACCGCATACGTCATCCGTTGATACGACCTTCCCTGATTTACCTGACACGCACAACTGATATGTAAAAGCAAAGACATCTAATTTAAAGGAGACAGAGTTATTTACGTTTTATCCCGATAAAACATCATTTTCAACAAAAATCGATGATGGCAAATTTGCAGAATGCGTTAGATCTACGGCTTGGATTTGAAAACCAAGTATATTATTATTATTTTTAATGTTTTTAACGCACTTACAGACGGCGAACTAAATACAGGGTGGCCCATCGAAAACGTTCCGCAAGGCATAACGGCCAGGGTAATTTTTTTTTTCAGAAAATCCAAAAACACGTCAATTTTGTTTGTGAGGGGGACAACTTTTGCCCCAAAAATGATTGCAAAATCTTCAACCCTCTAAGCGGGGGTGTTATCCTCCATTTTTTTTCAAATGGGAAGGGGGGTCAAGTGGCGCCGCAATGAAAAGAGCTTTCTGTTCTCTCTATTTCGCCGCTTCGTTTTTGAAAATCGGTCGAGTCATTGAGAAAATATGAAGGATTGAAATTTGAAAAGTGTACTTAAATCTTTATCAGAGTAAATAATAAGGATAAATTCCTTCGACCAATTTGCTGTTTTTTCTTATTATTTCTAGATGTTTACGCATTTTTTCACTTGCCACAAGGTTGAACGATCAGGTGCGGTAGTTGCTAGATAGCTGTTCTGTGACTTGTGCGTTGAAGTTCTTCTCAATATCGTTAAACTTTTTAACAAATATAGTGTACTCGCAGAAAAAATGGAAATAATCGAACTTTATTTTAAAAATAATGACTACGGCAATCGGGTTGCGCAAATATTCAATGAACGCCATCCTGACAAACACCTTTATGGCAAAACTGTTCGCGAGTTAGTAGCAAAATTTCGCGAAACTGGTTCCGTTATGAATAAAAAGAGGCAGAGGGAAAATCCTGTAGTAAAAATGAAGCTATGGAGGTATTCGTATTGGGCGAAGTTGCCATGGATAGTACGCTGAGTACAAGAAAATTAGCCAATGAGACCGGCGTGAATCGTACAAGTATCCAAAGGATATTAAATAAAACACAAGTTCCACCCGTATAAAATTCAGTTGGTACAAGAACTCAACGAAGACGATTTTGATCGTCGCGGGCTGTTATTTTTGGAAATTCTATTGGAGGTCAGTTTAACGATATTGAGACCGCACCTGATCGTTCAACCCTGTGGCAAGTGAAAAAATTCGTAAACATCTATAAATAATAAGAAAAAAACAGCAAATTGGTCGAAGTAATTTATCCATATCATTTACTCTGATAAATGTTTAAATAAACTTTTCAAATTTCAATCCTTCATATTTTCTCAATGACTCGACCGATTTTCAAAGACGAAGCGGGAAAATATAGAGAATAGAAAGCTCTTTTCATTGCGGCGCCACTTGACCCCCATTCCCAGTTGAAAAAAGTTGGGGGATGACACCCCCGTTGCAATCTTGCAATCATTTTTGGGGCAAAAGTTATCCCCCTCACAAACAAAATTGACGTGTTTTTGGATTTTTTGAAAAAAAAATATCCTGGCTGTTATGCCTTGCGGAACGTTTTCGATGGGCCACCCTGTATATGTGTAGGTATATCATTTTAGTTAAATACATAGATTATACCTTTGAAATTATTTATAGTTTTCGAACTAAATGAAATTAAAATTTCTAGGGAAGTAACTGTGACAACGCTGCTTCAAAAAGCAAACAGTCTCTCTGAAGCAGCGTTGCTATGCTTTTTAGGATGTTTTTACTATGAACAAAACGATGCCGACCTTTGACGGAGTCATTGAATTTTTGTTTTACAGTTTTGCTGTACTGTGTTTGTGAACTTTTGTATTTTTCAAGTAATTTTTAGTGTTATTCTTTGCAAAAGAACTGTGCAAAAACTACTGCAAAGTATTTTTAAATATCTAAGATGGTTCGCCAGTGCTTAATATACAAAAAGGTGAACTATTCCAGTTCCAAATTAATATTTTAGGCGGTAAGTGACGTTACATACTTTTTAGCTTTAACAGTGGTGTACCTAATTTAAGTTTTAAGTAGGTTATTACAAAAAAGCATTATTGAAAATAAAATTATACATATACGATTTTTATGGACTGCACGTCTGGAATTCTCATGTACTACTATTATAGAAGAAAAATAATTATCATATTACAATATACAGGGTGATCCAAACTGTATTCCGGAAACTTCGGCAGCATATTCTGCAGATAAAAATAGGTAAAAAAGTTCGTATAAATGTATGTCTTTTTTCTAAATTTCTGAAGTAACGTCAATATTTAGATGAAAATTGGTGTCTGGGAGTTTTTTGACATGAAAAATTTGATTTTGAAATCAATACGACTCCTCTTTGTAGGGGACAAAAAAACAAATTTAACTGTTTTGAAGATTAATAACTTTTCGTCCGTACCTGTATAAAACTACTGAGTAAAAAAATATATATATCCCTAATTTTTTTGAAAAATATCTCTTGATAAAAATCGCTACGAGCAACCGTTCTCAAGATATTTAAAATGGAAATAGTCAATATATGTAATTATTGACAAAAAATAAACATGTCAATTAGATAGTTATTTGACTGAAATGATAAATTTGAAAACTTTTTATTTTTTTAAATTAATCATAAATTTTTATTAGAAAAAGTGATGATAAAACAGTTTCTGTTGAACTTTTGGCACTAAAACATTTCAAATTTATGATTTCAGTCTAATAACTATTTAGTCAACATGTTTAATTTATGTTAATGATGACAGGTATTGATAATTTCGATTCCAAATATCTCGAGAACCATTACTCGTAGCGATTTTTAACAAGAGACCTTTTTTACGTACAAAACGTCGTAAATGTATATTTTTTTACTCAGTAGTATTATACTGGTACGGACGAAAAGTTATTAACTCCTCAAACCAGTTAAAAAATATTTAGGTAGCGCCCTCTACAAGTAGGAGTTATATTGACATCAAAATCAAATTTCTCATGTCAAAAAATTCCAGACACCAATTTTCATCCAAATATTAAAATTACCTCAGGAATGATTTGGAAAAAATCGAAATAAAAATAAAACTTCTACACCCTGTACCTCCGAAACTACGCATTTTAGGACATACAATTATAGAAACTTTTCTACTTATTTTTATCTGCAGAATATGCTGCCAAAGTTTCCGGAATACAGTTCGGACCACCCTGTATATTAGAAATCAAAATTTAAATTACTATGACTGTAAACAAATGTAATCGAGTGTTGTGACTCATGTATAGAGCGCACTTTAGTTTCTAAATTTAAAAGCGAATACTTACATATATTATACATTGTAGACCAATATTTCAATACATCGGCAAAGGTATTGAATTGAAAACGCAGACGCTTATACTCCTTATCCGAAACTTTGTGGTAAGATGGTTCGGACGTCATGGTCTCTAACAGACTGGCTCTGCGATTCAAATAGATGAAAGTCTGGTCTTTCTCATGATACTTCGAAGGACCAAACTGAACTAAACCGCAATAGCCCAGACGCATGATGGTATCGTATACGTCGTGCACGTACTTACGACGGGACAAAAAGAGGGTTTGTACTGAGGCAGGTAGGTCTTTCAACAAGTATAATCTAAAAGAGAATATGATCATTGCTTTTTTTAAATAATCTGAAAATCTGAAGTAGTGATGGGTTGTTATTTAACTATCTGTTATTTTATAACAATTATTTAGAAATAACATAACGCAACCGTTACTATTTTTAAAAAATAACAGATATAAAATAACAACACGCAGAAATCGACTGTTCGTGAAACGAAGTCAGCGCTCTGCACCGCCACGAAATTCGATGCTGCTCGAAGCAATTCCAAAAAACAACTAGTATGGATGGAAAACATGTTATTTCGACAACCATCGATACAGGCGACGAGATATAACAGACAACGGAGTGGGGTATGTGCTACGGCGCGGCGCGGCTTGTTGGGCTTACAACAGCTTAAAAATAATAGGATATAAAAGAAGCAGCTTTTTTGAAACAGTTGCGGGCATAACGCAACGAGAGAGATAACAGGAGTCGAGATAACACGAGTGGGAAAGGAACGCTGCTGCATCGGTCGATTGTCAATGGAGGTTCGAAACAGGTTGGAGAATAACGCATCAGTTGTTTTAGATACATTAATTTTCAACCTGTTACGAGCATAACGGGCGGAGGTCGAGATATTATGGCGCTGTATGTTTCAGTACTTGGTTATTAAGTTTCAATAGGTATTTATTTATTCTGAAAAATTTTCGGAATAATATTTTAAGATTTTTTAAAAATGTATACAGGGTGTTTTGAAAAATCTGGTCATTGATTAATCACGATCCTGCTTAAAGTCCTTGACGTAAAAAGCTGATTTTTGGAAAACGGATTGACTTTAGGGTGTAGAGGTTCGATGAGAAGGGATTTTTGAAACTCAAATTCTAAGCGGGTGAAACCACCCCCAAATAGAATATTTTTTATTTAAAAACTGGTGAGTTTTTCGAAAAAACTCTTAAACACGTATATTTTATTTTGTTGTTTTACATATTTTAAGATTTTTAAAAAAATATATACAGGGTGTTTCATAAAATATGACCATTGAGTAATCATGATTCTGCTTAAATTGCTTGACGTTTAAAGCTGATTTTTGGCAAACGGATTGACTGTGGGGTGTAGAGGTTCGATAAGGAGGGGTTTCTCGAATATCAAATTCCAAGAGGGTGAAAACGCCCCTCAAATATTAAAATATTTGTTATTTAAAAACGGTTAGTCTTTCGGGAAAACGCTTGGACACGCATAATTTATTTTGTTTTTTTATATATTTTGAATTTTTTTAAAAAATCATACAGGGTATTCCAAAAAGTTGAGTAATTGATTAACCACGATTCTGCTTAATCTGCTCGACGTTTAAAGCCTATTTTTGGCAAATGTGAGAAAATTTTATCCAGTTTGTATGTTAATGGAAATTCTTGCTTTGCTTTATCATCACCATTACAAATTAATAATTCGACGCGAACAAAGTTGCGGGTACACGCTAGTTTAAGTATAAAATTAATTCGAACTCTAGTGTGTAGTTGGTTTACTTATGAAGAATATACTACACATTTTCTTATATTGGTATTTTTTGACCTCAAATGGTAAAATCATTACTAAGAGCTTCTCACCCGTCGAGTGAGATGCACCCTGTACACTGCTACGCAATTCAGGATCTACGCGGATCGAGGGGCAGGGCGTAGGTAGATCAAAATGTATAGGTATAACGAGTGGCGGCATTTTGGCTTTTTATATCGCAATTTGTAAACAGCGCTTATTTGTAAACAACCACCGTTTTTAGAGAGGTATTTTAGATAACAATCGATATTTAGAAATGTTATGACACCCTGGAAATACTACCACCGAGCACGTCATTGCTGCAACTTGCAACTGCGTTAATACGCCTGGCGGTGACCGCCTCATACTCTTTCAGATATTTAGCAATAAAATAAAGAAACCTGTTATTTTTAAGCTGTTATTTTAATTATTTTTTATAAATAACTATAACAGTTTCAACTGTTATCTAAAAATAACAGTTTTGCCCATCACTAATCTGAAGTAAAGAAGCGTCCATAAATGAATCGTAGTTTGTTAAATGGGCATCAGCAGTAGCGGCTCGTCAGGGTTAGGCGGCGCCTACCCTACAATTTTGTCAGATTTTTTTTACATTATAATATTTATTTACTCTATTAATGTTGCCAAGACAGATAAAAACACTATTAATACACGGAAATGAGCTGTAACAATTAATATTAATTTAATATTTGTAGTCTTTTATATTAATATATTAACTACCGCCGGCGTATGCAGCGTTAGAAATCAAAATAATTTTGACCGTTGGAGTATAATGCCTGCCGTCTTTGTTCGGCGATTTCTAGCATCGCCTTTCAAATTAAATTTTGATCTCCCACTCAGCCGTCGATGTGTGTCTTTTGTCTCTGTCTAACTCATCGCGCGGTAGCGACGGAAATCGATGACTACGTCGAATTAAGGCGGGGTTTAGGCGATATCTTCAGTCGCCTCTGCATGCTCGTTGAGCTCGATAGGTTTTAGAAATTCGGTATTCGGTGGTTTCCATATTTATTATATTATTCATTATACGTTATCAATATTTAAAACTTTAATTAAAATATGTTTGAAGACTGCCTATTATTAACTTGAATTATTGTGTACAGTGCATTTGGTTGTTAATTTCTAAGTTAACAAGGAGGAGATATGGATAAGTATTAATTTAGGTTAAAATTTGGAGCAATTAATTTTGATTTTCAATATGGATAATCCTATTCACACAATTTATGCGACGTATAAATACATTCATACTATTTACAAGTACTTCGGTTGAGAGACATTTTTCATGTTTGAAACGCATTAAAAATTACACTAGAAATTCAATGAAAAAATAAACGTTTATCGTCACTTGCCTTACTTTGAATCGAAAAAGATATTTTCATAGCCCTTCAACAATCTGATAACTTTACAAATATAATAATAAATAAATTTTCTTTATTAAGAAATCGGCCAATCAATTTAATATAGTAATTTTCTTTCCCTTTGTTTATGAGTCTCGAAATATGTATATGAATAAGATAATCTGTTTTTCTTTGTAAATTTATTTGTCTATATATTTACCTATTGTTAAGTTACGTAAATAAATAAAAATAAAATAAAATCCTATGATGAACTGCATGGTACTATTATCTACCTTATTTATCAAGGTATAAAGGAAAAAATCAAGGTATAAAGGAAATAAATAAAACATACATATACATGAGATTAACACACATATATGTTAATCTCATTATGTTGAATGATGTTAGTTTAGTTTTATCCTAAATATTCTTAAGCTAAGTTTTTAACCCATAAGCTAACATATTGGTTTTTACGAATTGGGTTATGATATTATGTAAATTTTGGGAAACAAATAGACGCAATTAAAATTTGTCGCCTACCCAGTCCCACACGCCACGAGCTGCCACTGGGCATCAGTCATAAAGCCATTCTTCAGTTTTAAATTTTTTTCAATCCTACATTAATAAAACTGCAGTTTCTTATTAAAAACATGTAGGGAACAGTTCCGAATACCTGTTCCGGCCGTTCCGCCTGTTACTTTTATAACATTTTAAAAATCACAATTTGCTTTATTAATTTTATTAATAGTAAGGACTAGTATTTGAGATGGTTTAGATTCTAATTTAAAATCACAGTGATAACATTAAATAATACTGTTGCGAAAAACGTAACAATACTTAAAAGAGGGAACTACTAAAACTAACAGAGAACATTCATTCTAATTCAGTCCACCGAGACCAATGGATCAACTGTTAGCCGGTATACTTTTTTGACAAACAGAAATACAGGTCTTATTTACCACATTTTATGTGCTATTGTTTTTCCCAATGTAAGTTCCGCGATTATGTACTTTTGTCAAAATAAAACATCATTTTATTGCATACAAAGATTTTTGAGACCACTTTTTACCTAATCGAAATGGAAAAATAAAGGCTATGTTATTTCGAAACGAGTTCGTCAGAATGGAGGGAAAACAGCAATTATTTGGCGGTAGGTGGACCTTAAGCAGTGGCGGCTCGTCAGGGTAGGCGGCATCTACCCTAAAATTTTGGCAGATTTTAAGCGGTTTATTACATTTCATTATTTACTATTAATGTTGCCAATACCTAAAAATACTGTTAATACACGGAAGTGTGTTTTAATAATCAATATTATTTTAATATTTGTGGTTTTGTATATTAAAATATTCACTGTCGCTAGCGTACGCTGACTGTGCCGCTGCGTTAGAAAACAAAATAATTTTGACCGCTGCGCTGGAGCACAGGCTGGAGTGCCTTTGTTCGGCGATTTCTGCATCGCCTACTATCAGAGTTGATGCACGACGTACGGCAGTCTTCTGTCTCTGTCTAACTTATCGTGCGGTAGCGACGCGACGTAAGTCGGAGTTGTATCGTATTAAGGCGGGGCTTAGGCGAAATCTCCAGTCGCCTTCGCATGAAGTCGTGGAGGCTCGGTAGGCTTAGAAGTTAAGGGGATATTCCCGATATTTCATAAGGGGATATATCACATTTCGTTAAGGGGATATTTCATATGATTCATTATACGTAGCATTTAAAACTTTTATATGAAAATTCAAAAATAACGTTTAAAGCAAATTGGAAACATTTTTTCGGGCTTGTCCGAGATTATTCAAAATGATATAATCGGTCAAATATCTTTGCGAATTTTATTTTATGAAATATTAGATAACATTGTTATACATTTAGAAATATGGTTTGGAGATAGGTACTCGTGTGTCTCAATTATTTTTATTTATCTGTTGCGGATCCAAAATTTAAAGAATCCTATAAAAATTTCCAACGCATTTAATAGTGATTTAACAAACAAAAAATGTTAGTGACCAACGTAAATTAATGAATAAATTGCAGGTATTAATAATAGATATGATAATTTCGATTATAAAATAATTTAAGGAGAATAATCCTAGAAATATATTTCCAGAGGCTTTCAAATTGTTTGTTTTGTTTGTCACTACACCATTTACAAGTATTTGGGTTGAGAGACATTTTTCATGTTTGAATTGCATTAAAATTTATAGTAGAAATTCCATGAAAAATAAACGTTTATCGTCACTTGCCTTACTTCCAATCTAAAAAGACCTTTTCACGGCTCTTCAACAATCTGATGATTTTACTGATATAAATAATAAATAACTTTTCTTTATTAAGAGACCGACTCATCAATTTAATACAGTGATTCCCAAAGTGGTCCAGGTGGACCCCCAGGGGTCCACGGGAGACTTGCTGGGGGTCTACGTAGGCGTGAACAAAAAATGGGGGTCCATAAGATGTTAATGGGGGTCCACGAAAATTTATCTGCTTTTGATAGTAAAGAGCAAAAATGTAAGCATAGTTTTTATAAGGGCCTACCTACATTATGTCATCACGTTGAATGCTGTTATTTTTTCTTTAGTTTTGTCCTAAATATTCTGAGCTATGTTTTTAACCTAGAGATAACATATATTTACAAACTGGGCTAGTGTATTATGTAAATTAGGGGGGGGGGGGCAAATAGACGCAACTAAAATTTTGTCGCCTACCCAGTGACACGGGTCACGAGCCACCACTGACCTTATGTTAGGTTAATGTCTAGCTATAGATCTAGCAATCAAAACACGCTGTAAGCGTATTCTGATTGCTTTGGTTTCACTGTTTTATTTTCGTTTTTCTCTGTTTAAATAATGCGTATCTGTTCATTTAAATATTTAGTTTTTAAACTTGAATGTTTTACATCAAATTTTTATGATTAACAAATAATGTCGACCGTCAGGTCATTACTGCTACGTCGTGAGCGGCTAGTATGTATTCTTTATCGATTATACGCCATTATTAATATAAATAAACCCATTAATAATTTTAATTTACTTACTGAATTAAAAATAGCGTGACAAAAAATAACAGACGATCGAAACAAAAACGGAGTCAGAGTTGGCTTGAAAATAAAGATCACTGTCATTTTGTATCTAAAATGATATGAGGAATGTCATCAATCGCCATTTCGAAGCCTAGTAGACGCCGTTTTTCGATCATACAGCAATGAAGAATTACAATAAAATAAATATTAAAAATTAATACCTTTTAATAGGATGTTCTAGGGTTTGTAGAAGATCGGGACAATAAAAACGAATACAATGCACTTTGGTGATCAAAGATAACGGTATGCGTAAGATGACATCGCAAATAAGGGCCCAACCACCCTCCCAACACTGATGATGAGGCAGGGGCGGTATAAACGTTTTCCATGACAGTTCTTTACAGTACATAGGTGGAATTTTATCCAAATCTTCAGCTGTAACGCTAATCTAAAAAACGTATAAACAGAGATTATTAGTTTTAAGAAATTATGGTTTCAATAATGCACTAAAAATGTTACTGAAATTCTCGAAAGTCCCGTCTAGACAAAATATTTTAATTGTCAGGTAAGAGAAAATAAAAAATTGTGTACATACAGGAAGATTTATCAATTATAGATATACGTATGTGTTCAGTGAAGTTGGAATGAAAAAAAAAAACAGGGAATTTTACTACAAAACTGAATTTACGGTTTAAATTTCATTTGTAAACACGCAAAGTTAACTGTAAAAATAGCAGCGTTTGGTAATAATAATTGAAGGTTGAAGGGTCATTGTTAAATTTTACTAATTTTACAGGAGAGCACTGGACAGCTGGCAGTTATCTCGTTCTTCCCGTGTATTCCAGAGTTTATACATTTTATAGGGACAAGTTGGACCTACTATAATATTGTAAAATCCTAAAATTAAGAAATTGGCGCTTATCAAGTTTTTCTCCTGGACCCTTCAATTAAATATCTCTAAATAATTTTTTAAAATTTCATTATTTTTTGAAATAGATTTTTAAAAGTCGCTTTTGAAAGATGTTGTAATATATATACAGGGTGTCCCAGGCTGAACGTGCATTAGAAGTTTCAAGAGAACTACAATATTTAGCTCGGAGATTTTTTGCACATCACAGTTTCACGATGAGATCTATCGATTAAAAATATTTTCAATATGGTGGCACTTCCGGAAATACCGGAAGTTGACAGCAACTTTCTTATTTTAAATGGGTGTCCCCATTTTTTATTATGTAAATCCGAATCGTGGCCCTTGGATATGGCCTACTGACTTAGGGAGTGTCTAAATCCACTCTTACTCACGGATATCCGATCTCATCCGGCCTCGAACCGACGTGAATGTGAATGGCCTCGAAACCGTATGTGTCAATAAATTTGACACCCATGCCATGGAACAACAGCACGACAGAGTTTCCAGACGGTCACCCGTCCATCCACTCGCACGCTATTTTTGGGGCTTACTCAACCGGGTCTCACAATGCAAATTCACCTCAAATATCCCTTTAGTTGGTCATTGACAAGATTATATAGAACCGGTGTTTCTACGTACGGTAATCGCAAAACAATTTCCCATGCACACCATCAATCATATCTTTAGTGTCAATAAAGCCTATAAACCTGACTAAATGAAATTTTAGCAAAAATGTTTAAATTTGTTGTATAATTTAAGATACCGGGCAGCTCTTCGTTTTACTTTATAGAGCAAATGATTGTAACATATATTTTATTTAGATTAAAGCTGCAAAAGTTAGTTTAAACTAAATTTTATTATCGCTATGTTGGTCACATTGCGCCGTGTTCAGCAACGTTGTCGTTTATTATTTGACAATTATCATAATGTCAGTTATTACTATGCATAATATCGTGTTGTTGTTGAATCTTTGCGAGTAATTTTCGTTTTTTGCTTATTTCCATAGTCTTTTTTTAAAAATTGTACTTTTAAGCACAAACAATTCTTTTAAGAATTAAATTTCCGAATTTTTACATTGCACTTCTTGAAATTGTGTGTTGAAATTTGCCGAAGTCTTTAAATATGTAGTCGAAGCAAAGAGCTTGTAAAAAATGTCTATATCTATGTGGCGGATTCATCTCTCCAAAAAAATCCTTTATGGGTATTTCGCCACTGCACTGCAAGAAATACTGCTTGTCAGAAGTTATGTTTACAGTTATACAAATTTGCCTAACTTCAAATTGCTTAACGTTTCGGAAATTTTATCTCTTTCCGTCGTCGGAAGCACAAAAAATACAAAGAATAAAGAAAAAAACTATTTAAAATATTTAAATTCAACTATTCGAGAACACTTTACTTTTTTAAAACAGATACGTCTACAAGAAACCGTTGACGTTCTGTTAAAATGACATTATATCAAGTTCAACTTCAAAATTAACAACTACTACCTGATAACAATTACTTCATAAGGTAAAACCAAAAAGCCCCAAACTTTCTGTATGATTATTTTTAAATTTTACGTATGTTATGTTTATTTATGTTATGTTCTTTAAAATCAAAGAACCGATTGGCATACATTACTAACATCTACAGATGCATGAGCAATACATTTTTTTTATTAGATTGAATTAAGAAAGCCTCTTTTATTTTTCTTTTAGAGGCTATCGATTCTTTTATTATAATTTTGGAGTTATTAAAATTTATTCTGTGCCCTGTGTCCCACGAATGCTGACAAATCTTTTTTTCGATTTGTGAAAATCTCCCTTTCGAATAATTTCGAATCGATTTGTGAAAATCTCCCTTTCTTAAATAATCCTTATGTTCTTTAATTCTAACATTTAAGGGTCATAAACATTAACATTTTTGGTTTGTTGTTCTGTATTCATTGGTTTAGTATGAGATAAAATGGATCTAAGCGTATTTTGTGTTTTAAAAGATGTTCGTATTGTTACGTTTTTTCGTCGGTTCCGTGTGGATAGAAAGTCACAATTTATTTAAACACTATTTATTTAACACTAATTAACAAAAACAATAACGATAAAAGACTTATAGAACTATTTACAAACGATTTATAACTAAGAATTTATTTTGAATTTTAGCGCGTCAACTGCACTGGTATATTTATAACTGCCCCCTGTAGGCCACCGCCGCCGGCTTTTATACCGACAGGTAAAGAACCGGCCCGCAACAATATGTTATATTGTTTTCCTATCCTTCTTATTTTTTCCGAAACGCCTCGTATGTATGAAATTGTAAGTTGTATATATTGTGAATTGTTATCATTGTGTCTATGATTTGGGGTTTGTATTTCGTTTAATGTTTTGTCAATAAAATATGGTGGATAGTCGTTTTTCATTAATGTATTTTTTATGTGGTCATCAACGTAACGTAGCCATATTACAGGCTTTTTTTAATGTAAATACCATGTGAATGCGATAAATTTTACATTGGTGAAACATCTAGACCCTTAAATGTTTTAAAAAAGTAAAGTGTTCTCGAATAGTTGAATTTAAATATTTTAAATAGATTTTTTCTTTATTCTTTGTATTTTTTTTTGCTTCCCACGACGGAAAGAGATAAACTTTCCGAGACGTTAAATATTTTTTTCTTTGTTCGGCAAATTTGTATAACTGTAAACATAACTTCTGACAAGCAGTATTTTCTTGCAGTGCAGTGGCGAAATACCCATAAAGGATTTTTTTGGAAAGAGCTTGTAGCTTCCCTGATAAACTATTTTGAACGAGAACGTGACAAAGTTCCTTTATTATTCTTGACTGCAGTCAGAGATCAGAGAAGTAAGTTGATTGGTAAGCAGATTATACCACTTTCAAAGTTATTTCTACGTTAGTTTTTAGTGAATTCTGGAATTATTAGTTTGTGCATTAATGACACCCTGAATGATCTTACTTGTTATTACCACTTGTGGTGTTGTAAGATGTACATCAATAAAGAAATAAATAACCCATAATAACGCTTAGAATAATCTGCATAATGGACTAATTTTTGCCAATATTGTAATAACAAAAATAAACTATAAAATATATAAATCGATTAATTACTAAAATATTAATTATTAAATTAAAAATAAAACGTAAAATCTCTAAAAAATAATATTATATATTGCTTCCCAATTTAGCAGCGCTGTCGCCATCGCTTGTCACTCAAACTTGTTCACGTGCAACGGAAATTGTTTTGTGATTACCGTAGCTGGGCCGTTGCCAATACCCTGTATAAGAAAAAAGTAATGGTTTACCTGGTTACTTCTGAAAAGGTCTAGTCTTTCTTTGGCGGAAAGTGGCTGAGTGCGTCTGTCCATATCGTATATCAGATAAAAAAGTAATTCGTGCAAAACTGACATTCTAGAAAATTTCGGCTTGTATCCATAAAGTTTAACCGCTCCCCTGGAATATCTCATCCAATTATATTTCACTCGTTTCTGTTTTAGATGGCGTAACTGTTCGATACTGGCTTGAACATCTTTGGATGCAAATGGGGAACTAAAAGAGGCGCCAAAATGCTTATCTGGAATCAGTCAACATACCCAATAAAAAAAGAAATAATTTTGACATATGTCATGCGAGAATTAATAATGCGGTCTATTAATGACGGCCTAATTTTATTTAAAACGCCTTAACATTTATTGTCGGGTAGACTCAATAATAATTTGTTGGTTTTGTTTTACGTCATCAATAAATATTATTTATTAAAATTAAAAAAAAAGTATGTTTCTAATAAAAGACATAAGCTATAATAATTATTTAATCTCAAAAATATAATAATAAATATACGCTACTGAAACATCTAAGTCAAATTGATATATCCTAATTATTCTTAAAAAAGTAGTAAATAAAAAAAATATTATTACACCGGGTGGGTCTTAAAAGTGGCTCACCTCTACAACTTTTTTATTTTTTTCAGACTACAGAACGAGATTTGGTATGTTACTATATGACATAAATTAGGATTGATTGACGTATTCAATTGTTTTCGGTCACTTTTACTTGATTCGGTAGGAAATGACACTCTGAATAGAATGACATATCATATGTCAACTTTTGACATTTTCGCATACGGTTTATTTGAAGTTGTAACATGCGGTTCATAACAACAATTTAACTCGAAATACAAAGTGTATCAAATTATTCATAAAAAATGTTTTTTTCCAAATATGCTAATGAGCCCCCCTCGTTTCATTTGAAAATATTGAGGTATGATTAAAAACACGATTTGGGCATCTTTTAACTGGCCAAGACAAGACGCTAAAAACATTAGACAATCAAATCTATTTTTCCAAGGCTCCTTGATTAAAAATTAGCGTTTTTAACACAGCCATGGTACTCTAGTTTGAAATTTAAAATACGATTTTTTAAGCGAGAATATCATAAGTTGTGATATGCTATGTCGTTCTATTCAGAGCGTCATTTTCTATGAAATAAAGTAAAATAAATACCAAGGGTGTCATTTAAAAATCACAAGTTGTAGTAATTTCCGGAGAAACAGGAAATGACCGAAAACAATTGAGTACGTCAATCAATCCTCATTTATGTCTTATTCTAACATACTAAATCTCGTTTTTTTATCTGAAAAAATAAAAAAGTTATAGGGGTGGGCCACTTTTGAGACGCACCCGGTATTATTGTATATTGTATAAATCGATATAAAAAAACAAACCTCTTCCCTTCTCTCTTTTCTTCTATTACCAATGCACGGGGAAGATTTTCGAAAAATCTCCATACCAGCTGTTCTGTGATGGCTTTTATTATTTCGTGGTCGTGGCCAACCTCCGGATGGCAAATGAGAACCTGCGTCTTTTTCACCTGTTCTTTTCTAACATGTATTTTGTAAATTTTTAAATATCCTTCACTAATTAGTCTCTTGAGGATTCGGCGTAACGATTTTACATCAATACGTTTATCATAACCTAAAAGGTTAGATTAACCTTTAACCGCTAGAGAGTGGTCTGTCAGACACCTCGCGCTAAACATCCCTGTATATAATAACGCCTGCAATTGTAGTAATGAGGATGATAACTTTCAAGTCAATAGGCGCTCGATAAGTTAATATATCGCTGTATTTATAATCTCATTAGTGTACGGAGTGCTGATTTATTGAATATAGAAATTCGAGAGGTCTCTACCGGACTACCATGTAGCGATTGAGCGTTGAAGTGTGAGGTTATTGTGTCTTAGTTTTTTTTATTAATTTTTGGATATTGTATGGTTTTTGTTATTTATTTGTTTGTTTTATTATACACATATACCGTATGATTGAATAAAAACGGCGTCCAGTTGGCTTGGAAATGACGATCGATGACATCTCCCATATAAATTTACATATAAAATGACAACGATCTTCATTTCATAGCCATCGCTGACGCCGTTTTTATTCGATCATCCGGTATTTTAAAATTAAGTTAGGTATGTACTAATTTAGCATAAATACATATTAGAAAACTTTTATTGATAATTGATTACTGATAAATAACTAGGGTTACCAGATGAAAACTTGTCCACCCCGGGCAAGCCTGCCCAAAAATCTGGACAAAATCCGTCATAATTATTTTTTAGCGATATAAGAGCCGAAAATAGTATAATGTTTTATTAGTAGTAAAAATGATACTTTTTGTGACGAAGCTGTACGTTTGACAGTACAGGCGAGGCACAAAATTTCATTTTTACTCCGAATAGAACGTTCTATTTTTTTTTCAAACGCCACAAATAATTTTTTAAAAAATTTCAAACGTCTCCAATAATATATAAAAAGATTTAAAAGCAATACCTTGTAAGTAATTATATATCGAGAAACTATGGTTAGGCTCGTTGAATTTGACATTTTATGTCAGTTTAATAATATATTTTCGAACTTTTGTGCTTAGGCGTAAAAGTGCTTTACTTTTGTGCCTAGCCGTTAAATCGATGTTTTAGGTTGTCACGTAAATCACGTCGCAAAAATTAATACTTTTGTGACGTTTGAAAAAAAATACATTTATAACTTTCAAAACTTAAAACTTACGAAGTAAAACAATAAATTTACACTACTGAATTTATCGACGATTTCTTAAGTAACTAATTTTATTAAAACTAATATATCATTTTGCATTATTCAACATTTCTTAATGGAACATTAAAATCCGGACGCTTATGAAAAATCCGCCCAGACCCAACCGGATGTAGTAAAAATATACACATGTCCGGCTTCCGGACGTCTGGTAACCCTACCAATAACAAAATTGTTTCCCAATGGTTGAAGTTAGCACCATAAATGCATATATTATACACCAAAGCTATTACAAATCTAATAAAATTGAGAAAGGTGCTCAACCAAAAAATACCAACAAAATTAAGATTTGGGTGAATATTGAAAGACACTATGGTATGCGAGACAACAGCGGAAGAGGAGTGACTAGAAATGATGAGTCTTTGCTCTATGTGCTCTTAAAAAAAAAATTGCGATACAAGAGTACAAAAATATGTGAAAATATTACTTTTTTATGTTTACCACATTTTTTAAATGTTTGATTGCCACAATTGTTTCTATTATGTGTATATGTTACGGTTACGGTCCGATATTCGGTTAATATCGACATTACCCGATTAATCTCGAGAATAACACACAACATAACAACCAAAAACAAAACCAAACCCAAACATTAACCTGTTAATGTCAACATTAACCAAACATCGGACTTTAACCGTAACATATAAGTATGTTACGGTTAAAGTCCAGTTAAGGTACGTATATACACTGGGTCGGCGTTTACATGTATAGGAGTGAATCGCTATGGCAATCTAGTAAGTCGGAGAGAGAGCAATTACATAATCACCTAATTTGACGCTAGATTCCAAGCGCTTGGAAAAATACTTGCCTTCTGTCTTTATTCAGTACATCTTATTTTACTAAGCGTGTTGACCGTATATAGCCTTCGTACACACGAAAATCGGCACCCAAGACCAGAAATGCCGACCCTTAGTATATATTTTTAACTCTAACTCATGTAAACTCATATAAGTAAAGAGAGATACAAAAACATTTAATTTTCCATTAAATTATATAATTTAATAGAGGTGTCGATCAGACCATTCTGTAGCGATTAAAGGAGAATTATTCAGTGCAGCGGTTAAGGGAGAGTTTACATGTATCCGTCATGCGTCATCCGTCATTTAGTTACCCCGATCATGGTGAAGTATGATCTGCCATTTTTTTAAACAAACCAATAAGGTGCATAAAAACAACGATAGACTACACATGACGGATGCATGTAAACCCACACTAAGTAAAATGCTAAATAATAGACAGTTAAAGCACGGCTAAAGACATCAACGTCTCGTAGTCTCGTTTGACATGTACGCTTGCATACATTTAAGTAAGTACTTTTACGGGGCCGCGGCCATCCTATGCCGGAAACACTGCGACCGGTAAAGCCTATTGTGTGTGTGTTTGTCCCCTTTCTATATCTATACCCACTCTTTTATCCCTGTACCCTGCACCAACTTGTGTAGGTACTTTATAGAATGGTAGCATAGTTCCTCTGGTTCTAGCGTTGCCTTCCCAAATAGAAAGTGTCGCTTGCGATCCAGAGCGAAGTGACAAATTATGTGCTCTGCTATTGTACGATCTTTATTGCGGTGTCTGCAGCACAGGCTTCCTTGATACCAGTTGAGTTTGTTCAGGTAGCACTTGACATCCATATGTCCTGTCAAGAGTCAAGAGACCTGTTGTAATTCGCACTTTATTCTTGCTGATCGTTAGCAGTTATTTTGTGGTTTTATAATTAGGTCCGTAGATGAAAGCTTTGCTATGCCTGTGCCCATGTTCTCCAGTGAACGGTTTGCTTGTCATTGCTTCAGAGTTTAACGGCGCTACAGGTTATACATTTGGGCATACCCAGTACTGGCTCTAGACTAAGATAGGATTACCATAATCCTTACCTTACTAGTTCATCAGCTTAATTTAATGCGTTTAGGGATACATAATAGTATATTAAACGAGTTTCGAAAACGACGTTTTGCACACGAGTTCGACAGTTTTCTAGGCTAGTCGTAGAAAAAAGCGTTACGGCTACTTCCTATAACATCACAATTTTCAATAATGATTGTTTTATTCTTCAATATTACTTTTTTATAGATTTAAATGTGAGTAGTGTAGTGAAGTGAGAGAAATCAATGGAATGCAAATTAAAAAACTTAAAACTGTCTTTAAATTAAGAAAAAAATGTTAGACAAAACAATTATGGAAATAAAATTCTAACGTTTTAGTTTCGTACATCAAAATATTTGCTTTAAGTCTTGTTTACACGAAAAAGCAACGACAGCAGACATTTTACGTCTTGTCATAAGTTTACGTCACAAAAGATACGTTTAAATTTCGTGCCGTGATTTAACTGCCTAATATAATATATCGCAGATACTGAGAAACATTTTTGTTACGTTATATATTTAAAAAAAAGCCTTTGACACTTACCTTCGCCCATTTCTTTGGTATAAATGAATTTCGACAGTTTTTGAATGGATTCATACACCACCTGGTGATTAATTTCATTTAAAATTATTTGTATTCTTCTTAATACTCTCGCAGACACTTCTTCAACAGGTTTGTATTGAGTAATATCTCCTAAAATAGACAGGGTTGTTCACCACATACGACACGGAGTATTGTAGCTAAACGATTAGATTTTTACAAATTGCAAGTTTTGGGTTCGTTGAAGGACTATGAGAGCTACAATTTAAAAATATTTTTACAAGATACAGAGCGTCCCAAATAAATAAATATATCAAGGTTGTATTTTTTCAAATGGAATACCCTGTATTTTATTACATTTTTAGTTTCTGCGATTAAAATAAAGGTAAATTTGATTAAGGTTTATCACACCTAAACCTTACCGTTTTAAAAATATTTTAAATTTTGTGTTCTTGGCTTCGTTTCTCCAAAGGTACGAAAGATTTTAATACTAAATATTTACTGAAGTTTATTTATTGATCAGTTATTGTGTTGCAATAATAAAAATATTACTACCTCATACAGAGTGTCTAAAAATTTATTTTAAATAATTTCTAGCTTTAAACGGCAACAACTTATTTAATTTAAATGGTACACTCTGTATATTTTAGGAGAATCAGATGCACAATTTAATTGTCTATCAAATTGTATTATACCATTTTTTACCTATCCCTTCAAGTTTTCGTAGAAAATGCATTTTCTTATAATTTAGACCTTATTTTATCAATATAGCCATGGAATATTGACATTTTAGATTGTTTCTAAAGCAACAAATGTACAAAATGTACAGGTGCTATAAACGATAATATTATTAGCCCATTTGTATACAAAAAGAAAACTAATTAAATCTTTATAAGTATACAATTAATTAAATATACCACCATTATTTCCGCCCAAATATTAATTAATTACATACTTAATTGTGTTAGTTAATAAATTATTCTAAATATAAATGTGGATTTGTATCAGAAATCAATATAATAATAAATTATGAAAATGAACATCTCTGTTATAAACAGCATTCGTCAAAAAATGAAGTAAAATTTTTAAGGTGATACTTTTTACCACATTGTCTAATACACATACAAAATTCAGTTTTTTAGTATTTGGAGCAATTATTATTAATCAACGCAAACAGCCAATTAATGTAACTTGAATACTGAAATCATATTAATTGGTCCTCTAACAAATATTTAAATAGTTTTTTATTTATTTTTTAATGAAATAAAGGAACTATATCGACAATATTAGTATCTGTGCTCTTTAAAAATTTGTTACATCTTTAAAAATAATCTAAAATGTCAATATTCCATGGGTATATTAATAAATGAGGTCAAAATTATAAGAAAATGCATTTTCTACACGAAAAGTTGATAGATAATATAGATAGATAGATAAAAAATGGTATAATACAATTTCATAGACAATTAAATTGTACATCTGATTCTCATAAAATATACAGGGTGTTCCATTTAAATTAAACACGTTATTGCCGTTTAAAGGTAGTAATTATTTAAAATAAATTTTTAGGTACCCCGTTTAAGGTAGTATAATTTTTATTATTGCAACAGAAAAGACTGGGTCAATGGTGTATCCATTCAAACTGAGGCAACCTGGTATACAGACAGCTCAATAACGTCGGAACGCGCAGGAGCCGGAATAGTAGGGCCGATTAACTTTCCCAGTAAGTCTATCTCAGGATGTTACAATTTTATAGAGGGAAATAACGGCAATCCATGATTGTGTAGAAGAAATAGAATGACAAACAAAGCTGTAGTGAGTCTACTAACAGAGCATTGTAAGCTTAATAGGCATTTAAAGCTGATGAGATTGACGGACGAAGTCATGTGGAGATTTTTTTAATAAAAAATCAAAGTTGTTGAGGAAGAAACGACAGAACACATTTTATATCGGTGCGACAGTCTGGTAAATGTGCAGTAAAAGCAATGATGAGCATTGACCAAGAACTACATGGCCAGAAGAGGACCACAATAGATCTGAAAAGGTTGCAGTGGAACGGGCCAATAGTCACCAAAAAATCTAATTTAAACATACCAACTTGAGATTAATGAAATCGGAACACGAAATTTCTAATTTTGGAACTCACTTGAAATTGTCTAAACAATATGAACCTATCTCAGACATACACTAAAACGGATACCTAAATATCGATGACGTAACGTTGAACGATTATTGTACAGACTATAACAATAACCTATTATAATCTATCTAGAGAACAAAGAAGAAAGATAAGCCTAAAAACATTTAAATTCAACCTCAATTAAGGAAATAATAATTTCAGATATGGCCAAATAAAAAAATACCACTAGTAAAATTATTTACCTGTAACATAAGCCTTTGGCGGAGTTGACATTACAATTTCGACAGTTAAATTGGTATCAACTTTTTTAATGGATGCCAAAACCGGAGTAGGTCCCATATAATCTATCGTCTCGTCTTTATTTGTAGATATCTTCAAACACTCTTCTTTCTTCTGTCCCGATTTACCACACATATCTGAGTGCTTCCTTTTCAAACTTGACTCCTTTAGTTTGCTGTCCGAATCAAGAAAATTTATAACTGCCTCCTTATCAAAATCAATTTGTTTAAAGAGACTTAGAATCAAGAATGCCTTCATTATATAGTCGGGCTTGTATTTTTCTTTGTATATGTTTTCTAATGATATATCCAAATTAATAATTTTTTTACAAGTTAATTCTTCAGGTGACAAAACATGAGTAAGATTAATTTTGTCTAATATATCTGGAAATATTAAGTTCAGTTTAAATGTTTTACTCTCACAGAAAAATTCAGCAACAATTATGTCCTCTTTAATTATTTCTGGATTATTGTATGAGGAAATAAAGTAATTGCAAACAATGAGGGGTACTGGCAAACAATCAGGCAAGTGAGAAGTCTTCTGTATATTTAAATTCTGATCAGCTTCAAATTCTTCTTGTGTATATATTCTAAAAATAAATCAACAAACAAATATAACATATTATTTGACGATCTGCGGTGCGATGCTGTAAGCTGTTCAAAGTAATTTCTTGCTAGAGACTCACACTTAAGCCCCGTTCTCAGAACGACGTCGTGTCGCAAGCTACACTGATTGACACTTCAAACGACCAATGGGAGCTGTACTAAATTTAAAATTGACAGTTGTTTGAATTTTGTACAAATCTGATTGGTTCTTTTGACGTGTCGCTGGCGACAGTCGCTTTTCTGAAAACGGGGCTTTACTCGGCTCTCTTCGCGAAAATATTTAGTCCATCATACCAAATCATACTATAGGTGCCAAAAATATAATCTAGTTTATTAGACATCGAAATTCTTGGTTATGGTCTGAATCATAGAGTCATAGATTTGTAAATGGCAACGGCCAGCTATGTTGAAACACCGACCGGTTCCCGTTAAATCACCGAAGTTAAGCGACGTAAAGCGATACTACTGGATGGAGGGTTGACCGTTTCGAAACTCTGTGTCGTGCTGTTGTTCTATAGCAAAAGTGTAAAATCTATTGACACATACTGTTCATTTACGTCGGTTCGAGGCCGGATGAGATCGGATATCTCGTGAGTAAGAGTCGATTTAGACACTTGCCAAGTCGGTAGGTCATTGACCGTGATATGGCCGAGGACCGCGGTTCGGATTTCGCGTAAACAAAGTAGGCCCCGTCCAGATTAGCCCTAGCAGCAAAAAGGAGACGTTAACTGAATTTTTTTTAAGTATCAAAAAATATAACTCTTTTGTATCCCTTTTTAAACATAAATAACAGTCCGCGGTTAAACAATAACAGGTATGAACAAATCAATGTGTTGATTATGATCACGATGTAAACTCGGGATCCCGGCGTCACGAAATTTTTCTTCTACTTCTACTTTTTATCATCCGTCAAGAAAAACTGTGGTGAGAAATCAAAAGTTTATTGTTTTTTAAGCTAAATATTTGGCTTTGCAACTGACTACCGCAAGCTGTTGCTAGGATATTCTATTAATAATGATCGTAAACCAAAAAGTGTAAAGCGTAATTGAAACCACTAATTTATTCCACTAATTGCGAGGTTCTGAATGAAGCTTAAAGCTTTTGCAGTTTCTGTTGTAGATTCATAAAACCGAGGGGTAAACCGCGACCCAAAATTGTGCACACTACACTGGACATTGGCTCTTAATTGGCACATTGGTCTTTCAGAATTTTCACCATTTCCCCATTTCACCATTGTGCATTCTCCTCCCCCGCTCATATCTATGGGCAATTCGTGCAGTCTAGCATATTTTCTCCCCATCTGATATCTCTGGGTAAATGTCAACGAATTGTCAAAAAAGATTGGTTCAAAAATAATTTTATATAGAATATTATTATTATTACTATTAGGTATTATAGATAAATACGAGAGTCCTGATATTTTCATTTCTGTCCTGCATCTTCTAACATATGCACTACAAGTTAAATTTTAAACATTTATTGTCAAACCCTTTGCATAAGCTTGGGCATAAGTCGCCTATTATTTTATACCGTAGGTATCGATACTAAATTTTGAACTTAATACCTACAAGAGTTCTTACCGTATTATTATGTAGCTTAATAATGTCTAATACACGTCTTACACATCATGACATACTATTTTGTACCGAGAGAAAAGCAAAACCAAAACAAAACGGATAGAAGAAAACAGTAAAAATACGTGCTGCGTCGTACGAATTATATTCGTTTACAATACGCCGCGCCGGTGCTGGTCGCGGTTGCCAGATTTTATCCAACCTTTGACACCAAAATCCTCTCTCTCGACGTGCATTGTCAAAGCGTCAATTTTTTTAAGCTTACAGCTATTTTACAGGAGCGAAAATTATGGCAAAAATAATAACCAAAAGTATTCCAAAATTAATTTGAATATTTTGTTAATAAAATATGATTTTTTTTGAGGTTTTTGAGGTAGGTCCTTTGCTGCGCTTTATAACTAAGACTCAGTAAAACAACCTCAAAACATTTTATTGAGCAGATTTTTGAAATAATTACCTAATGATTTTCGCCATAATTTTTGCTCGTGTCAAACGGACCTTACGAGCTTAAGGTATTTAACGGAAACCAATATTTGGTATTCACGCCACTGTAAATAACTTCAATAAATAATTATTTCTCTTGTGCAAACGTCAATTAATCATTAAAAATATCCTAAATGGCGTTTAAGGGTCCAATCTGGCAACCCTGTCGTTGACTCCGCTAGATTTGCGGACTCGATAGCGTGTAGTTTTTACTAACATAATTTTACATTAGCCTTTAATTGGTTCATAATTGGTCCCTAATTTCCCCTTAATTGGCTTCATTGGCTTTGCAAAATTTGTCAATTTCCCCTTAATTGGTTCCATTGGCTCTGCAAAATTGGTCAATTTCCCCAATTTCTTAGCATTGTCACTTAATCGGCACCATTAGTCCACACAATTGGTCCGCATTGGTTTGGGGTTGTACACCGCATTGGTCTCGCGGTTTACCCCTCGTTGCAGACATACTAATTTTTGTATTAGTACTTCTTTTTGGACTGCTTAATGATGATCAGAGAACAGAGAGGATTTATGGTATATGTACTGTCATACTAAAACTGTTATTCCAGTTATATAGGGTGATCCGAACTGTATTCCGGAAACTCCGCTCCGGCAGCATATTCTGCAGTTAAAAATAAGTAAAAAAATTCGTCTAAATGTTTGTCCTAAAATACTTAGTTTCGGAGATACAGGGTGTAGAAGTTGCATTTTTATTTCGATTTTTTCCAAATAATTTCTAAATTAACGTCAATATTTGGACGAAAATTAGTGTCTGGGAGTTTTTTGACACGAGTAATTTGATTTTGATGTCAATATGACTCCTATTTGTAAGGGGCGCCATCTCACGTGTTTTAGCTGTTTTGAAGAGTAATAACTTTTCGCTCGTACCTGTATAAAACTACTGGGTGAAAAAATATACATTTCCGTGATTTTTTACGTAAAAAATGTCTGTTGATAAAAATCGCTACGAGCAACCGTTTTCGAGATATTTAGAATGGAAATAGTCAATACATTTCACAAACCATAGTCAATACACAAAAAATGTCGATTAGATAGTTATTTGACTAAAAGGATAAATTTTGGAACTTGCTATTTTTTTAAATTTATCATTAACTTTTCTTCTACAAAAATGATGATAAAACACTTTCTGTTAAACTTTTGGCACAAAAACATTTCCAAATTTATTAGTCAACATGTTTAATTTACAGGGTCTGTAGCTCTGAGAATAAAAAATTGGGAATTTTGTTAAGTGTAATAATTCTAAAGTATATACGAGGATGTATTTCAGGAAAATATTTTAGCTTCTATAGGGTGGCTCAAAAAACTGTTAGTGGATTGAGATGAGTTTTTTAAATGGAACACCCTCTACCTATATTATGCATTTTTGGCTTCTTTTCAGATCACTTTACATAATCCTAAGACATGAGTAAATATATTTTAATAGTTTCAGAGATATTAATAAATAAATAAAAATTATAAATTTTTCAGCCTTTCTTAAAAATTTATTAATACTTCAAGAACTGTCCTGAAATCAAAACTATATTAGGTATTTACTTTAGATGGTCTATACTTACTTTACTATAAATATGGAAATCGTTAATCATACAGGATGTTCAAAATTCTATGCCAAACTTTCTAAAATATAAAATAATTTTTCTTCGTTTTTTTTAAATGGCACCCTGTATATTATTTTTTCAATAGATGGAGAATTAAAAAATGAACATTTTTTGTATTTAGAGTATTTCAAAATTTTTAACTGTTTCGCAGATATTCGCGGTTTTATATTTCATATGGCATTTTCCACAGTAATTTATGAAAGCCACCCAATGATTTTTCTCTTGTATTTTACCATTAAAAGCGCCATATGAAATAATACTGCGTGTATCTGCAAAACTATTAAAAATTTTGAAATACTTTAAATATAAAAAATGTTCATTTTTTAACTCTCCATATAATAAAAAGATGATATACAAGGTATTCCATTTAAAAAACAACAAAGTAAAAACATTTTATATTTTTACTTTGTTGTAGCGACCAAGAGTCCTTTTCTATGTAAAAAACGTAAATGTATATTTTTTAATCAGTAGTTTTATACAAGTTTAACATGTTTTACAATTAAACATGTTGACTAAATAGTTATTAGACTGAAATCATAAATTTGAAATGTTTTTGTGCCAAAAGTTCAACAGAAACTGTTTTATCATCATTTCTTTGAAGAAAAATTTAAGATTAATTTAAAAAAGTAAAAAGCTCCCAAATTTATCATTTCAGTCAAATAACTAGGTTTCTACTCAACATGGTTATTTTTGTCAATAATGACATGTATTAACGGTTGCTCGTACCGATTTTTACCAAGAGACATTTTTTACGTAAAAAATCAGGGAAATGTATATTTTTTCACTCAGTAGTTTTCTACAGGTACGGACGAAAAGTTATTACTGTTCAAAACAGTTAAAAAATATGTAGGTGGCGCCCTCTACAAGTAGGAGTCATATTGATATCAAAATCAAATTTCTCATGTCAAAAAACACCCAGACACAAATTTTAATCCAAATATTGACGTTAGTTCAGAAATTATTTGGAAAAAATCGAAATAAAAATGCAACTTCTACACCCTTTAGGAACTTTTTTACTTATTTATATCTACAGAATATGCTGCCGAAGTTTCCGGAATACAGTTCGGACCACCCTGTATAGAAGTAACAGAGTATATTATACAAGCTTTGTTAAGAAATCAGTAATGTTTGATAATTTTGACTTAAATAATATTATATGTATATTACTTTCTTACCTGTCCTTCGTTAAACCACTTAATTTTTGCCTTTGTCTTTGTTTCAGTTTTTCAACAGTACTAACTTGGGTACTCTGGGTCTTTTGAATTTTTGGAGGCGGTTCATAAGACGCTTGCTCTTTAAAATATTTTGCTACGTACCTAAAATACAAAGCACATTCTTAAAACAATAACTAAATAAAAGACCAAAATCCAGCTTTTTTCAGATCTTACTGATTACATCTCTGTTTTCCTAGGTCTCTCTTTTTGACATCCACTAAATCTGCTCTAGAGAGTTTCAACAGAGAGTTTTTTAGTGTAGATTTGTCTACGTCAAATGTGTGACGAACGTCACCCGCACAACATCCTTCTGGTCCATAAGATTTAATAATTTTGTACAGTTCCCTTGTGTATTCTAAATTCGTCGATAATCCTTTACCAATCTCGGTGCCCTCTTAAATAACATTTAAAGTTGTACAGGGTATTTCAGAATAGAATGCTAATTACTAAAGTTATTAATTTATAGGGAATTAAAATTTGAAATAATAAATGAATAGAAAAAAATAAGTCGAAAAAATAAATAGAAAAAAAATAAGGATGTTCGAAAAATACGCAGCTAAATTTCAGGGAGTGATTCTAATTAAAAAAAAACCGGCAAGTGCGAGTAGAACTCGCCCACCGAGGGTTCCGTACAGCTTCCTTGAGTTTTTTTTACTATTTTACTATTTTTACTATTTTTTTTGTCTTTTAAATCTCAAACCTATATGACCCCGAGCCAAATATTTTTTTTAAATCATAACTACCACTATCTACTTTCAAAATATGTTTTATTTTGTCTGTCCATTTTTGTATAACTATTTTTTTTTAAGATTATGTCTATATTATCTCCAAAATATAGCCCAGTTCTAGATGAAATAATCAAAAAAATTATTTAGTCGAAAATTTTCGCAGTTGGTTTCTATTGTGGACTGAAAAAAAAAACAAACTGGCTCATCATTGACTCTTATCAGTGAGTGAACGATACCTCCTTCTGGAGGTACCGAGTTGTTGAAGTTTATCGGACCTTTTTCCGCATTTCTTTATGAGGAATCGCCTTCTGAAATTTGACCGTGCATTTTTCAAACATCTTGTGGAAAAATGTAGGAACTAAAATTGTTTTACCATTTTCATCTTCTTCGTCTGAAGAATACTGTTCTTCTGCCCAATTAGCGTCAATATTGATATAAGGGCTTTTTAGCTGTAAAACTTTTAAGACCCTTTCCCTGTTGGCACTTTTAACCGTATATTCCTTCTTTGCAGCATCAGGATATATTTCTCTATAAGGCACCGACTACAATTTTTTAACTTATTTCTGTGCACAATGACATTGCTGCTAGCACAGCGGCGTACGGTAAAATTTTTGGAAAGGAAGCAATTCGATAAAGGTAGTAAAAAAGTCAACAAATTTTTTTGTTTACCTACAGAATGACCTACAGTTTCGCCTGTTACTTTTATAAGGGTACATCTATAGTGCACCAGCTTTCCGATTTTCCTTTTATCGCGGCAGACTGGCGTTGAAAAATAGAGGAACAACTGTATGCGCGTGGCCAAAGTGCGCCAGTCAGCTAGCTTCAACCGGCTTAAAATGCTTTTACCCACTTTTATCGGAATGAATTATTGTTTCTTTTTGTCGCTTGCCCGCTTCGCCCGCTCTAAAGTTTTATCATCGCTACCCTTTTTGAAACCAATTTTAATCTACCCTGCTCGGGTCATTACTAAACTTCCAATAAAGGTTATGCTTTAGCACGATTCAAGCTATTTATTTACAAAATTATTAAATTTTTTTCGGTTTTAATCATAACCATCTTGTGTACCATGTGTTGTGTATCATTTTGAAAATTTTAGCATTTTTTTAAACGTTTTTCAATTTTGCTGAAAATATAGTTCAGTTTTTTTCTCCATGCGGATACATTCGTAAAATTTTTGATAATTAGGTGTGGATAAAGCTTGATTTTCATGCATCCGTTATCCGACGATACGATATTAATTTTATTGGTTGAATTTAAAGACTTTGATTGGTTAGAAACGGTTAACCAATGGAAGCCTTTAAATTCAACCAATAAAATTAATATCGTATCATCGTATCGTCGGACAACGGATGCATGAAACTCAAACTTAAAACGTATGATATTAACTAAAATTACAATGAGACCGATTTATTTCATAAACGCGAGTAGTACTTTTTTGTATCAGTTTAATATGAACATTATCACTAGCTAATAAAAAGACATAATAGATCCCCACGGGATAGCTCCATGATGCCAAATGACATTTCCGCTTTCTGCAACCGCTTGTTAATGGCCACTACCTGGCCCATACTTATTACTATTACTTTACTACCATACTATAAAAATACTACAATAAAAAATAGCCCCAAAGCGAAACTAGTGCGTCAATTTCGAGATACGCTTCTAAGGTGCACTTCCGATGCGATAAAGACGGTCTAATAGACTTGGTGCATTCTCCGCCGGTGCTGCCACCATCGGAGAATTTCGTAAACAACTTGTACTTACAAATACACGGGTTTAAATAGCGAGAATAAGAAAAACTTATTATTTAATTATTCTAAAAGTGTTAGGAAGTATAATTTGTGAAAATTCTAAAAATAAAAATAAAAAAGTAAATATTTTGATATCATCAGGTCTAACTTGTATTATTTATTATTCCAGTTAAAAAAACTTTTTAGATGAGTTCAACTACGGTAACGAGCATAGTTTTAATCACCGGTTTTGATAGTGGAGCATAATTGGGGCTATTTCGGCTATAACGAAGTTTTTCAAAGGTACATAATTATAATTTTAGAAGATGTTCATAAAACATTTAATCACTAGTTGATTAAAAAAAGTATACCATTAATATTGCAAATTATATTTTATCCTCTTATAGTATAAGTATGTCTTTTTAATTTTTTTGATTATGTAACGAGCACTTTGTTTACTCACTTGTTTCGTCGAACTGGTTGAATTCATTTTTGCTCTTGATCAAATCGGTGTGAGAAACTATGAATCTATAAAATGTTGTTTCGGGAGAGTTGAATATCCGGGAAAGTTGAATTATTGAATGTTATTGCACCCAACAACACCCTAATTACGCTCTCCTTTATGCGTTAACATTTTTATTAACATTTGAAATTATCACATCACAACACGACGCCTAGTTCGAATTTTTTTCACTTATTTATTACTACCCAAAACAGCGTTACATCACTACAACCTCGTACCTGAGTGTTTTATAATCTTTTTATAATCACTAGCAAAAAAAAACTAAAATACTTAAATATTATGACAAAACCACTATTTCAATATTACTTTATTGCGATCAACATAAATACATAATAATAATTTCTGATTTCTGCCGTTGAAGCGCTGCGGTCGGAATTTGTTGAAATCAACTGAAATGTACCAAGCCTATAGGTGCATTTACGTTGTTTACGCAATCTTTTAGGGAAATTTGGCTACCTAAATTCATATTAATTGCTATGAATTATTAATTAAAAAATTTGGTTTCTTTTTGCCCCAATGTATAGGGAAGCGGTGCTTTCTCCGCTTCCATGAACCGCACGCCCCTGTGCCAGCATAACTTACTTCTTTTTTTTCAATATATTTTAGCAACTCAGAGGTTTTTAAAAGTTTGTATGGAACAATACCGCCAAATAATTTTTTCATCGCATCATATTCACATTGATAATTTGGACATTTCTTTAGGTAATCTATAATTGTTTCAGCTACGATTAACGATTTTGTTTTCGTTTTTCTATAAAATCTCCTGCAAAACGTTTTTTTTTATTATGAATATACTGGAAAAATTTGTCTTTGAAGAACTATGAGCCTCCATTAATTATATGGGGGAATTAGAAGAATGTCAATAAATTTGGCAAATACACAGGGTGTTTCAAAAAACACGTGCCATCTCTCGTGGAAAGATTCCTCACGTAAAAATAAGATTTATTTTTCATATCAACATGGGTCCGATTTTGCTTTGTTTCGTCGATTTATTATAATTTTCGTTCAAGTACTTTTAATGATTCGAATGAAATTTTGAAGGTAAAAGTTACTGTAAGTGCTACATATTTTAATGCTAAAAAAGTGTCGATAAATTCATCAGGGACGTGCATATGGGTTATCACTGGAATATTTTTCAAAAAAAAAACATGTGCGCCACTGACTCTTTTTCTTTTGGTATCAAAATTGTGTAGGTCGTTTAATACCATTCAAAAGCTATCTCTTAATATTTTGTCGAATTCGGCCTCCTTGATGAGATAAACGCAATTTTATTAATCATAATTAATACAATTAAAATAAAAATAAAATTAATAAAATATATTTTTATTTTTTTATTATTTTATTAATTTTTTAACAGAAAAATAATAGTATTTAAGATCATTACAAAAAACCTAATTTTAAAAAGTTTTAACATTCTGTAACTCTAAAACTATGCATTTCGATACCCATGTTTATAGGAACTTTTTTTCATATTTTTTGATGAGAAATCAATGAGTACTTATTTAAAACTTTTGCAAGCCAATGATATTAAATTTTTTCAAGGTTGCTATTAGACTTGGATCAAAGTAATAAAATTGCGTTTATCTCATCAAGGAGGCCGAAATCAAGAAAATATCAAGAGACAACTTTTAATCGGCATTAAATTGCTTACACTATTTAGCTAACAAGAGAAAAAGTCAATGGCGTACATGTTTTTTTTTTAGAAAAATATTCCAGTAATAACCCATATGCACGTCCCTGGTGAATATGGCGACACTTTTTTAGCTTTAAAATATGTCCCATTTATAGTAACTTTTATCCTCAAAATTTCATTCAAAATGCTAAAAAGTACTTGGAAGAAAATTATAATAAATCAAAACAATATTAAGACTGTAACACCCTGTAGCTACGAAACAAAGCAGAGTGGGACCTATGTTGATATGAAAAATAAATCTTATTTTTACGTGAGGAATCTCCCCACCAGGTGCCCGGTGGCGTAGAGGTACAGGCTCTCGTCTACCAATCTCAAGGTGTGGGTTCGATTCCCACACCCGGCATTTCATCAGCCGACTACTTTTATTAAAATAAAAATAGTTTGGGTACCTAGTTCGACTCAGCCTTAAATGAGTACTTGGGATTCACAATCCTGAGGTAATAATAGGCGGTTGAAGCGTAGTGCTAGCCACATTACCTTCCTTGTATACCGAACGGCTCTAGTATAGCAAGCTGTACCTTGCTACTTCCAAGGCGTCAAACGCTATATACGGGAGCTATTATTATATCTCCCCACGAGAGATGGCACATATTTTTTGAAACATCCTGTATAACTTTTTTAGGTAAAAAAATAGTGTAACTATGTGAGAAAATGAGATTAATTGAAAGTAAAATTTGTTTCTAGACTAAATAATGTCGAAATATGACACAATCCTTCTATACAAGGTGGTCTGTATTGAGAAACTTACTTATTCGGCAGCATATTCGACAGATAAAAACATGAAAATAAGTTCCTATAAAGTTATGTCCCAAAACGCTTCGTTTAGGAGATATAGGGTGTGGAACTTTCATTTTTATTTCGATTTTTTTTCAAATAATTTTTAAAAAACTATAAACTAACGTCGATATTTGATTGAAAATTGGTGTCTGCGAGTTTTTTTACACGAGGAATTTGATTTCAATGTCAATATGACTTCTACTTGTAGGAGGCGCCACCTATATATTTTTTAACTGGCTAGAAGAGTAATAACATCTCGTTTCGTACCTGTATAAATAACTACTGAGTGAAAAATATACATTTTTCGCCGTTTTTTCGTAAAAAGGACTCTTGGTAAAAATCAGATTTACCATTTCGGTCAAATAACTATCTAGTCAACATGTTTATTTTCTGTCAATAATGACATGTATTGATAATTTACATCAGCATATTCTTTGATTTACATTACAAAAAATATTTTGAGAACGATTAGGCGCCGTGATTTTTTGACGAGGCCTTTTTAAAATAAAATAGGTAGAAATGTACATTTTTTCACTTAGTAGTTTTATACAGGTACAGACGAAAAATAATTACTTATTACTCTTCAAACCAGTTAAAAAATATGTAGGTAGAGCTTCCTACATGTAGGAGTCATATTGATATTGACATCAAATTTCTCCTATCAAAAAACACCAATTTTCATCCAAATATCTACGTTAGTTTGAAACTTCTACAGCCTGTATCTCCAAAACCAAGCATTTTGGGACTTTATACAAACTTTACTTATTTTTACCTGCAGAATATGCTGCCCAAGTTTCGCAAATACAATTCGGATCACCCTGTATATTAAAATCCATAAACAGATGTAGTTATTTGGTATTGACAGAACAAAAATGTTTCAAAAAAATGTTTAGTCTTAATAAAAATAATAAACCAAATTGAGTTTTTACATAAATCCAATGCATTTATACTCAAAATACAAAAAAATCTTCAAAAACGTCTCGCGTTAATTAATGGCGCCCCCAAATATATTATAAGAATATATTGCTAGTAAGGAACAGAAATTGAAACCAAATTTTTCAGATGGAGCTATACAAAATACACATAAGTTGGTCCTTTTCGTTCAACAGCTTTGAACTACGCAAGCGTGAGAAGTGCTTCAGGATTAGTTGACTTATTTCATACTAACCAGTAGAAGTAGCCTAACCAATCTGAATATGTGTTTTGTGAGAAGTAGTCTTATAAGTTTCTATCTACCACGCAAATCAATTTAGCGTCTGACTATTCGCGCCTTTACTTATAAATTTAAATTTAATTTCTGACATATTTAAGCAGAAACAAGAAACGGATAAATATGATGAATATCTAAAATAACAGGTTGAAATAATGTCATTACCAATAAAAAAAAATTATAGCGGTCCGAACTGTATTCCGGAAACATGGGCAGCATATTCTGCAGATAAAAATAAGTAAAAAAGTTCTTATAAAGGTATGTCCTAAAATGCTTACTTTCAGAGATACAGGGTGTAGAAGTTTCATTTTTATTTTGTTTTTTTTTCTAAATAATTTCTGAAGTAACGTCAATATTTGGATGAAAATTGGTGTCTGGGAGAGTTTTTTTGACATGAGAAATTTGATTTTGGTGTCAACATGACTCCTACTAGTAGAGGGCGCCACCTACATGTGTTTTAACTGTTTTGAAGCGTAATAACTTTTTCTTCGTACCTGTATAACACTACCGAGCGAAAAAATATACATCTCTGTGACTTTTTACGTAAAAAATATCTCTTTGTAAAAATCGCTACGAGCAACCGTTTTAAGATATTTAGAATGGAAATAGACAATATATGTCATCATTGATGAAAAATAAACACGTTGGGTAGATAGTTATTTCACTGAAATAATAAATTTGGGAAATTTTTATTTTTTTAAATTAATCATAAATATTTCTGCAAAAATAATGATAAAACAGTTTTTGTTGAACTTTTGGCACAAAAACTTTTTAAATTTATGATTTCAGTCTAATAACTATTTAGTAACAATATGTTTAATTTATGTCAATGACAGGTATTGATAATTTCGATTCCAAATATCTCGAAAACCATTACTTGTAGCGATTTTTACTTCTTCATGTAAAAAACGTCGTAAATGTATATTTGTTTACTCAGTAGTTTTATACAGGTACGGACGAAAAGTTATTATTCTTCAAACCAGTTAAAAAATATGTAGGTGGCGCCCTCTTCTAGTAGGAGTCATATTGACATCAAAATCAAATTTCTCATGTCAAAAAACTCCCAGACACCAATTTTCATCCAAATATTGACGTTACTTCAGAAATGATTTGGAAAAAATTGAAATAAAAATGAAACTTCTACACCCTGTATCTCCGAAACTAAGCATTTTAGGACATACATTTATACGAACTTTTTTACTTATTTTTATCTGCAGAATATGCTGCCGAAGTTTCCGGAATACTGTTCGGACCACCCTGTATAATACGTTATTAAGATGAGAGTTTAAAATAATGCGCGGGCAGGTGACAGCGTTCAGCGATGAAGTAGACGAATCAGATTGTTTTATTTAGCGTGTGCGCACGAAACCCCTGTTGAACCAAAAGAATAGACTTATGCAAGATTGATATTCCTATTTCTTTTCTTTGGCTTCACTTTCCACTCATTGTGTGAATACAATACTAGCAATATAAGATATTTGAGCGCCCCCTTACCTCAAATGTAGCAATCTTCCAGTTTTGGTAAAATCAAGAGAAGAATCAAGACAAAAATATTGTTTTGTGATTAGATTTTGACCATACAATCGATTTTTATAATGATGAACGGATCTAGAGTCCATATTAAACCCTAAAAAATATTTGTCAGTAACTCTGATAACTTAAAACTTCTAACGTTGTTTTTTAATTACTTAAATATATTTACTATTATAGAAAAATAAATAAAAGTTCGCGTGCACATCATCAAAATCGTGGAAACTATTACCAAATTGAATTCTGATGATTAAAAATTTGTTATAAACTTAAGAGCAAAATGTTTTTCCTTTTCTCTTATAATCATATACAGGGTGGTCCGAATTGTATTCCGGAAACTTCGGCAGCATATTCTGCAGATAAAAATAAGTAAAATAGTTCGCATAAATGTATGTCCTAAAATGCTTAGTTTCGGAGATACAGGGTGTAGAAGTTTCATTTTTATTTTGATTTTTTCCAAATAAATTTCTGAAGTAATGTCAACATATTGATGAAAATTGGTGTCTGGTTGTTTTTTGACATGAGAAATTTGATTTTGATATCAATATGACTCCTACTTGTAGAGGGCGCCACCTACATATTTTTTAACTGTTTTGAACAGTAATAACTTTTCGTCCGTACCTGTAGAAAACTACTGAGTGAAAAAATATACATTTCCCTGATTTTTTACGTAAAAAATGTCTCTTGGTAAAAATACGAGCAACCGTTCTCAAGATATTTTGAATGGAAATAGTTAATACATGTCAAAAATAACCATGTTGAGTAGAAACCTAGTTATTTGACTGAAATGATAAATTTGGAAACTTTTTACTTTTTTAAATTAATCTTAAATTTTTTTTCAAAGAAATGATGATAAAACAGTTTTAAGAAACAAATTAATTTAAACAAATTTCTGTTGAACTTTTGGCACAAAAACATTTCAAATTTATGATTTCAGTCTAATAACTATTTAGTCAACATGTTTAATTTATGTCAATTATGACAAGAATTGGTAATTTAGATTCAAAATATTTCGAGAACCATTGCTCGTAGAAATGTTAACCAAGATACCATTTTTACATAAAAAACGTCGTAAATGTATATTTTTTTGCGCAGTAGTTTTATACAGATACGGACGAAAAGTTATTACTCTTTAAACCAGTTAAAAAATATGTAGGTGGCCCCTACAAGTAGGAGTCATATTGATATGAAAATCACATTTCTCATGTTAAAAACCTCCCAGACACTTCATCCAAATATTGATGTTACTTCAGAAATTATTTGGAAAAAATCGAAATAAAAATGAAACTTCTACACCCTGTATCTCCGAAACTAAGCATTTTAGGACATACTTTTATACAAAGTTTTTTACTTATTTTTATCTGCAGAATATGCTGTCGAAGTTTCCGGAATACAGTTCGGATCACCCTGTATATTCTGCCTAAAAAAGACAATTAGCTATCGCATCAAGTAAAAAATTTGATGATAAAAAAGACTGTATGTTGGTAGTCATAGCAAATATTACAGGTTCTCATGAGATTTTTCTTTGCAAATATGATATTTGTAATTTTCGATTTTAGTATTGTTTTCTAATCTGAAATTTGCCATTTTCAATTTTCTGAGTTTTCTTTAACAAATTTAAAATTATGTCTGCGTTTTGTTAGTTGAAACTGCCATTTTCATTGCAATAAAATGGCAAAACCACTGAATAGTCGGAATCAGCAATTTCATGGCGAGTCTCTTTGCCATTAAACTGCTTTGGATATATAAAAATGATAAGTACTGTTGCTTAAGTATTGAGGCTTTTATTGAAATTACATAGGTCTTTCGGCGTGTTTCAGTTGCGCTCAATATGTATAATAGTATGTATAATAATTTATGGATTGTCAGTAGAATCTCAAGTAATGTTTAATGTTAACCAATTAAACACTTTAGTTTTCAGTCAGAAAATTTGTTAATAACTTCATTTAATTCTAATTTGTTGGTGTAATCATCACAAAGTACATAATAATGTAGATATAAAAAAAATATTAGTCCATGTATAGTGCCTAAACTTCAAAAAAAAAATGGGTGACATAATCACGAAATGACACTTGTCAAAAGTCAAAGTATGAAAAGTAAATGTAGCAACATTGCCAAATATTTTGATGACCTACTCGCCAACTTTTACTGATTTATACATATATGAACATACCAATGCCTAATGCTGAAACACCCTGAGTGATTTCTCCTATTTCTCTAGACCTACCAATTTTTTCTAAAATACAATATTCAATTGGCATAATTTCATAATTTATATCAGTTAATTCATCATATAAAGCATTTGTTCGTAATTTTTGACTGGCAACTATAACCAATTTATTTTTATAAAGCTGATAGGCCTGTTCCAAACTCATATCACGAATTTGACCAGTCACATCCAATCTTGTGGCTAACGTAGGGCATGAACCCAAAATATCACCCTTTGGAGCAGACTCAATCTAATATAATAAAAAAAGTTGAAAATAGAAAAAGTTAAGTTATTACTATAATTACCTTATAAATGTCAAACATTGGAGTGAATACTTTCCAATGTCCATAGGGATCATCATTCATATTAATCATTAAGTTACGTCTAGGCTCAGGTAATTCAAAAAATTCTATATCAGCGTTTGAGCAAATACATTTCCAAATTAAGTTTTTTAAAGTACACAGATTAAAATTTTTTAAAACAATATTAAGTCTTTTCCATAATGCTTCTATTGTAATACCGTCCAATCCTTCTAAAGCAATTTCGTCAAATATACTGAATAATAAGTTATATTTTGTATATTGATCATATCTAAACAAAAAAAATTCTCAGAATATATATTAATATAACTTAAGCATAACAAACCTGATTTTTAGTGTATCCCCTGAAAATATATCATTATCTTGGTTTACTAGTGTTATACAAAGAGAAGAAGTTTTTAAGTTTTTGCTTATGGTAACAATACATTCGTTGAATAATAATGGTTGATCATCTTTTGGGTTTTCTTCAAAATCACATATCCTTCTATCATTTAAGTTTATATTTCTACTTAAATCAGATTTGCATGATGTTTCATCACCATAATTATTTGCTTCTGGATGTTTCAATACCTTGTTTGGCGCTTTAACACTTTTCTTAATTATTTTGTTCCGTACATCGGAATATTTTGATTCCATATATTTTCCCATGATTAACTACTGTACCTTGGTGACGTGTTATGATAAAATTTTATTTAATATAGTGTAATTATTATGCCTAATAAAATAGGTATTTACTTCACAATTGTTCACAATGCTCATTGCTTGTTTTGATCATTTTCACATCATTTTTGATGTTTTGTGTTTTTGATTAAATTAATTAAGGTTATTACACACTTTCTTCTTCCCATAATGATGACATGTGTGGCATTAATCGACAGATCATATATAATATATATATGATGTAATCTAAAATAATATTTCGTCTTTAAATTTATACAGAATTAATTTATTACATAATACGATTTAGGGTAAACCCGATTTAGGGTAATGGTGTGGATCCGGTGGCTGACCTTGAAACGAGTTTCTGCTGCATATAGTCACAGACACTACGCATGCGCACATCTTCGATGTTGCCAGATTGTAAGTTATTTTGGAATTATTTTCAGTAGAAAACAAATATGTGCTTTTCAGTGTTTTTTGTCAATATATACCGTATGATCGAAAAAACGGCGTCCAGTTGGCTGGGAAATGACGATTGAGGACATTTCCCATATAAAATGACAGCGATCTTCATTTCATAGTCATCGGCTAATTTTTTTTTTCAATCATAGTACGCGGTATATTATTTATATCAAGGATTTATATTATTATTTTAATATTTCGCACAACACGTGAACGCTTATTATGTATTTTCATAGTCAATAAAATTAAATAGAAATGAAACTCTAGATTCCTATAATTAATCTATTTGCTCTAGATTATTATGCTACGTTTAAAAAGGGCTTTATTAAAAATTCTGGAAATTATATGTCCAAGTTTTCCTTTTTTTTTAATTTTTAAATGCTGTAGCTCCATGTCATGTTCATAATAGGTTTTTTTAACATTCCATCAAAACTACGGAGGCCTTAAAAGGCCTTTTAGCCTCCGTAATTAAAATTGTAGAATCAGCTTCAGCAACATTAACAGTTTTACCTTGTGTAATTCTGCTTATACATATATTGCATTAATTTTTCTGCTACTTTAAGATTTCTCTATTCTTACACCTAATTTATGTGATTTTCTTAGCTATAATATGATTTATAAACCATATTTTTCCTAATGGAAGGATGGAATAGGATATGCAAAATTAAGATATTTTAACATTTATTTTCCAGACAAAGCATAAGATTAAGACATAATAAATATTATAAGAAAGATCTTAATATAAATCACAAACTAAGTCTTAATTTGGTCTTGTATAAACACAGGTATAAAACTAATAAGATCAAAACTCAACCTTCACCATATTGTCAAGATTTGGCATTATAGGAAACAAGAAATTGCAGTAAATTAAGAAAAGAATATCAAAGTACACGATATTAAATACTGTAATGTATTCTACGATACAAACCATCTCCCTTCTAAAGAGAAAAAGATAAAACATAAAGCTTATTTTAGTCTTATCAACACTCTTCGATAAAATATATGTCTAAAATTGCTATTAATCCACTAACTTGATATTTTTAAGAAATTATATGATACAAACATTACAATCAAAGTATATTATATTAGTAACATTATAGGTAAAATATGTTACCTCTATCTCCCATTGACGTGTATTGTTCTATAAGACTCGTCATGGTAATATTTCAAAACATCAATATACATAATATAATGAAAACTATTGTTGCCTGTAAATAACTAGAAATTAAATAACTTGAAAGAAATAAAACAATTCTAATAAGTTTAAAACCATTAGAAAAAATCCGTAAATGATAATTTTTAATTCTAATGTAAATATATAAATAAATGTTATTATTATTCAACCACTTATCAACCGTCAACAACACCATATCTCTGTTATTATTACGTACAATTTTATATATTCATAATACTTTCATTTCACAATCTTCATTATCCTTCTTACCTTAATTTTGGATATCAAGATAAATCTGAAATTATAAAATTAATTATAGAATTTGTATTATTATTAACACTGAAAAAAAAAATTCAACTGCAAATAATTCGAAAATAAACTGCAAATTGGCAACATCGACGATGTGCGCCTGCGTAGTATCGATGATCAAATGCAGCAAATATGGCCTTCAAGGTCAGCCACCGGATCCACACCTTTACCCGATTTAGGTATACCACGATTTATCTATCTAGTTTATTACACAGTTTAGAAATACACTTTTTTACACATTTATTTATATGCAGAGCCTGCAGAGCGAAATTTTTTTTTCTAACACAAACTGTCAAACTCATTTCAGTTCAGCCATTTATGTCAGCCATGTTCCGTGTTGACGTTGGTGGCATTGGTGGGTTGTAATTTTACATGTATTTTCCCTGTTCTCATGCATTTTGGTTTTGAATTTTCAGCTGAATAAGATAAGTGATAATTAAAAAACCAGTTATAGGGAAAGCAGGGTAATTGTCCCGTACATTTGGTAGAGTATATTTATTTTTATACCATGTAACTATTTTTTACTGTAACAATCCAATACTTTAAGTTTGTTTGACATGATCCCTTAAAGCAAAAGCAACATATTCACTCGACAAGTACCAATTACTCAGAACTCTTATCAAATTGATCAGGTCTTGGTATCAGTAAAATATATAAACTTTTATTACTTTACTTAGTTTTTTATTTTTACTTAAAAATTATTTTTTACGTACCCAAACTTGATTGATAGATCCGCCATGATTCAAATTACGTTCAAAACACGTAGTAATTGTACTTACATTTGTTTTTCTATGGTGATTTACTACATGATAAACAAACACAGCAAAGAATTGTCTGTAAATTTATAATTTTCTTTTTATAAATACCTCCAAGACTACAGGGTGATCCAACCTCGGCGTAACCCAGTGTTGCTGGTTTGAGATTTTTTACTCTATAATTTTGTATAAAATAACCGGGCAACACACATTTTAAAAATATTTCATAGATGTAAGTGATGTAAGTGTGATTCAAATATATTTATATTTTTAAACTAAAGATATAGGTATATTTTCTAATCTTGGACAAGTTTCAAATGGTAGGTCAGTTGATCCTTGCTCAGTTGTATATCAGTAGATTAGCCATTTTAGCCATTAACCCCTTAACGCTTTATACCTACTTTAATGCCTTTAAATTTTTTCATGGCTAAAACATCATATTGTGCTTATATAATACTTTATTTGCCGCTTAAAGGCCGCGGATTTAAAACTCGAAAAAAAATCTAAATTTTTTCGATTTTCAAATTTTTAATATTTTAAACTACGGTATAATATTGTTTTCTTCACATTTGATGGGTCCAGGGAAAAACTTGATAAACGCCAATTTCTTAATTTTAGGATTTTACAATATTATAGTAGGTATAACTGGTACCTACAAAATGTATAAACTCTGCAGGGGAATAAGTTGTTAAATCCTACGATATATGCCTTGTAAAAATTGTATCTTTTTTCTTTAACCTTTAGACGAGCCATTAGATTATATCACAATATCCATTTTTTGTAACCATGAGGTTTTATAATGAATTGAAAGATGGAAAACTTTTTTTATGCGACTTTTCGCTCCAACATAGTGGGCTTTTTCGGGCACTTTATTTCTAAAAACTTGAAGTCGTTTTGCTAGCACCAGTCTGTGTTTAAAGTTTTGTTTTTATAGTAAAAATATAGAATTCACGGAAAGAATGTGATAACCACCAGCCGACCAGTGCTTTCCTGTAAAATTAGTAAAATGACGCTTATCATATTTTTCCCCTAGACAGACCGTTCAATTCGAATTGCAACTAACATCTCAAATGTTTTATTATATAGAGGGTTAATCAAAATTAAATGTTATATTTTTCTCCATTATTTCAAATTGAACCTTGTATTTCGTACCATGAACAGAGTTCTGTTTAATCTGTTTGTTTTACTGGCATTTCCTATATCTAAAAACGAAGAGAAAATCTCAAACCAGAAAGTGATATCCAGCATTATTTTTGCAACTTTGGGTCACCCTGTATATACAGGGTGTTCCTTACTGACATGCTAATATTTAAGGGGTGATTCTTGGACCTATTCTAATAAAAAAAATCGTATGAATGTATGTCCTAAACATATCAATCTTTGAGATACAGGGTGGTAACATTTTCCTAAAAAAATCTTTTTTTATAATAACTCTTACGTTATTATAGATATCTTTATGAAAATTGATACACACGTCTTCTATGCATCAAAATGCCTTTTTTCATGCACAAACAATTTTATATATTTCAACCAGTGGCGTCCATATGGGTTTTGCATTAAATATTTTTGAAGAAAAATATGGTACGCCACTGACTTCTCTCAAAATAAAAAAATATTTTCAAAATCTTCATTCGTTTCTGAACAATTTTCATCTCTTGATTTTTTTCGTCCGCCGCCCATAGTCCGCTAAAAAAATTGTCATTTTACTTCAGTCATATCGCTAAAAACCTGATGCGCTGACGGAGACGGTTGCGTGGAAATCGTTTTAGCATCGGCTGAATGGAAACTGAGAGATACATAAAAAAATAATTTTTATGCATAGAAGATCTGTATCAAATTTCACAAAAATATCTATGACATCAGAGTTATTATGAAAAAAGATTTTTCTTAGAAAATTTTACTAGTGGTGGCTCGTCAGGGTAGGCAAGGTAGGCGGCGCCTACCCTATAATTTTGGCAGAATTAAAGCGGTTTATTACTTATTACATTACATTATTTACTATTAATGTTGCCAATACATAAAAATACTCTGTTTTACTGTGTTTTAATAATCAATATTATTTTAATATTTGTGTGTGTCTTCTATATTAAAATATTCACTATCGCTGGCGTACGCTGACTGTGCCGCTGCGTTAGAAAACAAAATAATTTTGACCGTTGGTGTGCCTTTGTTCGGCGATTTCTGCATCGCCTTCTATCAGTGTCGATGCACGACGTACAGTCTTCTGTCTCTGTCTAACTTATCGGGCGGTAGCGACGCGACGTAAGTCGGAGTTGTATCGTATTAAGGCGGGGCTTAGGCGAAATCTCCGGTCGCCTTCGCATGAAGTCGTGGAGGCCCGGTAGGCTTAGAAGTTAAGGGGATATTCCTGCTATTTCATAAGGGGATATATCACATTTCGTTAAGGGAATATTTCATATGATTCATTAAGGATTATACTTTTATATGAAAATTTTAAAAACGTTTATAGCAAATTGGGGAACAAGCTCGGACAAGCCCGAAAACATTTTTTCGGGCTTGTCCGAGATTATGCAAAATGATATAACCGGTTGTATTTCAGAACACGCCACAGAAATAAAATAATCCGAAATAAAAAGCGCGTTATTTTATTCGGTGCAAGAAAACGATACAACAGATACTACAGAAAAGTCTCAGTGAGCTATTTCAATTCGATATGTTAATAAAAGCGGCTAAGTCAAATATCTTTGCGAATTTTATTTTATGAAATATTAGATAACATTGTTATACATTTAGAAGTAAGGTTTGCAGATAGGTACTCGTATGTCTCAATTATTTTTATTTATCTTTTGCGGATTCGAAATTTAAAGAATCCTATAAAAATTTCCAACGCATTTAACATCTGATTTAACAAACTTGTTATATTGATACATTTTCAACGCATTTAATAGTGATTTAAGAAACAAAAAATGTTATTGACCAACGTAAATGAATGAATAAATTGCAGATATTAATAATAGATATGATAATTTAGATTATAAAATTTAAGGACAATAATCCTGGAAATATTTCCAGAGGCTTTCAAATTGTTTGTTTTTTTTCTCACTACACCATTTACAAGTACTTGGGTTGAGAGACATTTTTCATGTTTGAAATACATTAAAATGTATAGTAGAGATTCCATGAAAAATAAACGTTTATCGGCACTTGCCTTACTTTCAATCTAGAAAGTTCTTTTTACAGCTCTTCAACAATCTGATGATTTTACTGATATAATAATAATTAATAACTTTTCTTTATTAAGAGACCGACTCATCAATTTAATATATAAAACATAATTATTCTTTCTCTCATCAATACTACCAATTTTTAAGTTTGCGTAAATAAATAAAATTCTATGATGTACTCCATAGTGACTCCATAGTAATAGCCTTGGTAATAGATAAAAAAATATACATGTACAGGGTGGGTCAAATTCGACGCTTTTAAATGGAAACACCCTTTTCTTTAGGAGATAGACGAAAACTAATATCGGTGTCTGGAGCTCAATTTTCATCAAAAACATGATGGTGAAAACCGCACATCCATATCTGTTACCGTTTCGGAGTTACGGGGTGTTTTTCAAAAATGTGCATTTTTAACAGATCGCTGAACTTTTTTGCTATGAAAAATTTTGTATTTCTATGAAAACATTTCCGAAGCACCTTTTTACGTAGAATTTAATTGTTTTAGTATAATTTTTTTAAAATTAATAATTTAAGAGTTATCAACAGAAAAACTGATTTTTTATATGGGACACCCTGTATATTTATAATTTATTGAAAAGAATTTAAAATTACCTTTCCAAAAATATAACACACTTGATATTTTGCTCGATTCCTCTTCGAGATATAGAGTATATAAAAATTCGCCCGCTTTAAATAAGTAGGCTTTGAACGACACCGACTGTAATGCAAAAAAATTCTAGCTGTGAGCATCAATTAAAACGAAAATAATATTTGCTATGAGAGATGCAGAATTTTATAACAATTTAAAATATATTTAACCAACATCAACACATTTAAACTATATCTCATAACAATAAAAATAAATAGCAAACCAGGTCATGAGATTTTGCTACAGGTGTTCGACATATCGACCGTCTGCTGTTATGGACAGACGGGGCAGTTTTTGAACATTTCTCGCGGAATTCATTAACTCAGTGTGGGTGAAAGATACCCTCTCATAACTGCTAAGTATTTCTAATTCTTGTCTAGATTATACAGAAGAATAAGGAACCTTTATTCTTCCGCAAATATATCCATAGGATTAGATCCATGGGCACTAAATCAGGCGGCCTCGACGGCCAACGGCTGGGTTCTTGGTCAGCTATTCAATTATTCTTGAAATTGGCTGCGGAAATTTGCTGATAACTTTAGCGTTCAGAAGCGGTGCGTCGTCTTGCTGGAAAAATATGTTTTCGAGTTCCATTAAGGGCATATCATCAATGAGGGGTCCAAAGCCTACTAGTTAAAAGTGGCGAACTTTTGAAAATCTGTATTTCGAAGGGCATTATAACAAAATATCAAGTATGCTATATTTTTGGAAAGGTAATTTTAAATTCTTTTAGCTAATTAAAATATATAGGGTGTCCCATATAAAAAATCAAATTTTCTGTTGATAATTCTTAAATTATTAATTTTAAAAAAGTTATACTTAAACCATTAAATTCTACGTAAAAAGGTGCTTTGGAAATGTTTGCATAAAAATACAAAATTTTCCATAGCAAAAAAGTTACAGCGATTTGTTAAAAATGCATATTTTTGAAAAACACCCCGTAACCCCGAAACGATAAGATATCGATGTGCGGTTTTCACCATCATGTTTTTGACAAAAATTGAGCTCCAGACACCGATATTAGTTTTTGTCTATCTCTTATAGAAAAGGGTGTTTCCATTTAAAAGCGTCGAATTTGACCCACCCTGTACATTATGTCAATCATTATGTCATTACGTTGAATGCTGTTATTTTTGCTTTAGTTTTGTTCTAAATATTCTTGTTTGAGCTATGTTTTTAACCCGGAGATAAAATATATTTACAAACTGGGTTAGGGTATTATGTAAATTAGGGGGGGGGGGGCAAATAGACGCAACTGTGTCGCCTACCCAGTCACACGGGTCACGAGCCGCCACTGAATTTTACCACACTGTTTGTCAAAAGTGGAGATATATCAATCGTCGCCTACTTGGCGATGTTTTTTTTTTATTACGGGCGGTTTTTAGATAATCTGAATTTTAGGAATTCGCGTGCTGGAATGAAGGTCGAGGTGGATGATACACCTAAAACCAGTATCGAAATGAATAGCAATGATGAAGAGGATGATCAAATGAAAAGTAACGTTCCGACAGAAGTCTTATTTAAAAAGGAAATTATGGAATCGGATTGTTATACAACGTCCGAAGAGATGAACAGTTTTGAAGATAGCAAAAAGACTAAGGCTGTAAGCAATCTAATTATTTTTGTTTTACTATAGGCTTGGTGCATTCTTCGCCGGTGCTGCCACCATTTTAGAATATCGTAAAAAACTAGCATATACAAATACACGGGTTTAAATAGCGAGTATAGAAAAAAAAAATTATTTAATTATTCTAAATGTGTTAAATTTGTGAAAATTTTAAAAATAAAAAAGTAAATATTTTGATATCTTCATAAGGTCTAACTTGTATTATAATTTATTATTCCAGCTAAAAAAAACTTTTAGATGAGTTCAACTACGGTAGCGAGCATAGTTTTAATCACGGGTTTTGCTAGCTAATTGAGGCTATTTCGGCTTTAACAAATTTATTTAAAGGTACATATCTAAAATTTAGAAGATGTCCATAAAAAAATTAATCACCATTTTATTAAAGAAAGTATAATTATATTATAGTATAAGTATAATAATATTGCAAATTATATTTTATTCTCTCATAGTATATGTCTATTTAATTTTTTGATTATGTAACGAGAACTTTATTGTTTACTCATTTGTTTCGTCGAACTGCTTAAATCCATTTTTGGTAGTGATCAAATCGGCGTGAGAAACTATGAAGCTATAAAATGTTGTTTCGGAAGAGTTGAATATTCGGGAAAGTTGAGTTATTGAATGCTATTGCACCCAACAACGCTCTAATTACGCTCTCCTTTACGCGTTAGCATTTTTTCGGCAATTTTATTAACATTTGAAATTGTCACAACACAACACGACGCGACGCCTAGTTCGATTTCTTTTTCATTTATTTTTTACTACCTGAAACAGCGTTACATCACACAAACCTCGTACCTGAGTGTTTTATAGCCTCAATAACTGCACTAGCAAAAAACTAAAATACTTAAATGTTATGACAAAACCACGATTTCAATATTATTTTAATGCGATCAACGTGACGGCTGGCGGTGTGAACTATATATTGATAATTTCTGATTTTTGTCGTTGAAGCGCTGCGGTCGGAATTTGTTGAAATTAACTGAAATGCACCAAGCCTATATTTAAACTTATTGATTTTTTGCAGTCTTCTGGGTGTTTCGCCATTAGAATTTTTCAAAATTAGTTATTTTTGTAAGTTATTACTCTTCAAAAGAGTTAAAAACAGTAGGTGGCGTCCCCTACAAGTAGAGGTCCCATTGACATGGAAATCAAATTTCTCATGTCAAAAAATACCCAGACACCATTTTTTTTTCCAAATATCGACTATAGTTCAGAAATTAGTTGGAAAAAACCGATTAAAAATCTACTTATTCTACATCCTGTATCTCCGAAACAAAGCATTTTAGGACATACATTTATACGAACTTTTTACTTATTTTTATCTGCAGGATATGCTGCCGAAGTTTCGCGAATACATTTCGGACCACTCTGTATATTTGCATGAAAGTAGTGGTTACCGCACACACTAATAGACGAGTTGAGCAAAAGTTACGTGAGAAGAACTATATATATATATATACCTACTTTTATTTTATAGGTTTCACGGGGATTACCAAAAACAATCACAGGGCGAAGGCGCCATACGTACTATTTCCAGCTTGATTTTACTCCAACCAAGGCAAGTTCTGGAAAAGTGACGGCCACTTGTAATGTGTGCAGTAAAACTATAAAAAACACATCAATAGATAGACTTCGTGTTCACAGGTATATGACCGTTCACAGAGTATACAAAAGAATATTCAACTATTTTATAAGTTTATAAATGTTCTTTTTATATTTTAGAAACGTTTGTAGCAACGGTGTTAAAAAGAATAACAATTCTATAAATTTGAACGGGACGGATGAGGTAAGTGACCTAATTTGTTTAGAGAAATCATTAAAAGTTGGTGGGCATGTCATTAAAGACATAGAAACTATTGCCAAATTACATTTTTAAGAAATAAAAATTCGTTTGAAATTTAGAGTGCACTTTTTCGTTTTTTTTTCTTATAATATCGAAAAAGGACAGTACACTGTTGCGTCAACTAAATGAACTAGCCGATAAAAAAAATGTGTGTGCACTATGAGCGCATATTTGAAGGGAAACTTCTTTTTATTTCCGTCTGTCTGTCCGTCTAACCATTCCGTCTCCATTCGGGTACCTCTATCCACGTGCCGAGCTTGGTTCCAATCGACCCATAATTAAAAAAAATACTCATGATTTCGTCTATTTAGAGGCATTGGCATCGGTTCGAAACGTCGAGGGCGTCATCCTGCAGCCCGTCCCCAATTATGCCGAAATCGACCCACATTTTTTTTCAATATCAAATTCTTAGTTCCACCCTGATGAAGATGTAAACGAAACGTCGTATCCAACTTTGCAGGGTGGGGCTCTGTGCACTGGCGCTCACATAGCCTACCCACCAAATTTGCTCGCGATCAGACGACATCGGCTTTTGACGTTTCTTACGTCAAAACTAACTGTCACAGTGACACGTGTCGTATACGGTTAGGTTAGGTTAGCTACTTCTAAATTTGAATATCTTACAGCTAATAAATAATTTAAAAAAATGATTCGTTGCCTGAGGCATACTTGAAATAGAGTATATAGAGATATTTGATAAATGGCAACAGTGGCAACTTCGCTTCTTCATATGAGAGATAGACTACCTATTTCTCGCAGCCGCAGAGAAAATTGAAAACCGGGCTGTTGCTACTCGTCGGTTTACTTACTCTGGTTTTTGCGTGTAAAAAGAGACCGTTTAGGGTAACCGCTTACTCAGCCACTCAGCCGCTGACCGTCCCTGAACGCGCCCAGTGACAAAGCAAAAAAGTAGCCGTGGCAACATTGCTACGTGCATTCGTTAAATATTTTGATGACGTATACGCCAACTTGTATTGATTTTCCTTATACATACATAGATAAAAAATAATAATTTGTCTTTTTTTGTAGAATGAATTGTGGAAATCATTTAGCGATTCTACTAATAATATCGAATTCTATAAGGCGGATTCTGAAGATGAAACTTCTTCACTTGTTGTAGAAGTGGACCCGTTGTCCAGTTTTAAGAATTTGGCTGACGCACCATCAACTTCATCTCGTAAAATGCCACCAATCAAAATCAAGGAGAAACCTGCGAAAAGACATAAAAACAATCTGTATAAAAAATCGGATCCCCTTATTAATAAAAATATCTCTCAAGATAAATCCAAACTAGATATCAGTTTAGCAAAATTCTTTTACGGTTGTAACATACCTTTTGACGTTGTGGAAAATAGCTACTTCAAAAATTTTGTAAAATCCTTATGTCCGTCTTATTATCCACCAACAAAAGCTGCCCTATCTAGTATTTTACTGGACAAAGTAAAAAAGGAAATACAAACCAGTAACAAAGAATATATAGGAAACAGCTCGACGTTGTCAATTGATAGTTGGAGTGATGATTCAAAGAAAATAAAAAATGTCGTGACCATGTTGCACTCTATTGGGACAGAGAATATTTTCTTGAAATGTCAGGAGTTTCCTGCTCTAGAAGTAGCCGACGAAGTTTTGGCAGATATATGTAAAAAATCAATTTCAGACGCTAAATCGCAGTATAAATGCGAAATTTACGCGATAGTTAGCGACAATGCCGCTAACATCAGGAAATATCTTCCAGACCTGTGGCATATCCCTTGTAGCAGCCATGTAGCTCATTTACTGGTTAAAGATATAATAAACACTGAAGTTTTAGATCAAGTTAATTGCATACTAAAAGAGTTCCAAAGTTTAGATTTGCTAAATCTAATTTCAGACAATGAAGACTCTAAATTACAGTTACTGGCCGAAAACCGGTGGCGCGGTCACATCAACGCTTGTAAGTCTTTCTTAAGTAATTTACCTTTAATGAAACAAATAGCTTCTGACGGTTCTATAATTCCAGAGCATATTACTCTGAGTTTATCCACTAACGACTTTCTAGAGGATGTTCAAATTACATTTGATTTATTAAAGTTTATTGTTGAGTTCATAAATAAATTTGAAAACGAAGAATTCTCGATAGCCGAGGCTTCAGAAGAATGGCTTAACTTGGAAACTAAAATAAGATATCTTCGAGGATATAACATCGAAATGCAAACGGCTATTAGAAAAAGGGTGAATATGGTTGTAACAGTGTACGGATCAGCAGCAAATTTGTTTCATCCAGCTTACAGAGGACGTTTACTTAATAAGAAACAATTAAAGCAGGTGCAGGACTTCGTTATCGAATCTTTGGATACGGAAGGCTTGAATGCATATAGCGAATTTCATGAGAATACTGGAATTTTTCAAAATCTTATGAAGAAAAATATAACGAAACCCACGACGTTTTGGGGACTGGTTGATTTGAAACATCCTTCTTTGACGGCTTTAGCGGTGAAGCTTTTAAAGATCCCTGCGTCTTCTACGGGGTATTTTACCTCTTCTTGTATAGATTCGTCGTTGAGAGACGGATTAGCTCCAGAAAAATGCGAAAAATTAAAGTTCGTTTACCACACGTTAAAAAGGCTGGACAATATCAAATCTGACCAGTATTAATATATTACCTATATAAAGACCTATAGAAATTAATGTATATATATTTTAAATCTATATAAATGTTTCATAAATTAGAATTACAAAGCGATATTTTATATCAAATTGTTTTATTTATAGCTTAATAGGGTTTTCATTGAAATAGTTAAAATGGTTAAACGAATATACTTTAATTAAAATAAATAGCCAAGACTAACAAAACAATAGCCATTTAATTAATTAAATTATATTTGTTAATTGAGTAGTATAAATTTTTACTTTTTGTTCAGTTGTAATTTTTCATTTGTAAGGTAAATACCTTACAAATGAAAAAAAAAATGAGATTGGAACGGTCGCGATCCAATAGATTTTCATAATTTCAGAAGCGATTTGGCTGTTTCGGAATTATGTCGCCAAGTATGTTATTTATCAAATTATTTATTTAATTTTATAAACAAAATACAGTGTGTTGCATATAAGAAACCTTATTTTATACAGGGTCCGGCAATAGTACGTCGGGCATCTGTAGCTCCCTTTGGTAGCTCCTAGAATAAAAAACTTGGGAATTTTATGTAAGTGTAAACCTAAAATATATATAAGGATGTATTTCACGAAAATATTTTAAGTTCTACAGGGTGGCTCAAAAAAGTGTGGGTGGATCTGGATGATTTTTTTTAAATGGAACACTCAGTATATTATTGCATTTTTGGCTTCCTTTCAGATCACTTTACATAATCCTAAGATATGAATAAATACATTTCGATAGTTTCAGAGATATTAATAAATAAATAAAAAAAATATATTTTTCAACCTTCATTAAAAAAAAATATTACAAATACAAGAACTGTCCTGAAATCAAAACTATATTAGGTATTTACTTTAGATGGTATATACTTAACTTTGCTATAAATATCGTAATCTTAAATCATACAGGATGTTCAAAATTTTACGCCAAACTTTCGAAAATATAAAATAATTTTTCTTTGCTTTTTTAAATGGAACACCCTGTACATTATTTTTTATTAGATGGAGAATTAAAAAATGAACATTTTTGTATTTAAAGTATTTCAAAATTTCTAATGGTTCCGCAGATACACGCAGTATTATTTCATATTATAGGTTCTCTCAATGGTAAAATACGAGAGAAAAATCATTAGGTGGCTTTGATAAAAATTTACAATGGAAAATGCCATATGAAATATAAAACCGCGAATATCTGCGAAACCGTTAAAAATTTTGAAATACTCTAAATACAAAAAATGATCATTTTTTAATTCTCCATCTATTGAAAAATAATATACGGTGTGTTCCATTTAAAAAAACGAGGCAAAATTATTTCATATTTTAGAAAGTTTGGCGTAAAATTTTGAACCTCCTGTATGATATACGATTACCATATTTATAGCAAAGTAAGTACAGACCATTTAAAGTAAATGTCTAATATAGTTTTGATTTCAGGACAGTTATTCTTGTATTTTTAATATTTTTTTTAAGAAAAGCTGAAAAAAATATATTTTTATTTATTTATTAATATCTCTGAAACTATCGAATTATATTTACTCATATCTTAGGATTATGTAAAGTGATCTGAAAAAAAGCCAAAAATGCAATAATATACAGGGTGTTCAATTTAAAAAAAATCATCCCAATCCACTCACACTTTTTTGAGCCACCCTATAGAAGTTAAAATATTTTCCTGGAATACATCCTAGAACGTACTTTAGATATGCTTTAGATTTGCACTTAAACAAAATTCTTAAGTTTGTTATTCTAGGAGCTACAGATGCCCGACGCACTATTGCCGGACCCTGTATAAGGACATGTATGAATACCTATGGAAATCGACGTTGTAGTTATCTCTGGTTATACCACAGAATTATACACCATGTTATGGCCACGATGATTTTTGCAGTTCACACCATAAAATGTTCACACAGCTTTTTAAGTTTTTTTAATGCCACTTTTTCAGTTATCACGTGTTTGAGTAAATAAAATTTAAATTAAACTCACCAGATAGCAATAACAGAGATAACTAGGAATAATTAAAGGCAAGCGCGCATTTATTCGCATCAGACGAACGTATTGGACACATGGAACGGACGAAAATTTATTATTTGCCTTATTTTAAATGAGATAACGCACATACATAGGTATCGGACGCATCGTAGACACGGAAATCTGTTCAGAATAATTAGAAAAGAATTAAATCCGTATATACGATACGATGCGTGCGGATGACGTCGTCGTTCGTAAATTCGATCAAATGCGCGATGTAAACAGGAATTGACTTGCAGGATTTGATTGTCGTCTCTAAATTTTTCATAGGGCATCTATGGAGTCTAAAAGGAGGAGGCGAATCGAACGCAAAAATTATGGGCCCAGTTTTTGAGATCTAAATGAAGTTCGAAAATCGCCGTTAGGGGCGCTTGTGATGATTGGGATACTAGAAATACACAGCTTCTTATGGCAAGAATAACTATTTTGTTATAAATTATAGAGCCAAGTTAATATTTATTTCCGGTATCTATTTACTTATACCTTATCTCTGGCGGTTACAAATTCAAATTTTTTATTTTCAATCATTGTTTTCAATACACATTCATACTCATATATAACCAATATATATAAATCATTCATAACTCATATATAATTCAAATATCAACAACTCCAAAAATAATATGATGTCTTCTTTTAATTTCAGTGGACTTTTGTTCATTTAATACCACAGAGTAAACGATATGCCCTCTGAAAAAGGTTCTGCGTCCATTAGGGATGGGCGATGGGCGTCAACATAAGACATAAGGCTCCTTAGCAATCCTTAGCAAGCTCTTTGATAAGGCGTCAACGGCGTCAATAAGTCAATCTTGACTTTTTTACATGAGAGTTCTATCCCTGTTAAATCAGACTCTAATAGGTTCTGTAGGTATTACCGGTTCTGTAGGTTATTCCAAAATTTTCCACAAAAAATATTCTAGTTCGGTTATTCTAGGAATCTAAAACAACTAAAAAATAAGGAATTATGCAAAGGTTTTATATTTTATATATGATATATGAACGTTATGACTCAGAGGTGGGTTGTGAAATCGCAGTCCGCTACTTTGTCACAGCTCCACCAACGTCGCATATGTGACTGCTCCAGTTCCAAGAAAATCGCAGTGACATTTCGGAGCAGTTTACAAGTTTAGGACATCTGCGCTCGTGAGTAGCAATAGGAGCAATAGCAGGCAATAGTGTAAATTCTGAAAATGCTCCTAGCCCCGTCGCCCGGTCAGACTGTTCCAGTCACAGTCGTCGCAGGTCGCAGTCGACTGGAGCATAGTATATTGAGTATATTCTGTGTACTGGAGCTGTTGGGAGTTTGGGAACGGGAAACGTAGCAGCGTTCGCTTTTTCTTTCATGAATCTAAATAAGATATTTATGTATTATATATTAATCACAAACAGATGTTTTTGACAAAGGTAATTTTTAACTTGTTAGTATGTTTATTTGTTAGTTAATTTTGTATCTGTGTTTTGTTGTATATCCTAAATCTTTTATTTGATCTTATACATTCATATAAGTTTTATTATTTATATCTATTTTTAAGGTCTGATGATGGCTAAATAGCCGAAACCGGTCACTAATAAAGATTTTTTTGACAGTTTCGACTTTGAATTGAATATAACATTAAGTTTTTACCATGGGCCACCACTCTGTGAAAATGAACAGACTCTTTAAGATATTTATAGCAAAGTGCTTGGTACTTAGAAACACTCAAATTCTTCTGAATAGACTAAAAAAATATAGCAACATCTATCAAACTAAGACATCAGTATAGTACCGTACAGCCGCGATTTTAAGAGCTCTAGGGGCCCGTAGTTCGGAAAAGTTCGAATCTTGTTCGCAAGGGCCCGGGAGGCTTGGGGCCCGTCGGTGACTTACCCCGATTGCACAGACGTTAAAATCGCCACTACTGATCGAAATAAAAAACGGCGTCCAGTTGGCTTGGAAATGACAATCGATAACATTCCCCATAAATTCTTAAATACATTATGTGTTTTTAAAGCTTCAACTTATTATAACCTCACCTCAAACCTTTGACATTTGAAAGTTACATACATAAGTTACATAAACTACACCCTCTACATAAACTACATTAACTACATGTAATGTAGTTTATGTAGTTTTTAAAAGTAACATGTAGTTTTCCGAACCCTGCTCCTAATAGGTTCTGTAGGTATTACCGGTTCTGTAGGTTATTCCAAAGTTTTCCACAAAAAATATTCTAGTTCGGTTATTCTAGGAATCTAAAACAACTAAAAATATGAATTATGCATAGGTTTTATATTTTATATATGATATATGAACGTTATAACACGACATCTGACATGATGACACAATGACAGTAACAGAAAAAATGTTTATTCCCTAGTTCTGTGATTGTTCCAAGTTTTCTTATTTATATTATAATTTAAAAAACTATTGTATCCTATTTAATTATTAAATCATTCTTAGAGTGGCGAGAAAGTAGAATTTAAGGTATTTAGAGGAAGGGGACTAGATTAAAAGTAAACAAAACAGCATCAGACAAGTATAAAAACCCGAATTTTTTAAATAATTTTACATCATGTTTGGAAAGCCGTTTGGGGCCGCAGCCCCAAGCACATCTTTCAGTAAGTATTGTTTTTTGTTATAACAATAATTTAATTATAAAAATTCATCAACCTAACTTATAATAAAATGCTATTTATTATAGATTTTGGACAAAATACTTCTACTGCAAACCCTTTTGGCCAGACTCAAAGCTTATTTGGTAAGCCAGCTACAGGCTTTGGAGCTCCATCCACGTCAACTTTTGGCCAATCAACCACATGGAACACTACTAGTGGTTTTGGCACTGCCCCCACAACACAAAGTAGTTTTGGTATTTAATTGATATTTGCATTATTTGTATTAGTACATTAACTTAGATATTCTTAGGTTCAGGTGGGTTGTTTGCTCAGCAGCCTGCTAGTGGTGGGTTATTTAACTCTTCAACAACGTTTGGACAACAAAATAAGCCGGCAAGTTTTGGATTTGGAACTGCTCAACAGAATACAAGTTTATTTGGTGCTCAGCAAGTAGTTTTTTTGTCATAAATAACTCTATATATATATCTGATTTTTTTCCATATTTTAGCCTCAAACATCAAGTATATTTAACACAAGTGGTAATACTGGTCTCTTTGGTGTTAGTGGTTCATCTTTTGCAGCTCAGCAATCTGGTACAGTTATTAAATTTAACCCTGTGAGTGGAACTGACACCATGATGAAAAATGGATCTGCACAAAATATTAATACAAAACACTACAGCATTACGTGCATGAAGGAATATGAAAATAAATCATTTGAAGAGTTACGATTTGAAGATTATCAAGCTAATAGAAAAGGTAAAAAATGAAATATTTTATCATTTTAGTAGTTATATTGTAAATTTTTTTAGGTCCTCAACAATCAACTGCTTTTGGATCACCAGCATTTGGTGCTGCTCCCACTTCATCAGCACCCTTGTTCGGACAAACCGATGCAAATAAATCTGCATTTGGTCAATCTACTAGTTTTGGGCAACCTTTTGGTCAAACTACTACAAGTAATATTGTTAAGAATTATTTATTTCCTTTCTAAAGTAGATTTTTAGGCACTTTTGGATTGGGCAATCAGCAAGCTGCAACAACTAGCCCATTTGGGGCAAAACCAACTGCATTTGGTACGCCAACTAGTAGCACAAATTTTGGTTTTGGAAGTAATGCTCCGCAAAATGCCAATCCCTTTGGATCATCGCCTGCTAGTAAGCCTTTTGGAGCAGCTGCAACAACACAACCATTGTTCGGGTCAAGTACAACTCAAACAAACACTGGATTTGGGACTGGACTGTTTTCTAATACACAGGTATAATCTAGTGTTTCCCCAAAACTCCAGTTTTCTATTTCAGATTTTTACAATTATTTTTCTGAAATCAGTGGGAAATAACAAAAATTTAAAAATATTTTATAGATATACATGGTTTTTTTATCAGTACATATTTGTCATTAAAGTGACATACTTATACAAGAATTGAGCATTAATTGAAGATGTCATTTAATTTCATAATGAATATTTTACTCAGTTGAGTGGCCCTATATAGTTAATAGAATTTAATACATTTTCTGGATAGAATTTAAGTATATCTTGCCCTGCCGGCTTGAGAAAAATGCATTCTTTATAAAAAAAAATTGCGTGCTCTAAACTGTGTGGTTAACCCTGTTTATACTTTTCCAAATTTGGTATACCCCATATTTTTATACTCTTAGAGAAAAATAAAAAAATGAAAATATAGTTAAGTTGTAAAAAACAAAATGAGTTTCTTTGGGAGTATTATTTCTTTTTCGTTATTTGGTGAATGGTTATTATTAATGTTGATTAACGTAATGTTGTTTTAATGTGTTAAAGAAGCACAAAATTTATTATAAGTTCAATACTATGGAAAAGGTGATCATATATTTTGTGCTTTAACATTTTAAAATAAAACATTTCAAAATTCATATTTTTCTATTTTTCTTTAAAACAAAATGGAAATTTAGAAAAGTATAAACGGGATTAAACCATTTTAGAACAAGTAAAAACTTTTATGTAGGAAAAAAAATTCTCTTGTAAACACATACTGTATAAAAAAGACTTATGTAATATTTTGATTTTTTGTTTTAGAATACTGGGACAAATTTATTTAAACCCCCTCAACCCACCACTGGTTTTGGAGCGGCTCAAACAGGATTTGCATTTAATAATCCTGCATCAACTCAACCCAGTCTCTTTACAACATCAAAACCTCTTTTTGGAGGAGGAACTACTAGCACAGCTCCAGGTACTTTTAAATAATAAAATAAAATCAACAAGAATGACCATTTGTGATCAATTAATTGTATATTGTTACTTGATTTCATGTCTTTATTATTATTTTTTTAATAAAATGTCTTTTATTGTTTGTAGCCTTTGGTTCGTCAATGTCTTTTGGCACAAATACAACTGGATTTGGTAGTGGAACTAACTTTGGAAAACCTGCTGCTCCTGTTTTTGGTGCCACACAACCTAGTGCATTTGGAACAAGTTTGGGAGGTATGTATATAAAGGGTGGTGTCCCATTTTCATGTGTTTTACAGGGTTTCTCGTTTATGAGTAAAGGTACAAAGTTGCTGTTTTTACATCACTGTGCTATAAACCGTATCATAAGCGTATAGCGTAATAGGTTGCCTAAAAACTCCCTATTAGCGCATAACAGTGTATTATGACACTTTAACTGTCAAAGTTGTCATAATAACGCGTCCCTTACTACCGCATATTGTTGCAATATTTTTTGAATATATACAAATAAGCATAAACTGTTTCCATCTGTTGCAAACTTCTTGGAACACACTATATGTTTAGTTAATTGATGTCAAATTTTACAGGAGTAACCACTAATCAGAATACTGGTCTTTTTGGAAATGCAAATCAGCCGAAAACTGGACTTTTTGGCAGTACTGGCACTACAGGTTTGTTTAATACAAGCACCAACATGTTTCAAAATAACGCCTTTGCTCCACAACAACAACAGCCATCGTAAGCTATCAGATTATCACTTTAAAACATTAATTATTTAACTAAATAAAAATTTTGTTTTTTAGACTCTTGACCCAACCAGAACAACATTCCACTAATCTGGCTTTGTTGACTAGCGACCCGTTTGGAGATGCACCACATTTGGCCGGTTTGGAACCAAAATTTAAATCAAATACCGCTGCGGTTTCTGCTACGGATCCGAAGGAACTAAAATCTTTACTTGATCCCTCAAAAAAAGTCGATATGTCGCACAATTCTAAACTGAAGGTTACACCATTGAAAAATATTAGGGTAAGTAAAATTTGTCATTTTAAGTATTTTCTGTTGTTAGATTAATTTTGTTTCAGTTTTTTTTTTAATTTTTAGTATTAGGTTTAAGTATTTATTCAAATGAATAGCCATATGAAAAGTACACCCTAAACATAATAGAATCTTTAAAAAGTCTCAATATATTTCGTAGATAAGTAAACACACTGCTTCAAAAGATCATTTATTTATTAAACTCTAAACAATTTACAAAATTAAGTATTTGTTGGTTTTGGTGAGCTATCCAGGCAAATTTCTTTTAGAAAATGAAGCTTATTTTACCTTAAAATGAACTTCTTAAGAATCGTTGAATAAAGTCTAATGTGTAAAAACATGTTTCTCATAAAAAATATTCTAAAAATGTTATTTTATTTTCTAAACCAAATTCCATAACCGATAATGAAGAGTCGCGGACTTGTTTATATCCGTTTCTATGTTTATGTTGACAGTAGTGAAGGTTCAGTTTTGACAAACCATACGGATTGATACATGGTTGCCAAATCAGCTAGTAAATTATTTAGAATTTAATCCTAGTTTTCATGCGTCCCGTTTGTCTGGAAGGAGTCAAAAAAGTAATGAGTTGTCACTCGGTGGACCTACGTTAAGTTAATATCTAGCTATAGCTCTAGGAATCAAAACTCGGTTTGGTTTGGTTTCACTTATTTGTTTTTTTTTCGTTTTTCTGTTTGATTAATGCACGTCACAGAAACTTCAGTAGAAATGGCAACATTGCTTTTTCTTCTGCGGCATGTCAAATCATGTGTTACCATCAAATATATTATAAGAATATATTGCGCTAGTAGCGCATTTACACAATGAGTGGAAAGTGAAACCAAAGAAAATAAATAGGAATATCAATCTTGCATGTCTATCCTTTTCGTTCAACAGGATTTTCGTGCGCACGCACCAAATAAAACGATCTGATTCGTCTACTTCATCGTTGAACGCTGTCACCTGCCCGCGCTATTTTAATCTATCCTCATATCTATCCGTTTCTTGTTTTTGTTTAAATATGTCAGCGATTAAATTTAAATTTATAAGTAAAGGCGCGAAAACTACTTCTACTGGTTAGTATGAAATAATCAACTAATCGAGAAGCACTTCTCACGCTTGCGTAGTTCAAAGCTGTTGAACGAAAAGAACCGACTTATGTGGATTTTGTATAGCTCCATCTCAAAAATGTGGCTTCAATTTCTGTTTCTTACTAGCAATATATTCTTATAATATATTTGAGGATACTGAGTATCCTCAAAGTTTCTGAGGAACGTTTCTGAAAGTCCTCAGAGTTTTTGAGGATTTCTTTGTATTTTGAGTATAAATGCATTCTCTGTAACGTCAAATATATGTGACAGTTATTTTTGACTAGTCAATATGACTATGAATAATATATGAATATCTTAAAAAAATGATTTTTAAGATAACATCAGTTTGACATTAAAAAATTGAATTTAAAGGTGTGTATTTGTTATTCCAATCAGGATCGGATTATTTTTTCAATTAATTTAGTATTTTTTATCTTTCAAATTAGGAGTTCTTTCAAATAAAATTTTTGGTAAAATAAAATGGGGAAAATTTATTCATTATTTTTAAAATTTACATGGGATTTACTATGGTCAGGTTCCATCCAACAAACTGTATTTTATATTTTTAGGACAGCTTATTCGATTCTATATCTTCACCGGACGATAACAAGTCACCTTTGACGGGCTACCCGAAAACCAGTTGTCGCAGATTAATCTTAAAACCTCGGGGAAATACCGACAACGTACCGTCGTTGAGTTCGTCCAACATTTTGGACGTGTTGAGCGGTGAAAATAAGGAGAACACTGATAAAAATAAAACTATACCAGAGGAAACCAGAGAGAACAATCCGTTAAGACTACACTTTGAGACGACACTGCACAACGACAGTGTTGCCAATAATTCGATTGAAACGCAGACCTACAACATTATTAGTTCAACCACCAAGGATCCTTGTAATTATTTTCGTATACCGGGTGTTTTTCAAAAGTGACTCACCCCTACCTTTTATTTCTTTGTACAAAAAAATGTGATTTAGGATGTTAATATATGACATAAATCAGGATTGTTTGACGTATTCACTTATTTTTGGTCACTTTCTGTTTCACGGGTTCAATTTTTTCATGTTTTCCTGTTTCACCGGAAATGACTACAACTTTTGATTTTTAAACGCTACTTTCGATATTTTTTTATTTCATTTAATACAAAGTTACATTGTGAATAGAATGATATATTATATGTTAACTTTTGACATTATTGCTTAAAAAATTGTATTTTAAATTTCAATCTAGAGTGTAATGGCTGTGTTTATAATGATAAATTGACTCGAAATTTCAAGTATGCGGTACCAAATTGTAAGTTTAAAAATGCTTTTTCCAAATATGCTAATGATCTACTCTTGTTCCATTTGAAAAAAGTGAGTTATGGTTTAAAATAAAACTGGGGTATCTTTTTACTGGCTATGAAACGCCACGAAAAATGTTCGATTATCAAATGTATTTTTTCAAGGCTCCTTGATTAAAAATTAGTGCTTTGGTAAGCGAAAATGTCAAAAATTGACATATGATATGTCATTATATTCAGAATATCATTTTCTATGAAATAAAGTAAAAAAAGAGAATACCGTTTAAAAATCAAAAGTTGTAGTCATTTCCGGTGAAGCAGGAAGTGACCGATAATAATTTAATCTGTCAATCAATCTTCATTTATGGGATATACTAATATATCAAAACTCGTTTATTTATCTGAAAAAATAAAAAAGTTAATGGGCGAGTCGCTTTTGAAAAACACCCGGTATTGCAACATGAGTTTTGTGTTAAGGCTTGGTATTTTTTTAAGATGAAGTAAATGATTCACTACCACCGCCCTCTGATGATGAAGATGATGTTATTGCAAAACAAGGTGCCGGTGATTCGGTAAAGAAGCATCCTGCAAATTTGGTGTGTACCAGACCAGAATACTATACGTTACCGAACTTGGATGATTTATTGCCAGATGAACATGGAAGGTGTTTTGTTAAAGGATTCACTGTTGGTATGATAATTTAAATGTAATTTTAGTGATATACAATAGAGAAATACTGAAATTATTTTTGGGGAATTTTTATTACGATCTTTCAAAAAGAATATAGTTTACAGTACGTCTGCTGGATCTGTGTCTATGAAAGGAATGCGGACAAAAAACATTTAAATAAACAACAATATATTTTATACGTCGACTTTACGAGTACGTCACCGCAAATCGCTCCGCCCACTCATTTTATTGGCTACTTGCAAATTTGTCGAATTTTTATTGATGGGACGCGTCGTCTAATTTTTTACGAAAAACATGGAGAGAATATCGTTTCCCCTCTCACGGATACCCCGTAGCTACAGAACGGACAGACGTACTGTACAATAATTTGAATGATACATTTTTTTGTTTTTTAAATGATCCTGTAAAAAATATATAATATATACATATGCTTTATATATAACTTTATTGCTAATACAACTCTCTGGATCTACACTTACTTTTCACTCGATTTTTCCTCCACTTAATTTGAAAAAACACAAATAAAACCAACATCGCAAATATTTATCATTTTTCAGAACGCTGGTTTTTTAACGTAATTGACACCAAATATTAACCTTTAGTTTGGCAAGAGTTTCAAAAATCTTAACTCGAGTTCATACGCATCCGCGTCCGTGCGTTGTTCATCGTTAAGTCACTCCAATCATATTGAAATATGATCTGTCATTTTTGAAATACACTAATAAGACTGGTTAAATACAACGAGAGATGACGTATGACGTATTTATATCTAAACCAATCTATAGTTAATTTAAGAAATATTAGAAACTTTTTTTAGTGAAATAAATGGATTGGTATGCACGTCATCTGCCTTTTTCTGTCATCGCCTGTCAAAATATTCCCGTTAGTTGTAAAACAAGTAAACATACGTTTTATCTATCAAATGAGACGGATTAAACACTAGGAAGTTTTATCTGCGTTTTTGTCAATTTTTATAGCCATTGTGTTTAGTGAAGTTTAAAAGAATAAACATGGAATTTTGTTACAAAATTATATTTATGATTTAAATTTTACTTATAAATATGCAAAGCTAATTATGAAAACCTTATTGTTTGGTAATAATCATTAAATATTTCTAAACAATTTTGTAAAATTCCAGTATTTTGTAAAAATATGACAAAAATACTAGATTTTTAATAGTCGCTTATTCAAGAGAGGGCGTTATCTCTGTTATTTGTTATTTTTTGTAAATTTAATTCGGATAATTAACATTTATTTGAAAGAAGTCATAAAATGAAATTTCCCCAAAAAATCCTATGGGTATTTCGCCACTGTAAGAAAATCTACAAAATAAAATAATTACTTTTTGTAAACACTGCTGCGTTAATCCAACGGAGACTAATTTTCAGCAGTGGCTTACTAATAAACAAAATTGCCTAACGGCCAAAAAAATACTTTTTTCGTTGTCGGAAGCAAAAAAAAAACAAAGAACAACGAAAAAAACACTATTTAAAATATCTAAATGCAACTATTCGAGAACACTTTAGTTTTTTAAAACAGATACGTTTACAAAAACCGTTGACGTTTTGTTAAAATGACATTATATAAAGTTAAACTTCAAAATTAATAATTACTACTTGATTACTACCTGATAACAATTACTTAAAATTAAATTTGTTCAAAAAAGGCTTAAAATTTGGTCTAATATTTAGAACAGACATTGATTTAATACAGAACTATATAAAAATACCATAGGATCGAGAAAACGGCGTCAAGTTACCTTAGAAGTGCCGATTACTTTTTTATTTGATCAGTAAGCGTAGTGGGGGAACGTATATACAAACAAATTTTCGTACTAATTAGTAATAATCCAAATTATCACTGATTTTAAAAAATTAATAATCTGCTGTAGGTTAATAATAATAATATCTTTTTAGGCAGGAAAGGTTATGGAAATGCTTATTTTCCGGATGAAATGGACGTCGCTGGACTAAATATCGATGAGTTGGTTCATTTTAGATACCGAGAAATTAATGTTTATCCAGACGATTCTAAGAAGCCGCCTGTAGGACAAGTAAGTAACTAAAATTCGCTGAATAATGTTGTTATATACTTTCAAAACATTTAATTTAGTTTTTTAATAAAAGCTGGGAAAACAGTTGGAACTATTCGTGTGAGAAGTGTGAAGCAACTTGATAAAATCAAGTATTATCGAAAAAAAACCGGCGTCAAAGATTGCTGGGGAATAATAATCGATGCTAATTTTGACGAGGTCAATCTCTAGACGTCATTTACTAAAAATTGACCTAAAACTTGCCAAAAAATAACACTAATTATAGGAAAAATATAAAAGGATAGAACGCTTCCAGGCGCATTAATCTATTTCCAAAAAAATATTTTTTCTTCAATTTAAACCACACCACTTAAAAATAATTTTTACTAAATATAAAAATAATTACAACCTTCTTAAGGCTAACTGGCAGTGAGCACCATTGAAAAATAAAGAAAAGTATAGGCCAAATAAATCACGTCTAGGGATTGTCATTCCCAGCCATCTTTGATGCTGTTTTTTTTCGATCGTATGGTATAACAACTGCGTCGACATTTTTAGTAGACATTTTGTCTCTAATTTTTTACTTTTCTTATTATAAATTTGATAGATTTTGAGAAGTTATACAGAATGTTCTCTTGGGAACTAGAAGAGATACCAGGTCATTTAAATGGAGGCAAGTGCCGCAATTTAATGCTGATCAAAGTGTCACCTTAAAAGTGCAAAAAATCCCAATAATTTCCAAGATTTTTGAAAAAAAAAACGGATACTGGCAATCTTTTTTATTTTTTTATGATTGTTTGAATAGTTATATAATATGGCCCTGAACTTTTATGGATTTTAAGAGCTTCCAAGTTCCCAAAATCAAATTTAAAAAAAGTTCATGATGACAGCTCAAAAATGAAACGTCGTTTTGAAAATCTAATACCATTGTCTTGTAGAACTAAAAAAGTAGCAATTACATTGTGAATCCCTCAATCTATTCAAATTGAGTCATAAAAAAATAAAAATGGAATCGCCAATATTCGTTTTTTCTAAAAATCTTCGGAAGTCTTCGGAATTTTTAACTTGTAACGTGGCATTTTGATCAGCATCAAATTGCGCAACTTTGCTTCGATTTAACCGACCGCATATCTCTTCTAGTTTCCGAGATCTCAATGATGAGAATCGAATATGGGACACCCTGTTCATATTGTACTTTGTTTAGAAGGCATGTGTAACTTTTTATTATTTTAATTTTCAAATTATCTTTGACTTTTAGGGATTGAATAGGAAGGCTCAGATTACTTTAGACAACGTATATCCCAGACGAACTGGATCCAATGTTTTAATCAAAGATGTTGCCGAATTACAGCAAATGAATTTTTCGGAAAAACTGAGAAAAGTGACGGAGAAGAAAAATGCCCGGTTTGTCGATTATAGACCAGAAACAGGAAGCTGGGTTTTCAAGGTGAAAAATAATTTCTTTGTGGCTTTACCACAAATAATAGAAACAATATTCTAGGTTGATCATTTCTCCAAATATGGCTTTAACGATAGTGATGAAGAAAACGACCAAAATAATGCTGATGGGAAAAAGAAGCCAATTCAAAAACCGAAACCGTTGGAAATGGCACTTGTTCCTGTGGAGACAAAGTCCCATGCTGAGGAAAAATTAAAAGGGAGAGAAAGTAGTTCAACTGACACTTCAGCAAGGTATGAATATTTTTAGAAGGCATACACGGTTCTCAAATATTTAAAAAAAACGCCATACCTTACGTAAAAACGGCCTAATCTACAGACTTGCAAATTTGAGCTGAATGATATTTATTTTATTAAATGCATTTTGTATCTAAACAAAAATAAAAGTATTAAGGTTCAAAATTTGCTTCATTAATAGTTTTCATGCAATAATTAATATTGGCCTACTAATTTTGCAAATAAATTCATAAAGAAAAACGGCCTAATCCACATTTTTTAGTAATCAACATTTATTATACATATACTTTTGTCTAAATTTTAGTTCATTAGGTCTTTAGGCAAATATTTGCAGCAAAATATCAAAATATTGTTTGAAAATTAAACTAGTAGCGTTATTGGTTAGGTTAAAAAAACTTGGAATAAACTTTTTGAGCTTAGGCCGTTTTTGCGCTGATAGCCTCATTTATTCAAAACGTGTAAATTATTTTAGAACACAACCACCTGCAACCACTACTTTTGGGTTAGACAAAGACATCTTGCTTGACGACGAAGAACAGGAAGACAACGACCTATTGCATCACAGTATGTTCGTGGACGATACATCAGAAGAAGACTATCATCAGATCCCCACAGAAATGCCTCTAGATCTACATTTTGGCTCTTATAAAAACGCTAAAAATATACAGGTAAAATACTAATACCAGTCTAGATTTTTGTGATTATGTTTTGCTAGATGACCCGGCTAACTCTGAAGTGAAATGAGAGTTGGTCATCTTTTAATACAGATGACTGATACCAACCGATTTGACAGTTGTCATTTTTTCTCTATATTTTTGTTTAAATTTCGATTCAAGTATTTTCTGCTTATTTCATTAACTTTCTACATTTGAATATGCTACTTTGTCACCATTTTCCGCTGAATTTCTATTCTATAATGTGTAGTATGGCACTGATTTGTAGTGGACATCAATTATTAAGCTATAACTTTGAATAAAAAGATTATGGAAGGATATCAAATATCTTAGATCGAACGCGACGGGCTCCTAAAATGGCCGACTTAAATTCCAGTTTATCAGTATCGTTCTAATTTTATTCAAAACATTTAAAAATATGATGTAGGGTAGACTCAATAATTTGTTGTTTTATTTTAAGTTGTGAATACATTTTGGTAGTTATTAAAATTGTTATAAAAATATATAATTTTAATAAAAATAGATAAGTGATAATAATTATTTATTAACACAAACATCCGATACTGAAGCAGATAAGTCAAATTGACGTATCCAAATTCTTTGTCATCTAATCTTTGACAAGTACCTATAAAAGCAAAAATGCAAGAAAAATTATATAATTAATTAATTTTAAGTGAATTTCATAAATGATCGGTTTACTACACGTATGTATATTATATAGTCACTTACTAGCGAAAAGTTATTCCATTATTTCTCTCGATTTTTGACCGATATCTATCGCACGCTACACAACCAACTATTTTACAGTCTTCTTCGATAAATCACAATAGTGTCAATTTTCACTGTTAATTTAAGTTCTGCCACAATTTCCTTCTAGATTTACTACCTAAACAACTATCAGTAGTAGAATAAATAATAAAGAACATAAAATAAGTTCAATTAAAACTGACAAATCCAAAAAATTTCAAATCAAATTCAAATGTGTCAAATGAATCGTCAAATTGAACTGTCAAAGATCCCCACCCCTCTCTCCCTCTACCATACATGAATACATGGATAGCATTATACTCCATCCTTAATCTTTTTATTCAAAGAGCTATAATTAATTGCAAAAGATGGTGGAGTTCCAAACCTAATATATTTAAAAAGTAATGTTCTCTTATTTCTATTTTCTTCCGTGAATTTTTCGTATATTTTAATAGTTATTCTACTATATTTAGGTTATGAAATCAACTCTTTTTGCTGACGATGACCGGTCTTCTGAAGGAGCAGCCAGTCACGTTTCCATCATCAAACAGTATCTAGATCTGCCCGAAATGGAGGATATGACAAGGTTGCCATCATTAGAAGAAGAGAGTGTGATTAAAAAAAGGCCAGTAATTAGACCGAAAGTCGTGAAGGTTTTGAATAGTTATGATACACTGGGATGTAATACTTCAGTATTGCCAAACAGGTAATATTAGTTATTAAGTGTTTAACAAAAATATATTTTTTTCCTTTGACGTTTATAGGTGTTGCGTGGATATGGGAATGTTCAAAGGCAAATCTTTCAATGTCGGTTGGGCAAAAGGTTTTAAATTTTATTCTTTGGATAGAGATGAGAAAAATCTAAACAGCGAATTGTTTTTGAAACAGTTTGATGCATCCTCAAGTTTCGATCCATTAAAGGTACGTCTAAAATTTCTGATGCGATTTTTATGCAATTGTTACACAGGGTGTCCCAATATTCCGTGGACATAGAACTACTACGTATATTTGGAATCAAAATAAGTTCATTGAACCTAATTTACCTCTATATAAAAGTGCTTTGTTTATCTGTTAAACGGCCTACACACGTAACGATTTATCGTACTGCATGCAGTACGATATCCATCGAAACTGCCGCATATAATCGCAGCATGTGTAGGGAAATTGGATGGTTTGCAGTATGCAGTCGTCAAATCGTTTGCAGTACGGAGCTTCCGTAAAATATCGTATCAACGGGTTGTGTCTAGGGTGGGGTTTGAACGCAAGTGGAGTGTATTCCCTGCCGCAGCGCGCAGTTACGATATAAGTTTGATTTATTTTTGGTTTAATCAATATTATGGATTTAAAAAATAAGACGTTCTGGGAAGACTTTATTGATTTATATAGAGAAAATAGATGCCTATGGGATGTGAAATCAAAGGATTATGAAAATAAATTCGAAAATTGAAGAAAAAATATTTTTTTCTCTCCAGCAACCACTTTTTACACCATTTTCGCTTTTTGATTTCTTTTTTTTATCATCTTCATTTATCAGCAATACCGCAGCTACAAGCACGGCAGCTTTCTTCTTTGAAATTCTTGACATAACGGTAGCCCTTGTCGACGAAAAGTGAATAATCTGAACTGTGGCAGTACAATGTGTTGTATCGTGTGAACAAAAAATGGCTGTACTGCAAGCTGTACGATTTTCTTTAAGATCTGCAATTCAACGCGCAGTACGATAAATCGTTACGTGTGTAGGCCGTTTTAGAGGGCATCAAACGTTAAAACATTAAACACAATTGTGTTTATATAATTTTGAACTTTTAATGTGATTTTATTGACAGTCAAGAATAAGTTAGTTTCACTATCCTTTTCTTTTAATCCAATATATATGTTACTGTTAAGATCCAATGTCCTGTTAATGTCGACATTACTCGGTTAATCTCGAGAATAACACAACAAAACAACCAAAAACATAACTTGACTCAAACATTAACATGTTAATGTCGACATTAACCGGACATCGGACTGTAACATATACATAGTAGAGACAGTTAACACCTTTTATTTTTATGTTTTTTAGGACATATTAACTGATTCCCTTAAAATCGTTCTTGCTGAATCAACTTGCTACGTAAACACCGCCAAAATTCCGTTATTTAAAATCCTGAAAAGTGACGTATACCTCCGAAAACAAACTGAACTCTTTGAAAAGTTATCGACCCAATACAACAGCTCTAAAGCTAATTATTTGCATAGCATTTGGACGCTCTGCACCGCACTTTGGGGCCCAAGTGAGAACACTGTTGCCAACCGAAGATATTTATTAACCGAATGGCTTAAAACTACCTGCAATTCCGACGACATTACTTTAAACAAAGGTCCTTTTAAGTCTGCAGAGGACGCAGCTCAAATGATATTGGTCTATTTGTCGATTTTTAAAACCTTTGAAGCTGCAGGAATCGCAATTGATAATAAAATGCCAAATTTATCACTTTTGCTGTCTCAATTGAGCGTGGCAAACGATCCTAAAGGTTTTATTCAAGAGCAAATTGAGATTTGGTATAGTTCTTTGGCTTCTAACCATATATCCAAGGAAATGAAAAAGTTGTATTTGCTTTTGGCAGGAATACCTACAAAGGATGATGTGAATATTTTTGAGGGTATAAACTGGAAGAGAGCATTTGGAATGCATTTATGGTAAGCATATTTATTGATTAATATGTATTTTTCAGATTTAGGAATTGAGACTATTTATATTTGCTCTATCTTTGAATTACTACTATATACGTTTAATTTGATATAATCTGTTAAAATATTTAAAGAAACGTGCGCTATTATTAACCGCATATTTTACAAAAGATGTTTAGAAAGAAAATTTACAATAGAAAAAAATTAGAAAGTATCGTTTTATTAAATTTAATTTTTTATAGGTACATTAGTCCCAATGGTGCACCAATAGATAACGCTACCGAATTGTATACAACAGCCTTTGAAGAATATGGCTATGCTGAAAGGCCAAATCCTCCATACGTACAAGACTATGTAGAAGACGGACCTTTTGATATAATATACCATATTCTGCTTCTATATAAGTCAGGAATTCATAAGCTCGGCAGTGTTTTAAATCCGGCCACGCATACAAAGGATCCCTTAGACTACAGGCTTAGGTAATTCTTTAATCTTTTAATTATTCTTGATATACTTTTTTTCGCCTGGAAAACAGTTGAAATCTAATACATGCTTTGTGGATTATGTTGTTACTTAATCGAGAGATATGGCAGCGATATATGGTATTAAGGGAGAGTTATTTTGACAAATTTGACAGTTAAAGTGTCATGATAAGCGTTTATGCGCTATTATCATTACCGCACGTCGTATATTTACGTCGGGAATATGTGATGCGGTATTTTTTTGACATTTCGAAAACGTTATGTTGTAGCATGTATTGTGTGGTATGGATGGACTTTCAAATGTTTGGAAATTCTGTCATGCTATTGTTCCATGGCAAGAGTGTAAAATCTATTTTCATATACTGCTTTTTCACGCCGATTTGAGGCCGGATCAGATCGGATATCTCGTGAGTAAGAGTCCTTTTAAACACTCGCTAAGTCATTGACAATGATATGGCCGAGGACTGCCGTTCGAATCCTGCGTAAACAAAGTTGGCTGCGTCCAGATTAGCTTTAGCAGCAAAAAAAAGATACGTTAAGTTAAACATTATTTTGAAGTTTCTTTTGTCAATTGAGATACTGTATTTATTAAAAGATATTAATAAATGTCAATTAACTTAAAATATATTTTTCTTTGTTGGGTCAAAGTCATAAATTTATTATTTACGATTTAATGCGTTCTTATCGGAAAATTATGTAGTCTTCTTTTGATCCATTTACTTTAAAAAATGCCCATATAATGTCCATACACTTCGGTTATTTTGCTCGGTTTTATTTTGCGGGTAGACGTTGCAGCATTTTATCCGCGCCGTATTTAAGAACTATGAATTCGAGAAACAACTTGCTAGCAGTGGCAGGCGGTAATTGCGGTAAAAAAGAAAATGCAGAAAAGGAATAAAGAGAACGGCACAATGCGTCGAAAAAAAATACATATCGTCCTATTGCTGCCAAAAGTCACTAACTAACATTTTTCCGAACAACCAAATTCAATCACTAACTATGTTTTGAAGTGGAGAATCAATTGCAAAAATCATTAACTACGATTTCTGGCTATTTATGTTTTATTTTAATACCGAATAGTTACTAACTATAACATCTTTATGCAATGCAATTCATCTTTAGACGCATTTTTCTCCGAAGTAATAAAAAGTAAGTTAGTGACTTTTAGCAGCAATAGGACGATATAAAGAACTGTTCAAGCCACAGGCTTAAATTATATCTACAGGTTATGACCATACACTATCGGTTATGAACGTACGAGTAGAACCGAATGAGTTAAAATTGAACGAACGGGCAACGACGCCGACGTTTTTATCTGAACAGTTCTACGCGTTCGGTTAAAACTGTGCAAAATAACCGAAATATTTGGGGGCCTTTAAGATTATGCTTAAGCTTTTGTTTATACAGATTAGGTCACCCTAGATCCGTGGCCTGGATTTTAACGTATAAGACAGTGATGGAGACAGCTTAATGAAAGATCAGATGTATTAAAAAGAGAAAAAAAGTTGCCTTGATACATTTCTTCTATGCGGTATTGTCAGATTTTGCATCAAAATTTCGTTTTAGTAGTAAAAACTAGGCGTTTACCAAAATGTATATACTCGTATGAAGCGGCGAGAGTGTATGAAGCTTTTTATTTTGTCACTCTCTCTGTTCATATACCTATATTTATCTCTGTTGTATGCATCAAAATACAGACCACAGAAATAAAGGAACCAATATATTGGATATAATTAAACTAAAACTAATGAAATTACCGAAAAACAACAAAACTGAAAATTCAGCAATAAAAAGTTAGGTTAAGATCGAGTTCATGTACTGTCGGACTTCATAAATTAACGCTATTTTGTGTTACCATAACTCTAAATTAGACAAACGTAACTGTCAAAATAACGCCCGTGCTAATAGCGGAATTGTGGCGGTATTGGATTTTGCCATATAAGTGAATTTTAAGTTAACGTCTCCTTTTTGCTGTCAGGGCTAATTTGGATGGGACCTACTTTGATTACGCAGAATCCGAACCGCGGTCCTCGGCCATATCATGGTCAATGGCCTACCGTCCTGGCGAGTGTCTGAATCGACTCGTACTCACGAGTTATCCGATCTCAACCGGCCTCGAACCGGCGAGAATCGGCACTGTGTGTCAATAGATTTTATACTTTTGTCATTGAACAACAGTACAACAGAGTTTCCAGACGGTCACCCGTCCATCCGCTAGTATCGACTTACGTCGCTTAACTTCGGTGATCTAACGGGAATCGGTGTTTTGACGTAGGTGGGCCGTTGCCCTAACTTTGCCATATCTTTCTAATCTAATACGTATTTTTAATATTTTTTAGTTGGCTTCTTTTACAACTGTTTCTTTCGATCGACGTGGGTTTGATAGATACGTCAGAAAAGGATAAACTTAGCGTTAGTTTTTCAAACCAATTGGAACACTTAGGCCACTGGGAGTGGGCGATTTTTGTACTTCTTTACTTGGAAGACGATTCCGCTAAGAAAAACGCCATCATTGGCATTTTAGATCGCAATTTAACTGTGGATGTGGAAGATAATTCTCAAGACATTATCGATTTGCTGGTAAACGATATGAAAATTCCTACCGACTGGATACACTCTGTCAAAGGTCAGAAATCTTACGCTTGTGGGCGATATTTCGAAGCTTTCAATCACTATTCTCTAGCCGATGATTACGTAACGGCTAATCAAGTGTTCGTGGATCATTTGCTTTCTAATCTATTCATCAACGAACAGTTTGACGTACTGAGAAGTCTAACGGAAAAGATTAAACTTGGATCGCACGATATCCAGAACTGGAACAATGAGACAGCGCTTATTCTGGATTATTTGGATTTGTTAGAACAGTCTATTACATCAGACAACTTAATTAAATTGCAAGTCAACCTAGCTTCTATTAGTGAAAGGATAGTTAACTTTCCTTTAACTTCGAATCAGCATAAAGTTTGTGCTGCAGAGTTGTCAAAGAAATGTGTCTCATTATATAAAGAATTATGCGAGAAATCTCAAGCTACTTTACTGAAGGACTCTTTCACAGAATTTATTGAAAACCTGATTATGCCGCCTGATTTTAAACAAAACGAGGGATTATACTTGATACATAATTTTCACAATATTAGGATCTGTAGGCAATAAATATTTTTAAGTTTTTAAAATAAGAGATATACAATTTTTTTATTAATTTTTTGGTGAGACAGTTTACACATTTTTCCTATATATCATATTCAATATGTACTATAACGTTTTAAAACATGTTACATCTTTCTAATTAAATGTGGCATTTTGTTGGTAGTAGATAAAAACATGGAAAATGGTATTTGAACATTATAAATTCTTAATAGTTTTGCCTGAAAATGATTAATTTTATTTCTTTATATGCTTGTCGTTTAAGCCGTTAACTATGTATTTTTTGTGTTATAATAAAGACTGTAAGTTTCACGTTGTTTTTAATTTAACATAACACCCATTTAAGTCATTTTGGAAGTTGAAATATCATTTAGCAGGGGTCCATTTTGACGTCATTACTTTGCAATTATTGAACTATAGGACTATATCACCTATAGTCTGTCTAGCAAAAAATATATGACAGTGGCAGTTGGTTTTTGTTAATTTACTTTGGAAGTAGATAGTTTCAGCTGTAATTGTTTGGATGCCGTCTGTCGAAAATATATTTTTTCGATGTTCAGACTCGAGGACTGTATATATTCTAAAGAACTGTTCGATCGCGTCAAATCGCCGCTATCGTAGTCACCCGCCGCTATCGTAGTCAAATCGCCGCTTACGTCACGCAGGGACCAGCGCTCCACAGTGCGGCGGATGGTTATTCTAGCGGGACAAAATCTCAGGAGCGATATTATATGGTTGGTTGATGAAAATGTATCGAAATACAAAGAATATATACGACCAAAAAATAATTCATGCATTTTTATATCAATTGAAATGTCTACTATTTATTCTTATCAGTACACATTTTTGGCTTATTTCTAACCAAACGGTTTTGTCCCGCTAGATTTATCTTCCGCCGCACTGTGCGGTTGTCCGTCAAACGCAAAAATAACTGTCACTGTCTAAAATCTTTAGCGCGAACTTCAACTCGGTCCCTAGAAAACGTAAAAAAACTGACAGTACAGGAAGATAGGAATCGAACTATCCTTATCTCTATAGTATCCTTGGTTCAGACTAGCAAATATATGCTGAGTTACAATCTTGTTACAATCAGAGCACAGCCTGGACTATTTGGATTTTCTAGAACTGTCAATTATGTCAGACAACTTAATCAAATTGCAAGTCAAGGTGGCTTCCATTAGCTAAAGAACAGTTGATTCCTGTTAACTTCTCATCAGCGTAAAGTTGATGATTGTTGAAATTTAAGATGCTAACATTAGTATCTTAAGAACTTCAAACTTCTTCTTACTTCAAATAAAAAGTATAAATAAATTTATTATGTATTTCTTTATTAAAAATAAGATCATAATTCTAGAGGTTTTTAAAATACATTTCATTTTAAAATTAAATACTATTTATATTTTGACCTAAAAGACAGTAATTCACAGAAATTAAGAATTACAATTTTTGTTTATTCTATATTTTACAATCTCTTTAGATCAATCCTATATCTATATTTATAGGTTGGAGACAGTTTAAGGTACTTATTTTGATTATAACATTATATTTTTTGGTCATTTAAGAAGGCATTTTAAGTGTACAAATGGCATCGAAGATCATAAAAAAGAAATAAGTACAAAAAAGACCAAATTTGTAAAAATATAATTAAAAAGACGGATAGGTGTAAAAATATTCGATATGTTTTGGATTTTGAACGTAGTTTGGACTTAGTTTAAGAATTTGGTGATTAGAGACATGATTACTAAAAGTCCAAGTGACATTTTGATCGTGTCAACTCCGTTGCATTCGTTGGGTTTCTGTCCTTGGATGTAACTGCACAATGCTTTGACAAAATTGCTCTGAGCCAGGGAGTTATCTTGGGCTTTCAGTTGTTGGTTGAAGACGACTGTTGGGACGGATTTCAAAGGATCTTGTAAAGCTTTCGTAAGGGATCCAAGGTTTGCCAAATAGTTTGATCCTGAAAAAAAAAATAGTTTTATAACCATATCATTAGAAAACCGTAGTTCCACTTAATTTGAAAAGACCGACTCTTGTTATAGTCGGCCTAACCGTGACAGTTATGTCTGTCATTTTAATATATGCACAAGTAAATTGTATTTTCTATCATTTTATTTTTCTCAGATAAAAAACGAGATTTGGTATGTTAGTACGTGATTAGTATTCGGATTGATTGACGCATTCAATTATTTGCGGTCACTTCCTCTGTTTCACCGGAAATTACTTCTTCTTCTTTTAGTATTTTTTTTATTTTATTTGATAGAAAATGACATTATGAATAGAAATATATATCATATTATGTCAACTTTTGACATTTTTACTAAAGATAGTATTTTAAATTTTAATCTAGATGGATGTGTTCATAACGACAATTATTTGACTCGAAATTAGTATAAGTAAAGTCTCTCCAAAAAAATCCTATTTGATTTTTTTTTCCACTGCAAATATTTATATTTTGACCTAAAAGACGGTAATTCGCAGAAACTAAGAATTACAATTTTTGTTTATTCTATATTTTTCAACCTCTTTAGATCAATCTTATCATATATCTATATTTATAGGTTGGAGACAGTTTAAGGTACTTATTTTGATTATAACATTATATTTTTGATCATTTAAGAACGCATTTTAATTGTACAAATGGCATCGAAGATCAACGGTTTTTGTAGACGTATCTGTTTTAAAACACTAAAGTGTTCTCGAATAGTTGAATTTAAATATTTTAAATAGTTTTTTTCTTTATTCTTTGTATTTTTTTTGCTTCCGACGACGAAAAGAGATACACTTTCCGAAACGTTAAGCATTTTTTTGTTCGTTAGGCAAATTTGTATATCTTTAAAAACTAAACTTGCAGTGTACCGAGCAATTATAATCCCCACCATGTTAAGTGGGAGTGAAACCTGGGTGCCGTACCGCCGACACATGAACGCATTAAACAAGTTGCAACAGAGACACCTTAGACAACTCTTAAGAATCCGGTGGTTCCATCATGTCTCAAACGTATCGGTCCTTGAAAAAGCTAACTGCCAAAGTATTGAAGTCATGGTTACAAAATCCCGCTTAAGATGGGCTGGTCACGTATGCAGAATGCAAGAAAACCGCATACCAAAATCTCTGCTTTACGGTGAGCTTGTAGACGGTAAGAGGAGGCCGGGTGGACAACTGAAAAGGTACAAGGACATTTTCCACGAAAACTTAAAGGGGATTAACATGCAGAATGAGTGGGAGGAAGCAGCTCACAATAGAACTCAATGGAGAAGAGTTGTAAACTCACTTAACAGCGACAACCAAAAAGTAAAGAGGCAACAAAGCAATGAGATTTTTGAATGTCCGGAGTGCGGTAGGCAGATAACATCACGTATCGGGCTTTTCAGTCATAGAAAAGCTCATGAAAGAAAGCGCCTTGCGTGACCATCTTCTGATGTGTGTCGAATACTCGTCAGCCAGTAATGGCTGTATGTATGTATGTATGTATATCTTTAAACCTACAAGTAGTTTCCGTTTGGAATTAACGCAGAAGTGTTTACATAAAATAACTATTTTATTTTGTAGATTTTCTTGCAGTGGCGAAAAACCCATATAGGATTTTTTTGGAGAGATGAATCCGCCACATACAGTACATCTGCTGGATCTATGTCTATGAAGGAATGCGGACAAAAAACATTTAAATAAACAGCAATATATTTTATACGTCGATTTGACGAGTGCGTCACCGCAAATCGCTCCGCCCACTCATTTTATTGGCTACTTGCAAATTTGTTGAATTTTTATTGATGGGACGCGTCGTCTATTTTTTTACGAAAAACATCGAGAGAATATCGTTTCCCCTCTCACGGATACCCCGTAGCTACAGAACGGATAGACGTACTGTAGGTATAGACATTTTTTATAAATAAAGTATGTGGTAACAAATTATTCCTAAAAAATGCATTTTCCAAATATGCTAATGAGCCACCCTCGTTCCATTTGTAAAATTGACTTATAATTAAGAACACGATTGAAGCTTTTTTAACTAGGAAACGCTACGAAAAATATTAGACTATTAAGGGTGGCTGCAACGACGACGTCCCGTAATTCTTCTGTTAAAACATAACAATTGGTTTTTATATATAAAAACCAGCTGTTACGTTTTAACTGGTTTTTAGCTGTTTTTTATATATAAAAACCAATTGTTATGTTTTAACAGCAGGATTACGGGACGTCGTTGCAGCTACCCTAAATGTATTTTTTCAATGCTCCCTGATTAAAATTAGTGAGAAACCTTTTATATGCACGCGATTGGTGTTTTTACTGAGCACCATAAAATCTGCAAGATATACGCTAAGATATATTTACCATCAGTGTGTCCAGCACAATTTTCAATGATGTTCAAATTAGTCACTTGGTTGGATTCGGCACATTCCTTGGTTGGATAGCTGTTGGGATCTGTCTTCTGGCTGGCCTTCTCCATTAAACAGTTTACAAAACTAGTTGCAACTCTGAAATTACACAATTTAAAATAAAAAATGATTACTTAGCAAAAAAACGACAAATATAATTAATTTTGATATTTTAAAGTATAGGGAGTCTTGGCTTAACCGCCAGGCCCAAGAGGAGACCACCTCATCAAAAACCTAAATCCTACGATGGCGGAACCAGGTCAAAGGGATGCGCGGCTAGATAGAAGACTAGCCTCTACTGGTCTCAACCTTGGGGCACCAGGGGGCAACCTCAACCTATTCTCGTCTCTTGCGGGGCTCTGTAAAAGTGGACCGACTTACGCTTGCGGTGTATCATGGGTGTATCACCAGCTTTGTCAGAACTTCAATGTAAGGACATCTACGTAGGGGAAGAGCTAGTTACATCAAAACCAACAGTAAAATATCTTGGCATCACCATAGACAGTAAAATGACCTTCTGAGAACAGATAAAAATGACCGCAGTCAAGGCCGCTAAAGGTGTCACAGCACTGATTAGACTTATGGCCAACACCAGTAGACCCAAGTCAAGTAAACGGCGTTTATTGATGTCAACTGTTCAATCGGTCCTTCTATATGGCGCTGAGATTTGGATAGTAGCTCTCTCAAAGGAAAAGTATAGAAAACGTTTGGCTCAAGTGCCGAAACAGGCAGCACTCAGGGTAGCTTCATCTTACCGCACAGTTTCCGAACCTACAGTGCTGGTTATCGCAGGGATAGCATCTCTATAGCTCTTCTTGCCAGAGAACGGTATGCCATATACCAAAGAAGAACCGAATTGAACCAGAAATAAGTTAAAAAGGACGAAATGAACAGGACTTATGAAGCATGGCAGAGATTGTGGGAAGAGGAGAGTAGGGGTCGCTGGACTGCGCGACTTATTAAATCGGTGTAAACCTGGACACAAAGGCAACACGGTTTCTTAGCGGCCACGGCTATTTTTTATCATATTTTGAAAAAATGTGAAAGGTAACATCACCAGTATGCCTTTACTGCGAAGATTATGACGATGCAGAATATACGTTTTTTACATGCGACAGGTCGTGGAGCGCATACAGAAGGAATATCGAGGAAGAATTTGAAGGGCAACTATCCCCTGATAACGTCGTTCAAAAAATGCACCAGAGCCCAGAAAACTGGAACCGCATATCAATGTAAGTATGTGGAAAAAATACTGAGGGGAAGAAAAGCGACATGGACAACCGTTGATACCATAAACAGAGGCGAGCCCGAGGACGATAAAAAACCGACTTAGTCTCGAAGTAATGTGCTAAACGGTTCCGAACGAAGTCCAAGACGTAAAAGGAGGTGTTTTAGTCGGTATTTGTTAAGAGAGCCCGACACTTCGTGCGTAATTTGCATTTCACCTCCTTACAAAAAAAACATAAAGACATTGATTTGGCGAGTCACCTAGAGAAAGGATGGCCATAGTCAGGTCCTCGTAATAGGAATTGCCCTCAAATCCAAGAAGCAGGCAATAGAGAAAGAAAGATATATCCTCTATTATAGATCCGGGATAACACCGGTATCAGGTTTAGGGTTGACCACTTTCAAACTAAAAAATAGAGGACGGGAGGGTAAAAAATAAGCACCATATGCGAAAAATTTTTTGAAAATTCGCCCAACTATTGTCAATAATTTAGCCAAAAGAAATTTAAATGTTATGCGGTTGTCGGTCTTTCTTATTTCTTATAAATATTTATACATAAAACTTGTTAAAATATATAGAATAAACGATTTTTACAAAATTTTATTCCAAAAATAATTAAACATAAAAAAACTAACAAGAAAGACACATTGTTGTCTGACTAACAATTTTATGCTTTTGAGTTTGGTGTGTAAAAAAGAGGGATTTTTCTATACATGAGAGAAAAGAGGACCAAAAAGAGGACCGTCCTCTAGAATAGAGGATGGTTGGCAACCCTAAGTTAAAGAGATGGAGAAAATGGAGACAGATCCTCCAGCCTCCACCTAAAGGGTACCTCAGCCGAAGACAAGCTCCTCGATTGTGAAGGGCAAAGAGGGTTAAACCCCAAACCGTGGAAGGGTGTATACCCTTATAGGAAGTAGATGTTCACTCCTCGTAGGATGAACAGTTGATGTCAGAGGAGGATGGGAAATACCCTGTCCCCTATAACAGGAATCTCCATGTATGATGAGTTATAACTCAAAAAAGGTAGATACAATAAATCTTTAAGTTCGCGGTGACTAACCCTTCTTCCACTTATTTTACATTCATGTGTAAACAAATCTTACTTGTTGTATCCAAGCCCTTCGGTCCTTCTTCCACCGTCAATCAGCTTAAGAGCGCATGCTTGAATTTTGTTACCGTAACATTCGTTTGGACCATGATGACAAGTGAATTCGTACTCGTTTGTTTTGAACTCCATCTGAAAGAGGAAAAATAAAACGTTCTATGTAGTAATTCTGACGCTAAACCAATTAATCTATTAAAAACGCATCTTGGCCTATTGAACTTATTAACAATCAAGAAAACTCGCTAATTCTTTTTTTATCATTTTTTGTCAATTTTTGTGTAACCAACACTGGACTGTATTTGAAAAATATAAAAAATATAGTGATATTGACCCTAATTTTAATTCTTATTTAATGATGATAGAGTAAAACAATATGGGGAAATACGCAGGTAATGTTGCAATTATTAAAAAATGAATCACGATAGCTTTATCAGCGGTTGGTTAAACGGTGTGTTAATTAGTTACATGTTTCAGATAGAAAATATTTACGTTTTGTATACGAACGTAGGTATACTTTCTAAATACATATTTGTTATAACTAAAAATATAGAATATATAGACAAAACTTATATACCGGGTGCGTCTCAAAAGTGGCTCACCTCTATTACTTTTATTTTTTCAGATAAAAAAACGAGATTTGGTATGTTAGTATATGACATAAATTAGGATTGATTGATTTATTCAATTGTTTTTGGTCACTTCCTGTTTCACCTGAAATTACTAAAACTTTAGAATTTTAAATGACACCCTTGGTATTTTTTTACTCTATTCGATAGAAAATGACACTCTGAATAGAATGACATATCATATGTCAACTTCTGACATTTTCGCATATGGTTTATTTGAAATTGTAGCATGCTGTTCATAACGTCAATTTGACTCGAAATACCAAGTGTGTGGTATCAAATTATTCGTAATAAAATGCTTTTTCCAAATATGCTAATGAGCCACCCTCGTTCCTATTGAAAAAATTGAGATATGATTAAAAATACGATTTGGGACAGTCCAGGACAAGATACTAAAAACATCATACAACGAATCAGACCTATTTTTCCAAGGCTCCCTTATTAAAAATTAGTGTTTTTAACATAGCCATGCATGGCACTCTAGATTGAAATTTAAAATACAATTTTTTTAAGTGAGAATGTCAAAAGTTGACATATTATACGTCATTCTATTCAGAGTACCTATCATTTTCTATCTTTCTATCGAATAAAGTAAAAAGATACCGAGGGTGCCATTTAAAAATCAAAAGTTATAGTCGTTTCCGGTGAATCAGGAAGTGACCAAAAACAATTGAATACGTCAATCAATCCTAATATATGTAATATAATAACATACCAAATCTAGTTTTGAGACGCACCCGGTATATAGTATTTTAGACGAAACGACAAAACATATACTACCAAAAACATTTGAAATTCATATTTTTTCGGTAAATGTTCTATTTATTTCCATTTACTACAACTACTATAATTTATTTATTTTTTATTTTAAGTTTATAAATAATAGTATTAAGTAAACTTAATTATACAAAACTGTATGCTTCCTATTTTAAAGTATTTGTCGTGGTATATACGATACGATAAAAAAACGGCGTCAGAGATGACTTTAAAATACGTCACTGATCGTCATTTTCAAGTCAACTGCACGCCGTTTTTTTTGGATCATTCGGTATTTGTCTAGACCTTATTTTTCAATAAGAAAGTAATTATATTAACAGTTGGAGACCAGACTAATTTGAGACGAAACCATATGTTGACAAATATAGAGCGGTTTGGGTAGCAAGAACATATGGGACTTTCTCCATTACGTCTGAAGAATATTACTAAAATAGTTATTATAATATTTATTTTTACTTTTTAAAACTTTATGTATTTGATATCTATAATATACTTTTATAGCGGATGTATTTTTTCAAAAAATACTTTACACCTTATTTTTAGAAGTAATGTTGAAGGATATCGTGCTAAATATTCAAAAAGAATAACCTTCTATCGCGTGAATTCACGTGATTTGATTATTTGATTACATTAGAGTGATTTAATGCAATATAGTCGACGTTTCCATATAAAACATCAAAAGGAGACTTTATGAGCTTAAGGAAAACGGAGGATAGTTATTTGAATAATTCAGCATTGCTTCAAATGTTTGTGTCTTTTATTATTTTCAAGAATTCTCTTTAACATATTAGATTCTTGAGCTTAAAATAGGCGTAATATTTCTAAATTGGTGCTTAGTCTGAATGTTAGATATTTATTAAGTCGTTTAAATAAGTGCAAATATTTTTAGGGTGGTATATTTCGACCCCCAGAAACAGGTCTGCGAAATTTTTCTCGCGATTTTTTTGTTAAAGCATATTATCTTGATAATATTGCAACATGTGTAGTACATAAAATTATCAAAAAGGTGATTTGTACTTATTTCCACATCACCCTAGAGGTAAAGTATAAAGGTATATATATAATAAAGTTGCGGATTTTAAATCTTGAGAACTGTAAATCCTTTTGCAAGTATTACCCTGTTTTTCTTTTAAAAATTTGATATCTTTGTCAGAGGGAGAAAGTGCAATCAGAAGAACTAGCAGGTCAATATCTTGCCCGACTATAACAGTTGTATTGCAATTATTGGACTTTTCTATAGCAGTTTGAATTATTAATAAATCGGCGTCATCCGCAGCAACAAATACTTCTATACCTTCTTTCCTAAATTAGTTTACTAGTTCCAAAGATTATACAGATTATAATCTTTGTTTTTTCTTTATTGTTTTTCGTGGTTCCAATTTTCGGAACGGGCACTAGTTAGGTGACTAGTTTGCGCACATAGCACGCCCACTTATGGCGTCTAAAATTGTGCACAGCGCCTGACCGGCACAGTTATTAGAGAGATATCGGAAAACCGAATAGCGTCATCCAGTATTTACGCGTACTTTATCGTGGTTACGACATGCGCGAGTCAATTTTTAACGCAACACCCACTAATAACGTTACCGCCTGACGTAATTTGCGGATCAATTACACCAAGCGCTCTTTCTAAATAACCTCTGATAACGTTTAAAAATTGCTTAAAAAAATGGGCATGTGCGGGTATTTGACAACCAGAGCCGGCCGGCGAGATCTTTTATTTTAGGTTTTATGTTTGAATTGTTTTGAATTATTGCTTTAGTTTTATTAGGTAATTTGACATTTAAGTAGCTGGGATTAGTTTTAATTAAATAAATATGGCTCAAAATATGGATTTCACCTCTTCCAATACTAAAGAACCTATAAAGAGTCTTAGGTTTACAGCAGATGACAACTTAGCCTTTCTAAGAGAATTTGTTGCTTGTTGCCCTAAACCCACTGGCAGACGTTGAACAATAAAGCACTGGAAATAAGCACTTTAGCCCTTTAGTTTTAAAATACCTAGTAAACAAAACAATTTCAAAGTTTTAAATTCAAAGTTAGGTTAAGTTTACATAGCGGACGCGACGCGATCAGAATTCTTTCCGATCCGATAACTATAAATGAAGAGAGTTAATACCACCTCACGTAAAGGAAATAATACCTGGCCTTATTAACGTCCATGCACGCTATTCGGTTTAGCGATATCTCTCTATTACGCTGTTTATTGTTATTTTACGCGAGTTTATTTTTGCGCACAGGAAATTTGACTCGTTTGCACATCGTCATAAAAAACAATTTTCGTACCACGAATTAGGGACAAGATTTTTATCTGTATACTTATAGGATACTTAATCTGTGCTAGTTCTGTGATTAAGGACAGCTTCTTTGAAGTAGCCGCCTCTGTCGTTCTAGGCTCTTTGTGCTGTTTTCATTTTCCATATAACCATCGAACACGACAGTTACTCTATTTCCATAATGTTTTTTAATGTAACTAACGTAAGCTTTGTAAACAATGTTAAATGTCCCTTTTTTTGGCCATATTACGCGGCGAAGCAAATATCCATATTATCTTGATAATATTGCAACATGTGTAGTACATAAAATTTAGAAAAACAAAAACTCAGGAAAAACTCCAGCAGTTCTCAAAATTTAAGAAAAAATCATATTTTTTAAATTTTCAAAGTAAAATAACTCTTAATTAACTCGTTATTTTGGACTTGAAAAACGGTAAAGAGAAATTATTTTTCTTTTCTCGAGATCTACCAGCACTGAAAATATTTGCACTTAGTTGAGATTCACCCTGTATAGGTTTATTTATGTATTGAAATTATTTGGAGCTCTACAGTGTGTTTCAAAAAAGTTATACATATCAAAATTGCATTTTTTAATGCAATATCTTATACACGGTGTGCCATATAAGTATACACACTAAAGACAACACAGTAGGTACAAGGATTTTGTAAATCAAAATAAAATTAGAGAAAAGCTGCTTCTTGCTGAAATCTACAAAGTCACGATTAGAAATGAAAAGAAAAAATGATTATTGCAACATTTTATGCTGAATCCAATTTTGTAGAGAAAAATGGGGTTGCAATTTAAAATGTCTTTCTCATTATTTTTTTGGACACCCTCTATAAAACAATATTTTTTTGGATATGCACCTTTATAATCCATGCAACATTTATACAGGTTGAGTCTTAAATAAATGCAAATATTTTTAGGGATAGTATATTTCGACCCCGAAACACGATTTTCGCGAAAATATTTTTAAAAATTCGGAATGTTTTGAAAATTTTGTTAGTTTTTAGTTAAAAAACATAATCTATTGATAATATAGCAATATAGATAGTAGATTAAATTTACAAGAAAGAAAACCCAGAAAAGTTCCAGTGGTTCTCAAAATTTAAGCAAAAAATCATTTTTTTCGGAAATTTTCAAAGTAAAGTAACTCGGTTATTTTGAACTTATTTGACAAACACTAAAGAAAAATAAATGTTTATTTTTATCGAGATTTACCAGCCCTAAAAATATTTGCACTTATTTAAGACTTACCTTGTATAAAACATTTTTTCATATCTGTGATCAACAACGACGATATTGGATTTCCTCTCTCTAACGAGCCACCCTATTAGGTATAATCCAGTAATATTACGATTTAAACCCGACAAAATTCAGAAAGTTTTGAAAATTGGTAAGTATGTTGGGGATAGCATGAGGATTACTAAACCGAAAAGTTCCCACTCCTAAATAGTGTGCGTCATCCCCCAGGACATCGTTTCTACCCCCATTTTGAGTTTTTTTTTAGATAATCTCGGCAACGGTGCAATTCTTGACAAAAATACCTATATAGGAAATTGTTCTTCATAAAATTCTCTATCAAAAAGATAATTACACTTTTTTTCTAAAGTAAATAATAAAGTGGCAAATAGGGCGCAAATATAAGGGTTGGTTATGACTAGCACTATCTGCAGTTCAATCTAATTTAAAGTTTAATGTTTAAGGTTAACAAAAAGCAGTAACCACTAAAGCATATTATCTTGATAATATTGCAACATGTGTAGTACATAAAATTATCAAAAAGGTGATTTGTACTTATTTCCACATCATCCTAGAGGTAAAGTATAAAGGTATATATAATAAAGTTGCGGATTGTAAATCTTGAGAACTGTAAATTCTTTTGCAACTATTACCCTGTTTTTCTTTTAAAAATTTAATATCTTTGTCAGAGGGAGAAAGTGCAATCAGAAGAACTAGCAGGTCAATATCTTGCCCCACTATAACAGTTGTATTGCAATTATTGGATTTTTCTATAGCAGTTTGAATTATTAATAAATCGGCGTCATCCGCAGCAACAAATACTTCTATACCTTCTTTCCTAAATTTGTTTACTAGTTCTGTGATTAAGGACAGCTTCTTTGAAGTAGCCGCCTCTGTCGTTCTAGGCTCTTTGTGCTGTTTCCATTTTCCATATAACCATCGAACACGACAGTTACTCTATTTCCATAATGTTTTTTAATGTAACTAACGTAAGCTTTGTAAACAATGTTAAATGCCCCTTTTTTGGCCATATTACGCGGCGAAGCAAATATCCTCCATCAATGACATACTCGCTGTTTTCAAAAATATGGTCTCGTTTTGGAACTTTATTGACAATCTGGTATAAAGCTGCTTTATTAGTTTTCCTCATTAGGCCTTTCGCATCGAAAAGAGAAAGAGTTACTGAAGCTAATTCGAAACAAAAGCACTTTTTTAACTCCAGGCTAGAAAGAACGGTGCAAATAATTCTTTGAAATAGTAATGTTGAGTCAACTTGAACATCATTGGCATTAATTTTCATTGGATTGCTAAAACTAGATATCGGCTTTAGACGATTTGCACGACGCACTTTTAAACTTTTAAATAAAATCCCATCTTTAACATTTGATAATTAGTGGATTAGGCTACAGGGGATACCACTTTAAAAAAAACGCATCAAATACTTTACCTCTAGGGTGATGTGGAAATAAGTACAAATCACCCTTTTTATAGGGGTAGAGGAGTGTGAGAGAAAAACGTATATTAAAATCCTAAGTATAATTTAGTGGTTACTGCTTTTTGTTAGCGTTAAACATTAAACTTTAAATTAGATTGAACTGCAGATAGTGCTAGTCATAACCAACCCTTATATTTGCGCACTAGTTGCCACTTTATTATTAACTTTAGAAAAAAGTGTAATTATCTTTTTGATAGAGAATTTTATGAAGAACAATTTTCTATATAGGTATTTTTGTCGAGAAGTGCACCGTTGCCGAGAAAAATTTTTATTAAAAAAAACTCAAAATTGGGGTAGAAACGATGTCCTGGGGGATGACACACACTATTTAGGGGTGTGAACTATTCAGTTTATTAATACATATGATGTCCTGATTATTTCCATCAATTTTGAAAACTTTATGAATTTTGTCGGATATATCACAATTTGAACCACAATATTACTGAACTAGTATAGAAATGATAATTTTTAATACATATAATTATTACTCACCTGATGAACGCTTGTAGTTTATTTGTAATAATTTATACTAGACATTATAAAATATGAATTCAACAAAAAATGGTGAGAAAATAACATTTTTCCAATGTAGATAGATCTTGAGATACATGGAAAATACTTCTATCGAAATACAAACAAAAATAAGAAAACAAAATACAGGAACTTTCAAATCGATTGGTCAGATTGAAACAGATTTTGAAGATTCAAGATTGACAAGAAAAAAAACTTTCATTGTAGGCGGTACGGTTAGCTGTATCAGCTAGTTTTCCTGTATAAATAATATTTTTATTTTTCTGTATTTTATGCTACTTTAGCACCATTATTTACTACAATTAACAAACAGTACCTTGTGTTTGGCTACTTTGCGGTTTTTTTCTGTTTCAATCGAAGTAAGAATTACATTTTTATTACAAGGTTCTTCTTTATGAGGTATTTAAACCATGACTAAGGTCTTTTCACTAAGGTTTTGCGGTATATATTATTTGTTATTCATTATATATTCAATTGCTTTTTGTTTACATGGCAAGAAAGTCAAACGTACTTGACTATTAAATAAATTCTAATATACCTGTAATTACCCTATGAACTAACCCGAAGAATTTCAAAATTTCTTATTAAACTTTTTTATCACACTGTATATCTATACAAAGATTTATCTCTTGTCCCTGCATGGTTTAATGTAATTTCAGTAGGTAGATATACTTAATTGCCTTTAGTCATATCCTAGTTAAACTCAACTTTCCAGTTACATACAGTATGGTATGTAATGATGTAAGTTAAGAGCTAGTGAACTTAAGGCGTGTTAATATTATTTTATGTTGTAAATAAAACTATACAGGGTGAATATGCGGTTTATAACATAGCACGTTTTAAAAATATGTTTTTATAAATATACTAGTAGAAGTAGGTAATAGATTATACAATACGATCGAAAAATAACGGTGTTAAAGATGGCTGGGGAATGACAATCGATTATAATTTTGGCGAGATCAAGCTCTAGACGTCATTTGCTTGGCCCGTACTCTTCTTTATCTTTTAATGAAGAAGAGTACGTTTTTTTAAGAAAGTTGTAATTTATTTTTATATAGAGTAAAAATGATTTTTAAATATGGTGGAGTTTAAAACTCGAGAAAAAATATTTCTTTGGAAATAGATTTTTTGTGTATCTGGAAACGTTCTATTCATTTTTTATCTTTCTATAATTGGTGTTAATTTTTGACAAGTATTATATAAAATGACGTCTAGAAATTGAACTCGTCAAAATTATCATCGATTCTCATTCCCCAGCTGTCTTTTTTTTCGGTCTACAGTAGATAGTAGATTTAATATTCCTCTGTGTATTTTATCATTCAGTGGATAACAAAATTAACATGTTCTCATTTGTATAACATTCAGATTAAAATCTAGTTTAATGCGATATAAACATCAACAAGAAGTTTCTTTAGTTGTTCATCATAGAATTTCAATTATAGTGCCAAGGTCGCATGCCATCAAAATGAAATCAACTACTTATAAGATATACTGAAAGGAAATAGTAATTTTAAAAACTCTTATTTATCAATGCCATTACTTACCGTGGTTTTTCCATATGGAACTAACGTTAGATTCACGTATTTTGACAGATTTCCTTGGAGTGCTGGGTAAAGTTGTTTGGTAATGAATGCTCTGGAATCTGGACATAGAGATTCATAGTAAACTGCTACATTAACCTGAAATAAAAACATATATTTTAATGTTATAAAGCAAAAATTAATAAACATTTTCTTTTGAAATTAATAATACTCGACGAAAAAAAAATATTTTGAAATTATTACAAATATGGTAGAAATAATTAATAATTATGAATTGTAATATCCTCTGTTTCATCATTCTTTACTGTGAATACCAATCAATGTTGCATTAGCATAAATTCACTCATAACAATTATTGTATTAAGTAATCTTAGTAAATTTTGTCATAGCTTGGCGGCATTTGGCGCAAACTTTTAGTTGTAACCTTAAAGGTGCGTTTACACGAGCCAACTGATCGAGTCGAATCCATTTCGTATGAATCTAATATGGCCGTCTAAACACGATAAATTATGTCAACTGATCAAATGATTGATTTATGTCTCAGTTGACTGCGGTTTAATTTTTGGCGTTTAAGTTGTGTTATGTGAAAGACATTTAAACTTTCAGAATCATTTAAACTTAAAAAAGGGTAATTTCAATTTCTAGCTTTAGCCCAGTACAAAGAGCGTTACGAAATAATGTGTCTTGTTTTTTAATTCTGGGGGCAACTTTTTCCTAACAAAAAATTAATTTAAATTAAATTAGTTTACATCCACCCATTCGGTATATGTGTTTTCAGCATACCAAGACCTTAACTTTAAAAACCCTATTTACGACTTCGCTGTAAAATCAATAGGGGAGCCAATATATTTAACTAGTTCAAAATCTGCATGGGATTTCCTATGGTTCCAAAGACGACGCACCACCTGGTATGGGAGAATATACATTCTATTTCTGTTTATGTGAAATGTTGTGTGACCTATTCCTTATTGAGCAGAATTTTCCTGTATACTCATAGACGTTTCTGGGGTCGAAATATGCTACCCTTAAAAATATGTGTACTTATTTAAAACTCACCCTGTCTAACGACATGGTTGTTCAGTGATGACTGTGATGATGATGTGTTCAAATATACATTGTAGACAATAGCAGATCGAGCCATGTGTTCAATAATACCTTATATTAAGTATTGTGAGTCGTGAGTCATATGCTTAGCAATTTTATGGTATCTAATAATATACATAATATGTGAAAATACGTGTAAATATGAATAATTCATTCGAAAATAACATTTATTGCTACTTCTAGCAACAGGTAACGAAAATTAACAATAGACTTGTGTGTTCGTTTCTATGACAATATTTTTTCAATTGACTCAGTAATTGTCACTAATAGTGCTAAAAAGAATTAATTTTGGACTTTGATTGTCTTTATTTTTATAGATGAGTATGTATTGTACAGCGTCAGCCAGATGAAAGTAATCAATTTCATCTTATCTGCAAAATTGCAAAGAACAAAACTTGTCAATTGACTCATACCTATAGATTTTGTCAAAATGTTTTAATAGATGAAATTCAATTGTGTATTTTGTGTCGTATTTTTAATGTAATACATATTTTCTCTAAAATAATAATAACATTTAATTATTTTCCGAAAATTAAATTAAAATACGATACTGCTTTAGATGTATACCTGCATTTATTTACATTATGCGTAAGTATACATAATGTTTTACTTTACCTGTCAGTTATGAGTATTTGGGCCGAAAGAAGTATTTGGATCGAAAACTTAAATACTCCGAACCAATCGGCACCTACTCCAGCATCTTTCAAGCAGAAATCTACACTATTGAATGATGCTTACAACTTATCTTAGATAGGAAGGGTCGGAAACAAGTAATATCCATCTTATCCGATAGTCAAGCAGCCTTAAACATTAAGGGTGGCTGCAACGACATCCCGTAATCCTACTGTTAAAATATAACAATTGGTTTTTATATATAAAAACCAGCAGTTAAGTTTTAACAGCAGGATTATGGGACGTCGTTGCAGCCACCCTAAATCGACCAACTCAGTAATTATCAATTCGAAAGAATGCCCATTGAAGCTGAACAAATTAGGTAAAAAAATAAGTAAAGTCCTTCTAGTTTGAGTGCCAGCACTGCCAGCCCACCAAGAGATAGAAGACAATGAAAAAGCAAACGATCTAGCTAGAAAAGGAGCGAACATTCCACGAACTGGACCAGAATCATTCAGCTTCCCAAGTGGAAACCAACTTATAGCGGAACTCAAGAACCTGGAAGACAAAAATGTAACAAAATAAATTGGCACCGGGAGGCACGTATACCCGCCCATACTAAAATATGTTAATAAAAAGTTAGTAGGCAGTTCTTTTAGTTTCAATTATCTCAAAAACTGCGACTTTGACTGACTTTGATGTTATTACAAATTTTGTTGCAAATATTATTCCTAATTTTAAATTGAAAACCGCGTTTCGCTAGCTACTGTAATTTTGGAGTTACGATTTTCTATAATTTTTAACCCCCTCCCAAACCCCCTTCCAGTCCCTCACCCCCACTAAAAACTAACGGCCAAATTCTCGGGTGCCATAGTATTTTTGTGCCAAATTTGGTTAAAATCGGTTTAGCGGTTTTTGAGTTATCGTGTTACAGACGGACAGACAGACAGACACCATGAAAATATTTTGGATAACTCATTTTGAGTGAAATTAAAAAATTTTTTTTTGCCGATCTTAATAGCCTACTATACCTGTTGGTATGGTCGGCTAAAAATAAATATTCAAATATTTAATGGTAATGATTTAATAAGTTCTTTTTATTTTTTTTTCGCAAAAATGCCATATTAATTGTCTCATTAAACACTAAGCTGATTAACTTAATAATTGCACTTTTACCATTAGTCAGAAAAACAAAGATTAATAAAACTGTTTTTGCGATACTATAGTTAATTTTCTAAAAATAAATTGAGATAATAAAAAAAATATTTAAATAATTAAATATATTAAAAATAGTGATATCAAAATCAAAAATAATAAATATCTAAGTGATAAAATATTTGTTATTTATTGCTGTTTTTAATGCGAAAAAATATTGTTAATATTAATAATATTACGGGGATGACAAAATATTATAAGTTAATTTAAAGAATGGTGGTACATCGTGCATTTTTTTAATTTTCCTTTATATTTTAGAAAACTTTTTAGAACAGCGTATTTTACCGAAATTTAAAAGAAAATGCACGATTTTCAACTTCTTGTTTTAGCGAAAAAAAACCTCATAGACGTGTTCCTGGGGTCGAAATATACCACCCCGAAAATATTTGCACTTATTTAAGACTCATCCTGTATATGCATTCAAAGTTTACATAGTATCATATCTTAACACGAAAGACGCTTATATACATTTCTTAATGTTTTACTAAATTTAATTATTACTTAATATTCTAAAAATTAGTATTTCCATCGTATAAGCTATAAACATATCATAACAGCGTCAATGACATTATAATCATATTATTCTTTGAATTGTTCAATGGGAAAAGTTATTTTTTAAAGGATACCTACTTGATGTCCATTAGAAGGTTGGTGTTAATATGAGGTGTTCTTTTAAGTAGTATATGAAGGTTTATTGTATCGATTATTCACATTTATTTTCGTCAGTTTGTGTAGAATTAGAGGACAGGTTTAAGTAGGGTAATATTTTTAGAATTCATTGGTAATCTTGACTTTTAAAATAATAATGCATTAAAAAATATAAATGTGAGTACAAATATTCTGCGAATTTTGTAGGCTGTGATTCTATATGTAGGTCACTATTATGTAGTGGTCTAAAGAAACATATTAATAATTAAAATCAACAGTCATACAAATATTTGCAATAGAAACAGATAAAAGGAAGTAATAACAAAATAGAAAAAAATATATTTACAGAATTTACATATACTAAAGAATTAACTGTATATTAATTATCACCACTTAGCCTTAAAATATTAGATTAGCAAGAACATCTTCCAAGAAAAAATATCAATAATATGTTAAAATAAGTAATGATGTCACGTAAAATCGTTTTTTTTTATCAAATCTGAAGAATGTCATGGAGTGCAACGTTTTGCAAGGCAACTTTCAACAAATTAACATTCGAAATGATGCTAAACGAAAACGCATGCTTTTTATTGACAGTTTAAGACAGTAGATTAGCAAAGAGTTTGTGATTTTTTATGTTTTCTAACTCAGAGTAATAAATTTATGGAGTACATATTTTTAATACTTAGTAAAAAAAAGAGGAGAGGAGTAAGACAGGGATGTGTGCTGTCTCCTTCGTTGTTTAATGTTTATTCTGAGGCGATTTTTCGTGAAGCTTACTCTTCAACAGATTGCGGTATTAAAGTCAACGGCGAAGTAATTAACAACATTAGATTTGCCGATTACACAGCTTATTATTGCCGACTCTGATATTGGACTCCAGAGTTTAGTGGAGCGACTTGTAACTAGCTAAACCAAAGTCATGGTATTTGGAAAGAACCAAAATGTACCAATTCCCATTAAAATAGAGGGCAATACTCGTAATATCTTAGAACAGGTCTACAAGTTCAAATATTTGGAGTCCTGCATAGTACGCCTTGAACACAACGACGTGGAAATAAAAACTAGAATAGAACAATGCATATTTCTGGCTTGTTCTATTCTGGTTTTTATTTCCACGTTGTTATGGAAAAACGACGTTATTTAAAAATGAAGAACGTTTTCCAGAACCAGATTGGACCTTGAGTTGAGAACTAGGCTCGTTAGGTTTGGTTTGGTCTGGTCAATCCTATTATACGGAACAGAAACATGGACACGTTCAAAAGATGAATCGCCTCGAATCGTTCGAAACGTGGATATTATTTTGAAGAATGCTTAAAATTCCATGGACAGCCCATATCACAAACACCGAAGTTTACAACAGAATAGGCAGAGGAAGAGAATTGCTCAATATAATAAAAATAAGGAAAACATCATATTTAGGGCATACGAGTTGTATGTTTCTTAACTTGCGAAGGACCACCCTTTATACAAGGGAAATAACGATTGCGGCGACACTACTTTTAATTATTTTATTACAATTAAAGTGATAAAAAATACAACAGCAAATTGAGCCCGTT